TGCAACTTGGAGTAGCGCGGGGCAAGCTCCATGGCGCAGAACTCACGTCTGAAATGCACTGATTTGAATCCGCTGTCGAAAAACATGTCGCCATTTTCGGTGGCCGGAGTGTGGGCAGGAGTCTGGGTCTATGTTTTTGCTCACTTCAAGGACTTCTGTGTGACGACATACCGTGACACACCCTCACTGAAAGATGGTTTCGATGTGACAGAGTGTTTGTGTGTGTGCCTGAGGATCGCCTGAACAAATCCAGCGATGCAGCCGAAACAAGGTGGAAGATTGCAGGTTCGTCCCTGGATCAAGTCAAGGAATCGAGGCCAGCCTCCGGCTAAGCTCCAAAGACCTGAATTTGAGGGGATTTGGGAGGGTCAGTCCCTTTTCAGGTAGGAAAACTAGGCCAAAACGCCATTGGCGTTGCCTTTCAGAAAGTGCTTCACTCTCAAAAGTGGCATTAGCACACACATCATATGATCTAGACCGGCATAGACCGGGACTCATGACATGACGACGTCATGTCCGGCGCCTCTCTTCGCATCAGCATGTCGAAATCTGTTTCCATGAAGAAGACGTGGTCCTCTCGGCTTAGCCGGAATTCCATTCAACCCTGATGACTTGACGTCAATCCGCGGGAACAAACATCGCAGGCGGTTGATGTGTAACCTCTGCCACAAATTGTTCACCACCTGGGAAAGAAGATTAAACATGAGATCAAATCCAACATCACATGTTCATGTTGAAATAAGATGAACTATGAAACTATAGGCCTAGGCAAGCATCTTAACATATAAGCTTCTTATAAGAATACATTATACCATTGTATTGTACTCAACATCGCGGCAGGAACAGGGCTTCGGTCCGGGTTCCGTTCAGCACCGATTGCGGGCCGGGGCGTCGTTCCTTGACGGTCTCCGTGCCGTGCGCACCCAAGCGTTTGCTGGGATCTCGTTCCATGGTTGCCTCACGGAAGGAAGGGGGGGGTAGGTAGGAAGGGCCTAAGGGACATAACCCAGACACTCCATGTATGCCATATCTGCCTACATTGGTCAGGAAATGTGAATGGCAATGGATGATATAGTCGATCCATTTTGTTCGAGTTATTGAGATTGGAGACTTATCTGAAGTCCTATACTAGTACCCATGTCACCATGATGCCATGTCCCTGTTTTGCTGTGTCCAACTGTTGAACAAAAACAAACCATCTATAAAATCATATAAAATCTATATTATACAGTACCTACCACCATGGATTCCGGGTGTCTAATAGCCCCGAAAAGAGGTGATTCGGGGTGTGCATGAACCCAATTCTTGGGGCTTTGGACGGAATCTTCGCGTTGCTCCAAGTCTCAAGACCCGCGCATCTGGTGCGAAGCCCCGAAGCCGTCTTTTTGGCTCCGGAAGACGTGACACCATGCGCAGGGGTTGGTCGATGGGCAGTTTTTCGGAACATTGGACACTTCATTCATACCAGGACCGGTGTCCTGGCTGGACTAGCCTATCAGGGATCACTACATTACACTGCTGAGGGATCTCTATTGGACACTCTATGGATGGGTCTCTACTTATTAAGGCTTCCCACAAAAGTTAAACGTCAACAGCCATAAGCGGTGTAGTCCACCGAAGCCACCGACACCCAACCCGCAGAAGTTTGTGTCGTCCTTGCGCTTCAGGGATCGGGTGTGGCGCCAGTGACTGCCAGTGTCAACGCCGAAGCCTCCGGATTCTCATCCCAATCAATCTATACCAGTTCCCAGCAATCTATACCATACCCCAAACACGACTAGTGGGACTGCAATTTTTTTGCCTAAATTGACCCCTCAAACCAATTTAATTGATCGGCATATATACCAGTCCCATGGAGCGTCTGGGTACCAGCATTCTCCAACAGGTCTTCCTTTGGAGGGTTCGGCCCTAAGAGGTCTCAAAATGATCTGTTGGAGGGTGCTGGTATGGAATATTATTTGCCCGGATGGTTCAAAAGGGGCCAATGTAATATCATGTAGCATGCACTTCCGGTTCATGAACCACCGCCAAATAAAGCTAAACAAAGCCCATAGGCAGTAGGGAGGGGTCCCCTGATTCAGAGGTCATTCGCTACCATCTGCCAGTCTGTTGTGTGGATCGCGCCGTCGCACCTCAATGAAGGCACGTGCCACGCGTGACACGTAGAGGGGCACCTCTCTTCGTGTCACGCGGCCGAAGGTTGCTCCGACGCTCCATGTCTCTCTTGGCCGAGAAAGAAAGGGGTCAGGGCATATGGGCCTGTATTGAAAGAGGACCTCTCAAAGGTCCCCTGGAAGGAAGATGGACCAACCCATCGGTTGGGTGAAATGAAGTTCAATACTAGATAATTACCATTGTATAGACCCCCCAAATAGAAAGAAACGTAGATCCCCCCCGTAGAAAATCTATTGGACCCTTGGACACCCACGAATGCTCTTTGGGGATCAATCACATGGTCTGTCCGCGACATGGTGCCCGGTCGTAGGTTCCGGTCGTGCCCGGTCCGGTCGATGGGTCGTGCCAGTCTGGCATGGATGGATGGTCGTTTGAGAGAAATGAAGTGAGGTTATAAGTGCGTTGTTGTTCAACTGGATTGTTTGTTGACCCCCAACAATTGGCCCCAAAATCGTGGATGGTCACACGACTTGTGGTTTCAGTGCTGAGAAAGGTGGATTATGCCGAATTGATATTAACTCAAAGCCTTCATGGTTTGCATCGTTTAAAGAATTGGTTTCCAATGAAGGTCCTGAAATCTGGTGTCAGATCGGAATTGTGGGTTCCCTGCCAAAACAGTCAAATGAAGGATCAATAATGATCATTAATTAATGATCTTTTGTTTTTCGAAATATGATATTAATTTTATATGTTGCAATATATATATATATATGTTAGAATAAACTAAACGGACGTCCTTGAAAGACACCCTGGGAAGAGGACACATACACACAAATTGGTTGGCTGGGGTCTCCCTATTCCCACACACACATCCATATCATGTAGGGGTCCACTGCTGCTACCTTCTCAAAACGAATGACTGGATCCTCATAAAGGCGTCTCTAATCACCGCCTCAGAGAGTACGTGGATCTATACAAATAACATCATGACTGACTAGTGCTTAGCAAGGAATGAGGGAATGGCCCCTAAGGAATCTCGATTGGGAGGTCATGCCCTTATTGCCTACCAAGCCCCAGTCCGATGATATTATAATTACACTCGCTGAAAATCAAATGGTGTGTCAGTGGTCAGAGTTTCAGCACTTCGGATTCTCAGGCCCAGGATGTGCTGACTGTCTTACTGCGCACAAAACCTGGTGTGTGTTTCTGCAATTATTATATATAATCTTATATAAGTTGACACGTTGAGAAACATGTTCTTTTGCGCCTGAAATTGAAGCCAATGGCGTATTCACGTAAAACATGCGTGCATCTCTTGGAGAAAAAACACCCATCATCAACCCCAGGATACCGTACCCCAGTCTTCTTCTTCCGATCCTGCACGCATTTGTTTGCATCCACAACTTTCAGTCAACACCCAATCTCGCCCAGCGCCTCAAGGTGTGCATGTTTGATGTGGGTGAACAGGGTCTCCCTATCATGATGATAGAACCTCGGCCAAACTTGGGAAAGATTTTGACTGATGGTGAACAGTCTGCATCTCACCACCAGTTTCTATAAGAATTACGACCTAGGATGTTCACTTCGCATCCATCTTCGAACGGAATGCTGCTAGCTTTTGTTCCTCATCTCAATGGGTTTCGAACGGTGGCATCCCAGTGAGCATGTCATAAACGAGCACGCCCAGGTTGTAGATGTCCACTGTCAGGTTGTGGCCTTAAAGGAACAAGCGCTCTTGGCCCAAAAGGAGCAGTTAGGGAGCACTGGTGGCCCAAAAGAAATCAGATACCAAATCAGATATATATCCCAAACACTCCGTGTACGGCATATCGACCTACATTGGAGTGGGCCGTGGGTTCAATGTATATTCATGTATATTCCCAAAAAAAAAGAGTATGGAGTGTCTGGGTATATTGATAGAAAATGATAGAAATGGTTCTCGTCCACGACATGTTCTCCGTATCAGGTGAACGAACACCTGGCGAGCATGAACCTCTCGGACGCGTCGCCACGGCCTCTGCCACGGCCTCTGCCACTGCCCCCGGATGGCTTACCCAAAGACCAAAGAAGCGAAGAGAAACACACAAAGACCGAAGACCCAGCCAAAACCCTCGCAAAAGGCCCTTGGAAAGGGAAGATGAAAGAGCCCAAAAAGCATAGCCTGCATGGCTTGGCCTGGGAATTCATAGCCTCCGCGTGGGGGTTCCCCTCCCAGTCCATCCATCCCGCGGGAGGGCCTTTTCGAAGTAGGATCTCGGGCGCCAAAAAGGCCACAGAGCCACAGAAGGAGCACGTCCCTCGCTGAGTGACACCCTCCTGCGCAGCGGCTCGCGCGAACCGCACCGCGGTCTGTCCTCGCTCCGACCGCATCATCGGTGGTCGTCGGACTGTTTCAGCCAACGGTCAGTTCTGGCCCCGACAAACGGTTAAGATCTTGAAAAGATCGGTTAAGATCTGCAGAATCCTTGCTTCCTGTGTTTTGCTAGTCAAAGGGTTGGTGATTGGGCATCGCCCCCTGTGCGACACAATCAAATTGACCATTGAGACAAGTGAATCCCTTCCAACATAGCAGACTTTAACAACCACGACCTGTATCACCCGCAACAGCACCCCAAGCTGTGGAGCAGGCTCCTTGGACAGCCCAAAGTCAGTCAACAAGGCGTGGTGTGTCTCATCAAGGACCACGTTGTCCTTCGCGGAGATTTTCTCCCAACGGACTCTGAGCATCAAACAACGAGCGCTAGAGAGCGTGCCGTAGCCATCGGTGTGTCACCCCAAACTCTCAAACCCATTTTGGGCGAGTCGAGGACACCGATGCGTACCAGAACTGTTGGACATTTCATGTTGTGTCTAAAGCCTTTCCCTTCCCAAAATCGATCCTTCCACTCCTTGCACAACTCACCAACCATCCTCAGATTCACCAGCCTGAAAAACCATCGACCATCGACCCAGCGTGGGATTTTTGACCTTGGATGACCTTGTCCGGTTCAATCATTAGCCAAGGCTTCCACATGCTTCCACCCTCTTTGCGGAACTGTTGATTCACTGATGAATTCATCTTCTCAACACCCGTCTGTCTAAGCAACATGCCTAATTTTTGGCCCTCCGGTACCAAACCGCCGCGAAACGAGCTACGAGCTACTGTCCCCGTTTTCTGTGCCGAGGCTCAGGTTTCAGGTCACGGAAAACAGTGTTCCTGTGGCCCGCGACGCGATGCTCGACAGGTCTGAGAAGTGAACGGCTTGATGGTTCACCCATCTACACTCTGACGAACACATCACATGGAAGTGGATAGCATGGCCCCTTGCAAGACGACTTTCCTTGACGAACAGGGGGGTTTTCTACTTCCATGTTAGTGAGTCGGAGCGTACACTTTCTGGAACCTCATATGGATACGTGGATGGCAAGGGTTTGCCATGGCCCTGAATAAGGAAAAAGCCATGAAATCCGAATACCAAACAGGGGTGTGTGTCCACTACAAGAGTTTCAGGGAAAGTACATCTAATTCTGTGGCTTGGTATAAGAATCATTGGTGCACCGAGGTCGGTTCCAATCATTCGGGTGTCCTTTGTTCATCGAACCCGATACGTCGAAACGAGTCGGAACGATAGACGAGAGACGCACGGCCAGGCACGGGATTTCCACCGGCACGTGGGTCACGGGTCACGGACGAACCGCACGTCATTTGTGCCGAACTGCGACCTCGTCCGTGTTTTCTTCTTGCCGGAAGAATGTGAGTGAATCATATGTGTCATGTAGTCATGTATTGTATATATATATATAAACTCTAAAGACCTGAGATCAGATCTCTAGGTCTTAGAAGATCTTCACCAGGGAGTATCTAGAATCTAGAACAACATCTATTGAAACATCAATGCATTTGCGACGATTTGCATGACAAATCAAATTGCAAATTATACTACTACGGCACATCGACCTTGTGTACGATCATGTCCGATGTCCATTCGTATCCTGGTCGTGCTAGACGGTCGTCTATGATTGTCTAGCAATTCTCTGTCGACTACGCCAGCATGACGTCCCAGTGTTGGCTCATCATGACGTCCCAGTGACTGGTATGGAGTCGGATCTTCGAAATGTTTGCGACCATGCTGCTTTCTCTAGCTATGGACTTTGACCCCCCGTGCTTCATCATGTTTGTTCATCAAGTGCAGTGCGAAAGCTCAGCTAGGCAAAGCAGAACTGTAGCCAAAGAGAATCCAGAGCTTATGTAACTAGCTCTAGTCGATCCAAAAGATACGGTCCTTCTCTTTTCAGCATCCTGCTTCGACCGGTGAGGACATCGAGTCCACCGGTGATCGAAAGCACATCGACGGACCGCTCCGTCGCCTCGGTTCTTGGTCTTTCAACCATGGGGTCAGAACATCCAGTTGGTGGTTTCAACGAAAACAAACGAAACATATGAGGACCAATGGGCCAATGGGTTTCAATATGAGTCAGTCATCTCCAGTAAACCACCTTCAAATTAAATGTGAAACCACATGAAACCAACAACCAGTGGGTTCAATCATCCCAAGTAAAGGTTGAACATGACAATCTCCGAAAACACCACCTAGATCCACCTAGCTGGCCAGGGCCCAGTAGGTCCTTTATTAGAATCCATTTTGAGTCGATCGAGTCGCGTTCGGTTAAAACAAACAGAACACCATGTGCTTCCCCCCTGTTTTTTTTGCTGGACAAAAAAACATCCGGCCTCTCATGCAAGTGGATGAGAGCTAGAAGAATCTCAGCCTGAGGCGGGAAAACGCTTCACGGCTCGCGGCACGACTTTGCGGCACTTGTTTGACGTCCTGGGGTAGACATGGTCATCATCCTGTGCAAGTAAAACGGCACGGCTGCCAGGGTTTGTGACAGGTCTACAGAAAAATCAACATCTTCTCTCCAAATCATCTGAATTTGCCGTCCAAGTTCAACCTCTTCAGCACACTTCCAGTCCAAGAACACTCCTGGCAAGGAAAGATAAGGAAAGCAGTTTCTGGGAACTTTCCCACACCTGCCACTTTCCCAGCAATGACTTCACCTGAATCCGTTCAGTTTGCCCAGAATCGTCTGGGCTCCCCTGCGGCATAAAAGCGTGTCAAGGTCTCACAAAGGCGCTTCTCGCGCGTGAGGAGATGCCTGGAGATCCGGATCCGCAAGGAGTTCGCGAAGGGGACGAAGGGGGCGATTCGTCGGGAACTGACTTTTACAACAGATCTGACTCAAAAGCCTAGAACAGGTTATAACATAAGCCTGCTGTAAGGAGGATTGTTGGGAGTAGTTAGAGAGTTGGCGGTGTTCCAAAAAACTTGCTTGGGATAGCTGTCCATGGTATGATCTCAAGTTTCAAACGGAAAAGACCATCGTAGACTAAAGCTTGAGATCTTTGCTGCCCAAGGGGCTGCAAGTTCCCTCCGGGACAGTACTGCAGCACTAATACTAGGTGGCTCGTGGTCTGGAAGGCGTAGTGCAAGGAGACAATGTACGGGTGCTGGATGTAGGCCAGGATATTCCTCTCAGTGACCGCATAACGCAGCAGGTTGCTGCCCATGATCCTGGAGTGATCGAGGGGATTGAAGAAGTGCCTTCGTCCTTTCCCTACACCTCCAAGTACCTCCTCAGAAGGTATTTGGACCCTCCAAACCCACCAAACACCTTCTCAGAAGGTACGACTGGAGGCCTAGGGTTTGTTCAAGGAGTGTTATTCACTGATCGTGTCCTGATCGTGTCCCAGAACTGGGTGTTCACATCATCGGTCGGACGGTCGGACCCCGAAAGGCCCAAAGCAGTCTGGATCTCTCACGACCAGGTCTCACCAGACGGTCGTCTCACCAAGACCAGACAATCCTCCCTTCCAGGTCTTGCATGGCTTCTCTCTTTCACAGCTCAGAAACAGCTTATTATAGATACATGGATACTGCTACTTCTCCAGCTCCTGCTCTTCTGAAGCACCTTCATGGCATAGGCTTTTCCAGTGCGCTTATGCTTCACCTGAAAGACCTCCCCGAAGCTGCCACGCCCCAAGAGGTTCACCAGCTCGAAGGAGTTGGGGCCCACCTCGCCGCTCGGCGAGCGGCGATTTCCGCCCGGGTTGTTCACGAGTTTGCATGGAGAGGTGAAGTTTTCAGCAAGTAATGCCTACAAGCTCCGGTGGCGAATGATAGAACACGGTTGAACAAACTACTGGAGAGTTGAGACTGCATTCGGAATTCAGTGCCTTCACCAAAACCAATTGGCAGGCAGCTACTGCTTGATTTGCTTGGCTCAAGGAATTACACTCAAGGACAGTACTCAGGCTTTGATCTCATATGCCAACCACTCGGTGGACATTGGTTCACTTTAGGTGGGACTCCACACTCCACACCGAGCTTTTCGTTATATGGCCTTACCTAGAGGACCTAGAGCAGTCATGCAGAAGGATTTTCGATCAAGATCGATCAGCCACACTCTCCGACCACTTCACACGGCGCGGTCCCAACAACCGGACCCCATGCTGCGGGCGTCCGCCTTCTCCACCCGCGAGTGGCCCCTCTTCATCCGCGCGAAGGGCGGCCCCCGCGCGCGGCTCGCGGGGGTGGAGGTGCCACTGGAGACCGGGGAACGGCTGGGGGAGTCCTTCGGTGACGCGCTGGCCTGGACGAGGCGGAAGACGAGGAGGCGGGTCGCCGTTGAGAGCGAAGGAAATGAGTGGAGTGTTGATTAATGGCCCAAGAGCGCCCAAATGCGTCTAAGATACAAGGAAAATGTCCTATGAAATGCATTGTATACTTATATATATTGGTCAACTATGGTCAGCTCGTGTAAACGGACAGCATTCCCTATACTTCCTCTTAATTCCATGACTGCCCGAATCTTCTTCTGAAAAGGGTGGCTGAAAACTCGTGCATAGCGTGGCATAGCCACTCCTTGTAGATTGTCTTGACGACGTGAGACCCCAAATTCTCCGATCGAGCAGGTGCTTCAAGCCCCTTGCTTTAGATCTCACGCCCCTTTTCCCACCACACGCTGCCGCTTTTGGTATTCGAGCACTCACGGCCAAATATCGTGTTGTAGTTGCTGTCTGTCCAATACCCGTAGGGCCACTGAGAGAAAAGCATGTGCGTGGGAATGTTGCGTCGTGCACCGCGTGTTTTTGAAGGTTTTTGCACATTCGATGTTCTGCATGATGAGATGAATGCGTGAGGGACAGGGCAAGGTTGATGTGCTTCTATCACGATGCGGGGGGTTGGGATTGGCGATGATGGCACATGTAGATGCTGGAAGACTGTAATGACGTTGACGCGCATGACATATTTGGTTTGTGGCAGTGAAGCTTAACTCGCAGGTTTCTTCAGGTTCATGTGTCGATATGTTTCTCACTTCTTGTTCCGCAAATGGTTCAATATGGTTCAATATGTTTGATATTGGCTATGCTATTATCCTACTTGATCCTACTTGCAGGCTCGCATCGAAAGAGGTCACCTGGTGGTGAGCAGTGTCATCCACTCAATGAGGCGTCTATCGAAAACCATTGCACAGTTTTTTCAAAGCGGATGGCAGGAACCCGTCCGTATCGCAGAAGCAAGGCTTGTGAAGTCTACGGTTCTGGGACCCAGTGAATCAGTGGTTGTACCGGCTAGACTTCGCTCTGGCTCTTGCATTCATAATGAAATATAATGAATGGCATTAAAGCAACGTTTTGTGGGTATACCGTCAAATACTCATGCACACAATTGTAAATTCACAAACACATGCAAACACAGGTGTCTGTTCAACAAAACATGTGTCAAACACAGGGCTGTGTGGGGGTGTGTTACTTCTGTGTTGCTGAACAATAAAATGCTTCTTCCTTCAAAAGTCATGCGCTCAATCATACGTCACAGCAACCCCCCCCGACAAGTATGCGGCCTTGAGATCCTTCAAGGCCCGGGCTGTCAAGGTGGCCTTCTCTGGCTTCTCGTTCGCTGCCTCAGGAGAACCCATGACATGGCGCACGCCGCACCGCGCGGTGCACGCGCTGCGGCAGTGCCTCCAACTGGCGGGTCTTCTCTAGCAGCCGCTGTACGGCGTCTGGCCGGGCATTGCGCAGGAGCAAGGTGGTTCCACAGCCGAAGGTGCTTCGCTCGGCATAGAGGTCGCTATGGTCGTGCGGCTTCTGCAAAGAGCGGAGATGAGCAAATGGATGACCAAGCATGAAAGAAACCAGCCATTTTTGTCATCAACCAACAACCGACTTCAAGTCTACAGTGTGTGTCAAGCCGTCGAGGTCCCCGAGTTAGAGAAGCTTGTTGAATGTTGCTGATGATGTTCCCATCTTGAGGCACTTGGTGACCTGTGGTCTTGGGTTCATCCAACATCATTACATCTGATCGATACGTTGGCTCATTCCTCGCATGCCCCACATCCACAGATCTTCACCCCCAAGCATCCACTTCAGACTTCTTCTCCAAAGTCACCCCCCCTCCATTCCTCAATTCCTCCCCGCCTCACTCTCAAGCACCGGCAGCTCGCTGCCCGTCGCCGTGCTCGCCTCGCTGCAGCCGCTGTTCCGGCGCCCGCCCGTCCAGCTGCCGGTGCCACAGCTGCCGGTGCCGCCGCTGGGTGTGAAGCTGGAGCACTGGAACTCCCAGGCGCGGAAGGCGCACAGCGTGGCGAAGTCGGCAGCGGCCTCCGCAGGACGTTGGCCCAAGATGTTGCCTTGGACGAGCGCCAACACAGACGGGAAGTGACCGGAAGTCACATGGAAATTCCAGGTCGGGCATGAAAGTGGAAGGATCGACCAAATTCTGCAAGCTTTTCAAAGGTCAACGTCATTACTAATTTACACGATTACAGAATCGAATTAAAATGGCAACATGACCCCAGTCAGACTGGTGACCGTCGCCCCTGAAATATGTGCGCCCGTGTTTCATCCCAGTGGCGATAGCCCAGTTGACTGGCATCCTGCTTCAAGAGCACTTTCACCACCTCCGAGTGCCCATTCGCGGCCGCGTAGTGCAGCGCGATCTGTCGATCCTCAGTCTGGCAGAGCACGTCCGCGCGCGCCGTCAGCAAATGACTCACCAAATCGATGCTGCCCTGGGCGGAAGCCACATGCAAAGGCGTCAGCTTGCAGGGACGACTGCGCACGTTCACCTGGGAAAAAGCAAGCAGGTCAAAATGACCGGTCCTCAAGGAAGCCAGAATCTGGGAGGGCAAAGCAAGGAAAAATGGTGGAAGGGCATTGTGGAATTCTACACTTACACGCTTTCATCTTGAACTATGCCTCCACGGCCACCAATTCTATCAGCACTATACATACCATACCATACCCATGTAGGTCTGTGTCACCTTCTACACCCAGGGTACTGTAACGATCGATATGTAACGGACTGGAGTCTCTCGAACCAGGTGGCTTCAACCCAATCGATGGTGTTGGCACAAGCGATGAATCTTCCAGCGGTCATGGAGGATAGGGGTGCGATCCATGGAGGATAGGGGTGCCCAGAACATCCACCACGTGGGGACTCAAAACAACCCCGTCTTGTGACTCCTGGATCAATTCTTCTCCGCCTTATTACTCCTGTTTCCGAACTCCAAAGTCACTCCCAGAATAGCCCTCCACTAGACATCCACCATCCGCACCTGTGCTCCTTTGTCCAGCAAGACTTCCACCGCCTCTAGGCTCTCGCTCTGCACCGCCAAGTGCAACGCTGCCCTTCCCTGCCAAGCGCACCGGGCGCCGCAGGCGAAGGCGTTGGCCGCGGCGGGGGGGTTGCCGTTGGGCGGTTGCTCCAGCAGGTCCAGCAGAGCGGCGGCATCACCCAGCAGGGCGGCCTCGAGGAGGAGCTCGTCCTGCGAAGGGGACGGCTCAGGAACCTGGAGATATACATCGAGATAGGTTGAGGTGGGATAGCATGGTTGAGAGGAATATATAATATATATATATAGGCCTAGGGGAATCAAATGTTGGGTGTGGTTCGGAATTGTCTTGAACCTTAACCAAAAAGGGGGAGCCGGCAAACTCGTGGCCAGCCTGGGAGGGTTTGGGCGACTGCCATATTGACCAACATTGGATTGGTTGAAAGAGGTCGACGTATACGCCTATATTCCACTCTCACTCCCCCCTCAGTTTCCGTGAAAATCAGCGGTTAAACGCGGTTCACATGGGTTCTGCCCCTTTTTTTCTCACTTCTTGCTTATAGTCAGAAACCCCATGGCCCCCGTGATCCACACTTGTCCATCATCCGGGCAGTCATCCGTGTCTGGGGCTGAGGGGGATCCTTGGGAAGACCCCCATAGAAACCGGCCTCCCAAGGCATGCGCACCAAGGAAAATACGACTCAAGGTCCGGCCTTTCGTCTCTTCTCACACCTGACCAGGCCGGCACGGCGCACACGGCCGAACCACACTCGAAGTCATGATGGAAGTGGACACGTGTGTGCTTGGGGGAGGGGGAAAAGGTAAGTCGTGAGTTTGCTTGGTGATGCCGTGTTGAAATCTTTGGACTCGCAGCCCCGTCTCGAAGACGGGCTTTTCGCTGGGGACTCGCACCACCAGAGCTTCCAGGGTCGCATGTGATGACGAGTTGGCTTGGGCTTGAACAGCTTCCCGACCTCGGAAGGCGTTGGGACGACCACGAACGGAGCAGCTCGAAGCTACGAACGGGGCGTTCCTGGCATTACTACGAACGGAGCATCTGACCAACCGATGGGCCATCTACTATGACCGGCCTTCTTTTCCAGTGAGGCAGCAGAACGTCTCAGTATAGCCACTGGTTCAAGCTCCTGTTGTTTTTCATGCGACCCACAAACAATCTTCATCAAGTGATTTTGCAGAATTAAACACACGGTACCAAGTAAGCTTACAGGAAAGGAGGAGGATGGTCTGCTGGAGGATATCCAGGTGCACTGACTCTGGGTATTCTCCAAAAGGACCCGATGCCAACATGGTAACATCAAAGTAAGAGTCTCTGTTTTGGTAAGAGGATCAAACAACTTTATCAAGATCAGAAATAACATTGAGACCCAACACTGGATCGGATGCTTAATAAATCTTAACAACAAAAGCATATTTTAGGAGCATCTATACCTACCACTTGGTCACTGACTTGGTACGGTTTCAGAGTCTAAATGCCATCAGTATCGTACATTGATACAACCGCGCAGGAAAAAGATTGCAGCCGCTGCGCATGATCTCATGATAGCTTCAGGGATCTTCAGGGACAAGGCAGTCGATGTTTCTGCAGCGTGTTCATGTGGAAAAAAAAAGAAAACAATCTGCGTCCCTTCAATGCCAGTGACCTTCACTCGAGCCGACTCACGTGGCCCAAACATCTGGGGACCGATCGTGTGCCTTTGCTTCTCTTCAGTTCACAATTTTCTAGAGAAATAATACATAATAGACCGTGTTTGCTACTCTTCAAGCAATGCTGCAACACCAAGAAGATCAATGGCACACTAGAAACTCACGCCACGCCTCCAAAGACCCTAAAATGTTCAGCCCACCTTCCCCACCCAACGCCACGTTTCGGCGTCCGCTGACAAAAGCTTTGGACAATCAACCTAACTCACTCAAAAGGGACACCCTGCTGAGTATTGTAAATTACGTGGTACCCGTTTCTATCCGTTTCTGACTGTCTTGGAATTCACCCCCCCCTTCTCTCTCTCATTCTCTCTCTGGCGCAAACCACCGATCCAACACCGAACACCGAGCACCGTTCGGGACCTTGGCCCGCACACATTGCCCACCCGACTCACGTCCCGCCGCAACGTCTCGCCTCCACCTGACTCACGCGACACATGGGCGTCCGTGTCCATGGGCGTCCGGGCAAAGCTTTCCGTGAAGCTCTCCGGGGCTAGAGGCCGCACCTGGCGCGTCCGCGTGTCGGTGACGGATGCGATCGCCGTGAAGCGGTCAGTGCAGGTCTTTGATGGTTGCCCTACCTGGAGAGCTGGTTAACCAATGAAATCTTCCCATGAGTTTTAATCTTGGCCCCTCCTCATGAAGAGATCTAGTCCTTGGGACTGTCTTTGGGATCCCTCATGATAGACCGGACCGCCTCCACATGTTGTTCCTGGACCTTCCGGCCTTCTGGGGTTCTTAATCACAATCAAATCCGTCAAGTTTGCCACTCATATACTCGCAACTGTATCCACAAAAACAGTGCAACACTGGCCTCTGCTTTCGCCGAAAATGCCCTAAACATGATCCTTTCGCATCGTTCTCTCAACACGTGACATCGCGGCGGCGTGCCTCTTTGGTGTCAAGGTTTCGAACGTAGGAGCAGCTGCTGAGAGGATCCTCACGCTGACTTCTGGTTGAACGGGTGTGGGACCCAAAAACGGGGGAGGCCCTGTCTGCCACTGGTGGTCTGGGATGCAAAAGAATACGGCTTCCCAGTACTGGAGACTTTGAGATGATCGGGGTGCCGGACTAGTCATATCACAAGAAGGATGTGAGGCGATAGCGAACTCTTCATTGATGTTGGAAAGCGGACTTGGTGAATTCAAGCAGTTCCAAAGGGATTCCATCCAGTGAATGGAAAAACAAAACGTACAAGTACCCTCCAATAAGGCACTCGCCGTGTGGAACGATGTCTGATTTTCATATATAATATACACCAGGATGCACAAAGGGGTTTTTAGTCCCATCCAGCGAGTGGACGTGACAGGGGTACCTAACCTCCTTCCTCCCTTTGCCACCGGCACCTAACCTCCTCTGTGACTCCTGATTCGTAAAACCGCTCTCCGCATGACGCAGCCTGATTCACATCGCCGCACCGCGCGTGAGCTCACGAACCTCACCCTCGAAGACCGTCTCGAAGGGTTCCTCTGCCAAACTCCTTGAGAAATCCGAAGAGATCGAAGGGGAACCCACCGGACACACCGGCGGAAAACGACGGTCAGACAGGTCAGTCATTGAGATTGGGATCTGGGGGTCGATACGTTTCTATGCTTTTCTATATCTATGGCGCTCTAAAATAGAAACAATATTGCATGATTTGTATGTCGACTTGAACAGTGCCTGGTCCAGGTTTATGAGAACACTGAGCAAATTGATCGTGTTGATGGACAATATCCCTCATACGAGCTTTGACTGCCCTCTGCCATCCTGAAGACAGGGGATCCTGAAGACAGGCGAAGATACAATTTACTCAACCGCCACCCATCATACACCACTCATCAAACACCACTCATCATACACCACTCATCATATGCCACTCTACTGGGGAACTGTACACTGTTCTCCTTCCTGGGGAACTCATGCGGCATGTACCAGGTATTTGGGGCTCGCAGCCCAATGGGAGCTTTGAGGAGAAGCGTGCGAGGAACTTCTTGCCCGTCTGCCACTCCCGGGCTTTGTTTGGGGTCACCGAGCAAAAGTCTGAAGAAAGCTTGTCGGGGGACTGCTGGCCTGGAAAGGCACCTGTGCAGAATATGATGCTTTTGGGTCGCGCGCAAAACATGGATTCGGCTCCTCCCCGAGCCAACCCAAGAAGAGTGGGCGGATTTCATGAGAAGCTGTGCAGAAGCGAATCTCATCACACAGCACTGATCAGACACTACTCATCACACACGACTCGTCATACACCACCATTCATTCATCATGATCACACACCCACTCATTATACACCACTCCCCCAGAAGCGGATATAACTATGTCACCTCTAAGAAGTGGACATAGATCACCGCAGGCTTCCCAGAAGCGGATATAGCCAGCTCTCTGGCCTCTGAAAAATGCATATAGACTACAGGTCTCCTAGAAGCGGATATCGCCACCTCACTGGCTTCTAAGAAGTGGACATAGATAAGCGCAGGCCGCCCAGAAGCGGATATAGGCAGCCCTCTGGCTTCTAACAAAAGGACATAGATGACTGCAGGCTCTAAGAAATGGACATAGGAAATTGCCAATTCAATGGATCCTTCGTGCTTCGTCCCAAGGCCCTTCAGCAGCCAGAATACTCACTTGAGCTCCCTCTTACGATCCTAAGAACTTTGGATCCGACCATAGCAGGGGAAGGCCCCATTCCCCAACCAAACCCCTTTCATCCCAGATGTCTATCGGAAGCGCCTCCGGGAGAACGGCTGTACACTCGATCGGCGGCTTCGATCAGAACCCGATCGTTTAGCCAAGAGAGTGGACTATGTGGACTGAGCTTGGCACTCAGCCGTCAGACGTGAATGAAAAAGCCAATGGCCTATTGGATCCCATTAGAGTCAACGTCGTCCTCGACCAGCACCGAGTCCGGCAACCAGCAACGAGCTCACATCATGTCACATCGATCAAAAGGCATGTGGGTCAAGAGACTAACCCCACATCAGCATCAGTGGCTTTCTGTTGCCAGTAACTGGCGAAGTATCTCTATTTGGTTTTGGGTGGTATAAGTGGATATTCCTATTTGAGACTGACTTGTAGCTGTTGTAGCCGGTTGATATGCCGGTTTCACGATTCTCGCAAAACCACCACAGGGACCCTGACCGAGAAACCAAATGCCTGCCTCAAGAGGGTCTCGGCTGCTTCCTAGAGCAGGAGCATTCGGAGCGGCACTTTTGTTTTGAAAGAAACTGCATCAGTACTCCAGTACAGCAACTGTGCAAAAACTAACACTATATGCCATACTATGCCCATGCATCCGGGTCCAATAAAGGTAATTAAGTATTGAATGTATAGTACAACTGTGAGAATCCTGCTCAGTTTTGAAACTTGGCAACGATTCGACTGGCTCGACGGGCAGCAACCGACTGGCCTGAGTCAATTCGATTGGCCCTTTGTCCTGTCGGTGTCAGCGAAGAAGACATCACCCCGGATTCGCAAGGGGTGGTTCATGGACACCCCTTGACCTCCCCGGGGCTATTGGACACCACCAGGAAGTGCTGAAAAACTCTAAGAGTTGGATCGACCAGTTCTCCGAGAACTGGATTGACCAAAACCCCCACGGTGTGTTTCCATACGTACCTGTCGGCATCTTCGGACCAACGGTCACCTTAGAGGTGGACCGTCGGACTTTTGGGTGGCAAACCTGTGTGATCCCCACCTGGTTCCGGGGATCTCTAAGGGTGTGAGGCGAGATGTTCTCCTGGGTCGGCTCAAGCTTAATCTCATCAACGGCCCTATAGGTAACTTGAAGTGGTACAGACTCTTTCAAGGTACTGTTGAGACTTGCTTTCGACCAACCCGCGACTCAGTAATCCCTAGTGCTGAGTGGACAAGGTGTTCAGCTGTCAACGAAACAATATTTGCTTCGCGTCAGCGACAGCATGGGACCGACAGGTGTCGACAGCATGGGACCGACACACGTGTGGTTGCCACGGTCGCTGCAGGTGCAGCAAGAAGGATGGTAATACGCATAGCATCTCTATATATATATATACTGTAGCTGTGGACTACCTTCCGCATCAGTGGATGAACAAGGTGGTTCATCTTTCCTCCACTTGAAAGACTCCCTGGCCCTCAACAGTGAATGATAGTCAAAGGCGGCGCATCACTCCCAACCATTGTGATGTTCATTTATTTGGGTCAAGTCTTTTGGGTTAAGTCTCAAAATAAAATAGGGAGAGTGGAGACCATGGCGGTCTCCTCCCCCATGGCGACCTCCCCCAAAGGCGGACCGTCCTGGACCCCCACCCACGCGTCACATCTCATTGCGCAAGTGAGAGGAGTCCCAGAAGAAGCGAGAGGATGTCACAGGGGCACCGATCCTCTCGCTCCAATCCTTCCGTTTTCACCGCCGGAGTCGCTCGGTCGCTCTGGTCCGTTGGCTCCATGGGCTCACCAGCTCGGTGTCTCGAGGACCAGGACCAAGGGCTCCTCTGTTGCGCCGATCGGATCCCAGTCCTCGCTCCAACCACTGGGAGGATGGGAACGGATCTCCTGGCGGAACAGCGATTCAGGCCGATTCACCGCGATTCACCGCCGAACAGCGGTTCGACCCACAGTGTTCTGCCCGACCACGGTCGTACCTCGGAAAAGGGGGTACAAGGCATTGTACAAGTCAATTAGCTGTCTTTCTGGGGTCATGGTCACAATTTCTTGGGCACCTTGCGGCACCTTTGTCTCAGTTGCTTGCTCATGGACCGCACGTCATCTCCGCAAACGTTCGCGGACAGCGTCAGCGTCGCGCTGTCCGCGGGTCGTCACGACAGACGAGGTCTCCAGATTCGCAGACCGGTCGACAGATCGTAGGGGCAGAGAGGGCTTCTGCACCTGCAAAGGAGAAGAAGCTCAGCCAGGCCTTTTGAGTTTGTTTGTTTTCTTGTTTTGTGTGTGTGCGCTCAGAAGGAGGGTTGAAATTTGACAAGTTGAACAACCATGTAACAACAGGCTGGAATACCAGAAGTTACTAGATTCATCAATTCTCAAACATGCGAGAATGGCCGGATGGGATATTATGATATGATCTCTTGCTGCTACTCTAAAATACAGCATCTCAAGCAGGATGCATTTTGTCTTCTGAACATCAAGATGCACTATGATGCACTCCCACAGTTCTTGCACGCTGTTGAAGATCGGGGTTACCGTAAACACCGGCCAACCCTTTCCCAGAAAACGTGGAGACAGGGATGGAGACTGGGGTAGGACCCCTTCGACGGAGTCCAAGCGGCTCGGTGACCGGTGATCAGACGAGCTGTTGAGTCGGTTCCAAGAAATCCAGGAAAAGTGTGATATACCGAGGGATCCAGTCGTACCGAACCTCAGGTTCGGCACAACTGGACCCGACCGTTTTGGCACCGTATACCGTACCACAGTATCTCCTTCCTCACCGTACCGATAGGAGGGTGTGGTGAAAGGGCTCCTGTTGAGTCCAAAAAGTTGGATGTGAGTGACAGAAGATCTGCACCCGGGCGCCGCGTCTTCTATATAGACCCCTCAAGGAAGACGAAGATGAGAACGAGGTCTTGAAGGCAAACGGGACTTGCAGAAGACACGAAGACACCCTATAGCGGGATGATGGGTGCAAACAGCAGGGATGATGGTTGCACAAACACTCCACATATCCATTATTTAGTCTAATTATGTACAAATATCAACAGTCCCGAAGGTCACATCGAATCGGGCCTTACATTCTCCTCAGTTTAGAAAGAGCCCAAAGAGCGGCCTACTCCATTGCATCCACCTTGATGTGGACCCCAATGTCAAGAACCCACACCCTAGTCTTCTTCTTAGCACTGCTTAGTCACTATATAGGCGGCTTCTCATCCCTCGCCAACATCCATGTTTTTGAAAAGAACACCACACCGGTCACAGCGCCCAACACCACCTGCAAAGGTTTCCCAGCCTCAGGGCTCTGATACCTGGAAGTGAAACAGCGTGAGAGATCGCGTGGAGTGAAACAGCGAGTTCCAATCACCTTTCAATCCTGGAAGCGCTATCTTGCTGCAAGCGCATGGCTAAATGACCTATGGGTTCCCAACGCCTAGTAAAAAAGGAAAAAAACACAGACCAGCAACAGAGTGCCAACAGTGCGACCTCATTGTGAGACATGTTCCATCATGTTCCGACACCAAGAACAACTGGTTTGTCTGTGTTTTCGCTCCCTTTTGCCACCACCAATTAAACGCTTCACTTTTCTGAAGCAATGCTTCGGCAGAATCAGCTAAAGAAGCCTTGGACTTGCTTAAGGAACGGGGCAAGTAGAATAAATACATCAATCTTCCCAAAATGTCACCTGCTGGCTGCGAACTCGCAGCAACCTCCTGCCCCTTAAAGGCTGGCTTTCAAAAGTGAGAGACGGTTTCTGGTTGGTGATTTCAACTCACTTAAGAATATGTCAGTGGATGCCAGTGGGATCCATCATCTCCAGTAAAGCTTGAATATAAAAATATCTGAAACCACGCCCAGGCTTTCAGATGGCACAGAATTGACCCAGGCTCGGGCATGTCACAGAAATCACCCGATCCGCCTAGAACAGGTGTCATCCATGGTGTTATTGCACAAATCCACTGGATACCAGGACCATCTCAAAGGGTGTCCAAGGGACTGCCCTACACTACTTAGAGATCTTCATTGGACACGCATTGGATGTTCTAGGTTTGTAGTTTACCTGCAAACTGTCCAGTGTTCATGTTGGATTTGCTCAGGAACCTGGAAAAAATATGAACAATATTCATCAGGAGATTTAACCATGGAAATAAAACATATCTCAAAACCAGGTCATGTTGAGTCCCATCTTCCAATACCCCGAACAAGGCCAACCAAACAAACCCAACAAATCTGCCCAATGCTGGGCCCCGAAGCATGTTCGGATCAATCCGCCCCGAAGGGCCCCGAAGCATGAGGCAGATTCAGAATCCTGATGGCATCTTGATCTCTTTTGATCATTGGCTGTCCAATGTCCACACCATCGAAGGCTTGAGGGCTACATCATCGACCCACCCTTCATGGCGTCCTCATGAAGTCCTCATGGCGTCCAGATGTCCATGGCGTTCCCCAAACGCGAAGGCGCCCGTTCCCAGCGCAGCGCGCCTCATGAAGGTGGCGGGGTACGCCGGAGCAGCGCTCGAACCGTCGGCCATCGGTGTCGAACCCACGCGGGCGGGACCCGCGACGCCGGGCGTTGGGTGGAAGCTGCGGTCGAAGGTTTGGTGAGTTTGTGTGTGCGATGTTTGTTCGGTTCAAACAAAGCGAGAAGGTTACGTGTTTTATCTAGTGAAGGACTTTGACACATTAAACCTTGAAACCAATGAACTTGGCTCCACATAGATGCAAGTACTCTTCCAACTGTCTGTCTGCATCACTCCAAGAAAGGCTGAGTCTGGTGTACATGGCTATTGAGTCGATCTTGCTGCGGGATTCGGCATTGGAAACCATCCACTGGACGCCCTTTTTGTCTATATTATGGATGTTGCAGGATACAAAAGCACCCCTGGCAAAACACAGAAGCGACCTGGGAAAAGTCGGCCCGAAAGCAAACACAAATAGAGCACACACAAACAGAGCAACAATCAGGAGCCAAATTAAATTCATGAAGAGAAGTTCCCAAATACACACGGAAGTGTCAAAGCAAGCTAAGCATGAACAATTCTGGCTATATCGCAGCATGCGTGTGTGTGTGTGTGTGTGTTTGCTACAAAAAAAGTAAAACAACTACAGCGTTTCTGTATTTTGTTGACTTAGCTGCTGTCTGCTGTCTTTCAATGTTAAAACATTGTGCCAGTCTCAATGCTGTGGGTTTAACACATATCGTCTTGGTCGCCTTGTCGTCTTGGTTACTCCCCTCCCCAATGATCTGCCGGCCGTGTTTCCCAAGTGTAGTTTAGCAATGTTGCTCTTGGTCCTGACATCAAATGAGAAACAATGTGTGCAACTGTCCTTGAAAAGGGCAGCAGCCATGTTTTCTTGCTTGTGTGAGAAACTTCGAGTATTTACATTGTAATTAAACAAATGTATATGTGTACCTTTTCTAGAATTGAACACAATCTTGCTCAGCGTAGTTACTTAAGCGACAAATGACAAAAAAAGGACCCATAGTGTGTGGCTGGAATCTGTGGCTCTTTCTTGATAGCGCATCCGGCAGTCTTCCACCTCTTCTTTTTGAATGACTCGCGAAGGAAATGCATTCTTCCCTCCAATCGGTTTGTGCGCCAATGAAAGCAACCTTCCCGATTTAGTGTCTTCTTGACACACTTGCTGGCTCCCTGTTGTCCAAGCAAACAAAACAGAGATCCAGTACACAACCAAATTGATATACCGTGACATTCTCGACCAAATTGTTGAGCTAAAGCTCTAGCGCCAGCAAGCTCTGAAGTAGGATCCGCGTACCTTGAGACATGCCTACGTGCTCCGAGCTCAAAAGTTTCTGCTTAGCTGGTTTTCTTACTTCTTGCCTTATGTCTGGGGCGCCTTCACCAGCGATGTGCACCACGGTGTCACCGTCTACATCACCGTCCAAACCGCCACAATGACATCGGCAGGTGGAGGCTACCGAAACCACGTCGAAAGGGCTTGGAGCGATGTAGGCAAAAGGGAGAAATCCCTTAGATATTGAGGCTACTTCGGCTGAAGGTCATGGCTACCGTCCGCCCATAGCAGGGTTCTGCACCTCTGGGAGCTCATTCTGGGATACAAGTTTGGGCAATGAGCAAGGATTGAGTTCGGGTGATTTATAGACTTCCCCACATACTATTGGTTTCCCGGAACTGGGAGATGCTGGAACTTACATGTTGCTTGTCATTGAATGCTTTCAAGCTGCACGTGCTGTACAGCTATAGGCTATAATTGTGTCTTGCTCTTTCTTCGAGGCTGCAGTCGTGATCTTGAATATCTGTCTGTTGTTCAGCCTCTATGTACCGATTCCTTGCAAAAAGAATTGGAAAAACAACAGACAAAAAAGGAATGAATGATACCTGGACCATGCTGGAGTAAATTGTTACAGTTTGTGGACACATATAATATATATATATGTGTGTTTGGAATCCCTCTCGATGTGTGTGTGTGTGCTTGCGAAGACTCAACAAGAAATTCATTCTGAAAACATGTAGGGGCCCAGTGTGTGGGCACGCAGAAAGCCACGGCTATCAGAAAGCCACGGCACAATTTGCATCAACAACTAGGTTTGGGAACACTGGGCCCCTAATCACTTAGGGTCATCAATGGTGTAAATGATGGTAAATGTCTATTATGTAAGTATGGCTTGGTTCGACTCACAACCCCTCCATATGAGAATCCTGATCTTGCGACAGGGTGGTGGGATGTGACCTGTTAACTGTTACGAGCACCTTCCTGCCAGGATTGTCAAAATCGGTTCTTGATAAAATGTTCAGAAATTTTCAACATGTTGTCGACACCTTTTGTACAATCCGTCATTCTTAGGGCTCTAAGAGTTTATGTAAATCTTCACGAGCCACCCGTCGCACCTCAGCCAAACGCTGTCCAGCGGCCCGCGGTAGGGTGGAGGCCCACTTCACCGCCAGCGTGAAACGGAAAACTTGCGGTTTTGTTGCGCGCAGCGTTGGTGTGGGCACGCGGGCGCTAAGTGCCTCAGATGGTCAAATGCAGATTGCACGAAATTCACGAGCCGTTCCAAGCGTCCATCTCAGGAGAAACATGCCCCACCCTAGGGCTCCAAATACCTTCTCTGAAAAGGTGTTTGGGTTGGGTTTGGAGGGTCCAAATACCTTCTGAGGAGCTACTTGGAGCCCTAGGGCCAAACGCTAAATCACAAACCATACCAAAGAGCAGAAGACATGCCAGCCTGAACTTCCCTCTGTTCCCTGCAAGGGCCCGGACGTGGCGATGCTCAAGTTGGAGGATCTGATTTGAGGTCTTCAAATGCCTCGTCTCAAGTGTCCTTATCACCTTGGCTGTGGACCGCGGACGACCGAAAAACTGTTCACCTGCAGAAAGATGCACTGTGACTGTGTATCCCGACAGAAAAGTATAGAAGATTGATGTGTCAATGTGATGCGTCGCTGGCCTAACTATAGACCAAGGAGTCACAAAACGGGGTGGTAGAATCGGCTCGTCCCATCGAGTGGATCATGGGCACCCCTAGCCTTACTTGGAGGAAGCAACTCCTTTTGGATCCAAGGCACCGCTCGGGAGGCCGAGCTGTGCCTTGGAGTTCCCCGAACGGGCCAGGACCCCTCCAGAAGAACTTCCCAGTGTGCCCCAAACCTCTAGTTGGCTGTGCCTTTCTTTAAGCCTACTAGGGGTGACTGGAGATTGACCCTGAAACACACAGGATTGAGTGTTCAGTACTATGTCCCTTCTGCTAGCTGCTAGAGCTAGTGATCTGACCACCCCATGAACATCTGGCAGCCGAAGTGGTCGCGCCCACGGTCTTCCGCGCCGGGTCACTGTGCCAGGCGCGCCATAATCGGGGTCTCTGCTGATGTCCCGCGGTCAAAGCAACGATCAAAGCGATTTCTTCTCGCGTAGCTAGCGCGGAAACATAGCTGCGCGCGAGAAGCGCACTCGTCCTCGCCTTAAAACCTTAAAAGCCCAATTCTTCGCAGACCCAGTTCTTCCGCCCCGACTGAGTTCACTTGGGGTCTTAGGGAGAGCCCCTTGGTCAAGTGGGTCCCCCCTTCTTGATGCAAAAGTTTGACTGTTGGACTCTCTCTCTCTCTCTCTCTATGAAATTCTATGCTGCAGGTCATGGAAACTCTATATGAAATTAATTCACGATCCCAGAATGTGGAGTCATCTCCCATCTCGATGATGAGACGCAACCGACACTGTCCTCCCCCGGCTCTGGCAGTTTCGCTACTCGGAGCAGCAAACAAGGCCAGCCAGCGCAAGACATGGCAAAAGCCAGCAGAACAAACCAGTCCGGGGGGGGAAGCCAAAGGCTCGGTGATGGTTGCACCTGGGCAACAAATCTCAGAGCCAATGAACAAATTGGCTGCTGAGATACTGCATGAGATACAAATCGATTCTGGGTTCAAGCCGCACTTTCAGGCGCGGAAAGCAGCAGCTCGCTGTATGCCGGGTTGAACCTGCTTAAACAGTCTAAAATATTCAGCATCTGTTGAACTCTTTCTGTGCAGAAACCCGACGAACTGTCACAGCTAAAACAAACAAAGGACATCAAAGGACTGAACACTGTAGAACAGCTTCCGTGAGTCTGTTGATGTCCGGGTTGCACAGGTTTGAAGAACGACAGCCGTGCAATGCATTATCGACTCTCTGTGGTATCGATTCGCTTGCAGGACAAGGAAATTGCACTCTGAAGGTCACTAGCTTGGCTCTGGACCAGTATTCAAAGGACCAGAGTGCACTGAATTTCTGAACAGTTTCTGAACAGTGCAGCGCGACTCCCCCGAAAAGGGGACTCCGTCTGCTGAAGAAAAATGAAAAACCGGACCTGGATTCAGCAGTGACGCGGCTGATGTTGCAGCAACAACGCAAGAAAATGTGGCAGTTTTAACGTCAGGTGACCCAACGGGTCTTCAGAACTCCGGAACTGTCGGTGACCCAACGTTTCATGTGTTTTTTGAGTGCCTTTCATAGGGTCGTCGCTACAGTCAATCTCGCACCCAAACCCGCCGTTCTTTCGAGGTTTTATTGTGTGACTAGCCCACGAGTTCGGAGTCCACCAGGGCCCCACCATGGCTCTCTGTTTGTTGCAAACGGGTGAGTCTAAGAAACACGAAGAGACCAAAGAAGCGAAAGAAGAAGGAGTATACATGAGTACACCATCTGAGGCCCAGCGCCGTCAGAGGTGTCCGATTCACAAGTCACATCAGCACGGTGCGTCGCGTGGCCACTGTGATGACTGGGGAGAGATGAGCAAGCTCAGGGATGTTTCCTCTGAATCTCGGCAAGCATCATGAATCATTCATGAATCCAGGAACGTCATAGGTTTCATCCATCATAGGTGGTCTATACAAAGCTAATCAGCCCCCACCCGGCTTGCACCATCTCGCGGAGAAGGCCCGAGTTCCAAGCCCGGCTCGATCCCATGCCAGCCACGAACGAGTCTGATCGAGTGTAAATCAGCCTTCGCGCCACGTGTAGGTCCTGCACCAGGACCAACACCCGATGGGACGAACCCGAGTGGTGCAGCTTCTTCTTCCCACCCGGAGCACCCTGTGCACCCGAAATCCCATCGAGCTCAAGTGTTCATGACCACCCGGACGGCCCATTTCAGTGGAGCGATTGCTCGGTGTCTGACATCTGGCACCACAGCACCCCGACGGTGGACGAAAGTTGGCACAACCCAAGATGCAGTCTTTATTCTGGGCTTAACCTGATACTGATACCATCGAAAACGCCTCCATCTACGGAGAGTGCCAGAACACGAAGAGCTGTTCCTGCAAGTAACAAGAACAGCAAACTCCATATGATGGTGAACTCCGAGGAATCATCTTTCGGTCCACTTCCAGCAGTGGGTGTGCTTCATGGAAGAAGGTGACCAGGGGTGAGTGGTCAGTGGTCCAAAAGTCTCATTCCAATGCATGCAGCGAGTTCTTGCCTAGCCAATACGAGAATTTCAGGGTGTTGAAACGAGAGACCGAGATACACCATGTGTCCCATGTTGCCATGTTGCGGCGAGCCCACACCTTTTTTGCGGCCGTTCGAGGGTCAGGAGGATGGTGCCAACAATGCATGGCAGTGGATTCAGATGAGCCGAATTGGCCATGTATGAGATCAATGCAATCAAGCTAAAGTAGGTTGTCATGCCGGCACGTACTTGTGCGTCTCGGGCAAATATGTTATATACCTCGAGAAAAAGTATCTGCTTGGATAAATTTAGAACATCGAAGTGTTTGCCCAATGCCATGAACATCGCTGGATCATCTGAGAGGGGTCATGCAGTCATGCTTCTGTTCAGCACCCGGATTGTGGAAGAGCAGCATATTCCCCTCAAGCACACCATGCGTTTGTTCGTCCTCCCTCCATCCCTGCACGAGAAGAACAGCTGACATGTTCCAAGTCGCTGGTGCACCGTTGCGATCTCCGACCGAACCCGGCTCCCAAATCCACCGCTCTCGGTGTCCAAAAAGGCATAAGGCCCAGGGTTCCGTCGCTCTGGTGCCGCACGTGCGAGCTGTCAGTCCATCCCCAACTGTTGAGTCCATCCCCCCACTGTGCGAACCAATGCCACTGCCGGACTAATTACCTGGACCCCCAGTCAGGGTGGTTCATGGACACCCCTTGACCTCTTTTCGGGGCAATGGACACCAATACGTGGTGCTGGGATGGGTGGCATAGATGTTGGCCCGGTCCAGCCAGCTCGCGTGGCTCACCGGTCCATTCGGCCGCCGTCCTTTAAGATGTGGTGCAAACACGGTGGTCTCGTTGGCACCTCGGAGGGAGACCACGAGAGCGGACGCGGAGCACGTGTGGAGAAAGAGAACACGGTCGCAGTCGAGAAGGAGAGGGAAGAGAGGTTTGAGTATGCTTCCCCAACAAAAGCGATGTTTCGGAACTCAAGGTGCTTTTGGGGGGAACATATTGGAACATGTTTCTTTTTGGACAAACCCTTGGGTTCCGTAATTTGAGGTTATGGTACGGCCACACATGTTCCACCACTTCGCCAACTATAGCTTCACCAGATGGTTCACGTGTTCTTCTCCCTGGTTTTTTTCGGTCACCCAAAAACGGGCCAGTTCCAGCTCAGGAACCGGCCACAAGCTCAGTTTTAAGAGGCAAAAACGATGGTTTCACGCCCAGGCCGCCCCGGGTTCTACACGCCCTGGTCGACCCGACGACGTCGCCGGCCACCCGGCAGAAGTGTGGGTCGCGGCCGATGGCTGGATCCTTCACCAAGGACAAGCTGCATGAGCCTAACCTCTAGGAATCCTGCAAGCAAAACTCCAAACATGCACCACTGTAACCATCTCCCGGGTGCCCTGCCACGCGTGTTTCAACACTTTTGCAGCAGTTGGCCTGGCGTGAAAAAGCGGTTGGTTCTGGATCGCCTCCTCGCAACCATGTAGCGCTCTTTGTCCATAGGCAAAGTCCGATAGTTTCATATGTGTTGATTTGTGGACAAAAACATATCTATAAGAGCTCCAAACTATCTGCAACACATTTTGCTTGAACTGCAGTCGGAAAACAGTCATGTTCCGCACCAAATGAGAAACTGTTGAAATTGAACAGGAAATAGTATATAATTATAGTGATGCTTCACCAGACCGCAACTTCCAGGCGAAACGAGCCGTCCTCTATTTCACAGGCCATCACCGGCACACAGAAACTGGACAAAAATATGAGCACTTTCGAACCACTGGATTTCATAGGGTTTTTATACAACTAATTATAACTTTTGTACCAGTTCAGCGGCCTCTGGGGGATCTCGTCCGATTGGGAAACACCCACCCAACAACACCCTGACTTCTAAACTATAGTAACACAAAGTCAAGCCCAGTTTGAGGTCCTTGAGCCCTCCCTGCCAGCGCACTTCCGGCCACCCGATGTCGGCCAAAGAACTGAAGGCACGGGCACGTCGTGCCTCACAACCTCCCGACCCGGCATCCTCCGGCCTCTTGTCAGGGTTTTCCTGCAATAGTTCCAACAGCAGCTCCATTGCGGCCTCCACCAGGGCGTTTTCGAGATGGGAAGGATGTCAAAACGGAGCAATCGACCAAAAGCCTGAGGGGGGTGGGATGGACTTAGATTTGGAATGACAAAATGTCTACCATGTTAATGTTCTGATTCTTGGAAGTCCCTAGCGTGACGTGAGAAGAAAAGACCTGCTTTCATGGGGCACATCGTTGCCTTCATGGGGCATGCCTACACTTTCTTCTGGCTTGCGGCTCCCATAAGGCCACAGCATTGCAAAGAACTTGAAGAAGCCTGATCTCTGCCAAGAACCCTAGTCACAGAGTAAATGACACTGATGACACTTCGTGCCAAGAATCCGTCTGTCCCAAGTCGCGCCTTTGAAGTTCGCAACCAAGTATCTCCTGTGTAGGTCACCTCGACCTACCAACGTCCCAGGGGTCCCAGCGGCAGCATGCAAACAGTTTTAGACCTTGGTTCACGTCTGCCAGTGCACTGCCACCAGTGCACGACTCGCCCGCCTTGCTCATGACCTTGACCATTTGATGGTAGGATGAGGCCTTAAATGTGCACCGAAACGCAGGAAACACGCTGCGTGCAACATCGAAAAAACTGCCGTGTTGTTTTTCCTCCACAACACACATGTAATAGCCCGGTGTCCAGGTTGATGAAGGAACATGTCGATTGCTATCAATAGTAGGCTTTTTTGTTGCATAATAGTTGTTCATATTGTTTGTGTGGGTACAGGCCTCATTGGTGGTGGGTCCGTTGATTCGTTGGTGACTGCCTGATGATTCACATCAGGAATGGACTTCCATTTGGTTGCACATGGGCCTTCCCGAACGAACGGGCAACAAAAACTTCACTTTGAGCCCTTCGTCGACACGACGAGCACCGACATGTTCGGTGAAATCTTGATCTTGATGAATAGACCCCCCAAGAGGAAGCCTTTTTACAATCCCCAAATGGGGGAGTTATTCATCAAGATTCCACATCAGTGGCCTACAAGATTCTATCAGTATGCCAGTATGCCTACTAAGCATGCCCGGAAGGTTCTGCGGGCGCCCGGCCGAAGGTTCGGTCGGGTTCTGCGGCTCTGTGTCCCCGCGCTTCAAAAGGCCTCCGACCCGCAAGGAGGGTATAGATCGCTGCTCCCGCCGACCAAAGGTCTGCGGGCTTTCCATACGGACGCCTTGGAGCGAGCAGCTGCGTCTGCGAGAGCAGGAGAGCGGGGTCGGGACGTGGGGAGAGGTGACTGGATGCTTTCTCCAACAGCACGAAACATAGATTATAGATCTATTTTGACATGTGCCCAGAAGCTTTGATAGGATGTCCTAAGAAAACAGATTCTGCAGATTCTGCTGGTTGTTCATTTGGACATCGTTTCTGGCCATGTGGACATGGCTACTCAAGAGTGGTCCATTGTTTGCTTCGATGCTGAGAAGACACGTCACATGAAGAGCATCAGCTAGGCTCGCTGTCGGGGCTTCTTTCAAAGCTGGCTTGCCAGCAGAGCCTATAAGAATATATACTCGGTTCATGAATCCTTTCACCTAATAATTATAGATATGATTGAACGGGTGTCACCAGCAATTGCTGAAGGATTTCCATTCCTTTCTGACTTAAATCGCTCCGCTCAATCCGCTCAGCTCGTGTACCGGCTGGGCGAGACTTGCTCTCGTCGCTGGGCCTCCACACCCCCGAACGACCTCCGGCGCCGAAGTGGAAGGTGATCCGACTTGTTCCATGAGAACCTCCGAAGGGCGGGCTGGCAGCTCGCGCGAAGGGCGGGCTCGCTGGTGAGCGAAGGAAAGCGAAGACGTCGGGTGAAACAGACTTTCTGCCAGGCACCCCGATGTGGCCCAGGCGCGAAACCCCAAGTTCTGTGGGGTCCAAAAAGACGGAACGACACCTGGGTGGGAACGGTCTGGAAAAGCATCCAATCGCGCAGCAGCATTGGAGAATCAACATCTCCCTGGCACTTCAAATCGTCCAAAGTGAGAACAGGTCGCTCAAGCCCAACGCAGCTGTTCTCAAGGTATTCAATGCCCTATAGCTTTCGTCCCATAGAACCAGATTCTTTAGTGTCCTTATAACTAGGTCTGCCGGTCTGCCGTCCTCGATCCGTCACCCCTGTTCGGTGACGGGGTGGAAAAGGGCCGGGTTGGTCCTTTCCGTGTCCGGCCTTCAAGCCGGACACGTCCGGCAGAAGCGTGGGTCGTATCCTAAACGCTCTCAGGCTCTCATGTCACTAACCTCTCTTCCAGTTCAAGGATGTTTAAGGGGACGGTACCAAGAGCTCGGTTGGATTAGAGAGAAGTAGAAGAACCAAAGGTCCCAAGAGTCAACCGTCGAAGTCCCAATGGCCCATATTGGACACCACTGAGCCATCGGTTCCTTACAGTTCCTTCGTTAAAGGTCCATCCCACTGTGACCGTTCCTTGGAACACAGGCGGTTCGTGGGGCCTCATCGGGCATCACACATGCAGCCAGTCCCAAATCTCCCAATTTGTAGGTGCAGTCCTGGTCGCGGTCGCAGGTCGAAATCACCCAGACCCAAAACGGCCGCTTCACGGTGAAGCGTCCAAGAGGATCCAAGAGGTCACGGTGGCCATTCGTGAATGACTAGCAGGGGTCAACGCTGACCATGCGTAGACCACGAGTATACTTCATACATATCCATTCGCTCAGCAATGTTTGGAAACTTGGTTGCCTCCAAACCAGACCAAACAGCTGGCTGTTTGGAGGGTCTTCTGTGAGTCTTAGTGCGAATGGCATAGACCAGCATAGACCCAAGATTCTTCCAGTGGTTTGTTCCGAACGCTCTCCGTACCTGAGAGGGGGCCAGGCAGTGAATGTCTGCCTCCCAACGGTCCTCCAATGTCATTTGGTTTGGAGCCTGCCACAGAGTCGAGCGCCGCGGCGCAGCAAGGCTTTTTGGCAGCAATCGGTCTTTGGTGCTTCCGAGCTTTCTGAACACACTCTCCGGATGTTTTCGTTGATGTAGGTCCAGTTCCATCATATTTGAGTGTAGGGACCAAAAGGATTTACAATCAAAACATCTATCCAATGTCTATCTGTTGATATCTTTGTGGCTAGAGGGACAGCTTGAAGGAACCCCAAGCCAAAAAACAATCAAAAACAGCTTTGCGATGTAGCCCCATGTAACCGTAGCTGTTGCATTATAAGTTATAATATAAGTTAGGGCTTCTACCCAGCCACAATTTCCACTGCTCCGAGCCCCTTCTCATCTTTGTGCGGTTGTGGCGCACTGAAATCGAGCATGATTGCGCGATATGGTGCAAAAAAGAAACGCCCTGCAGCTGAGGGTGCGTAAAGGCTGGCCTCAAGTTTGAAAACATTCTCGCATTTCACCTTGGTCCAACCAGCTTCCGATGCAATGGACATCTGAGATGAACTGTTTTGGACTCTCCCCAGTTGTCTTCGTTGCACCAGACGTGATAGGCAAAATGGGATCTGTGATTGAGCGTACGGAGAGCGTGGGTATGACAACAAGGGATTGAGATGGATTGAGCAATTCTATCCTGAGATGATGAATTCAACCCAATGGGCGTGCCCTGCGTTTTCGCTTGAAGATAGAGGTCTGTCCATATGAGCGGGCGAGGATTTGGGAGGACACGACACATCTACCAGCACTGAAAAACAGGCACCCTCACTGCCAGGTCACCGATATTTGAGACCTCTTGGGGCCCTTCCCAACCCTCCATGTCAGAGATCTGTTTGAGGGTGCTGGTCTAGAAATATATGTCTGTATGATATTGTGTTTTAGATTTTAGACCAAAGGACCAGGGACCCTGACTCTCCGACCCAGTCTCACCCCTCTGTCTCTTCGAAAAAAGGCCCTCGCCCGGGCAAACCCCTCGGCATCCCCAACGTCTCGATGGACTACCCCTGGAGAGGTCGGGAACCGCGGCCGCCGTTGGCTGGAAACGGTGGCCGGAAAAGGAGCGGCTGACCGCCGTTGGCTGGGAAAGAAGGATTCCAGGTTTTTGACGTTGGGTGAGGGGAGAAGAAAGATCACCCGGAGAAGCTGAAAAGGACTGGAGGTACCTGGTACCGCACTCTATCTGGGCGCTTGGGGTGTGTTGGTTTGGAGTCCGGGGAGGGACATTGGCCGGGTCATAACTGCCGAGAATAAGAAGACCTCTTGATGTCGATGGCAAAACCGTTAACCGCACAAAGAGATGACATGTTGGTGGCCAGTCGAATCGAAGCACAACGCATGAGAATCAACAAGTTAGGGGAAAGCAAATAAATCGTTCTATAATACAGCTTATACATCAGGTTGAACGATCATAAAAGACAAGGGAAACCTGTGTCTTGTTTCTACATGTTCCTACATGCTTTGGGCAAAACATGGCAAAACAACATCAATCCGCGCCTTGCTCATGAAGGTAGGCCAAAGCACGAAACCTCAGGGGAGAGAACCGCTGGATCGCCATGAAGGGCGATCCAATGGTTCGGGAGTGCAGGCTGCGGAGACTAGGAACAACACTTGGGGACTCTGCAAAGGAGTAGTATTCTCTCGTTTGCTAGCAGAAAAAAACTCTGCTAGACCATGCTAGACCACTATATACTCAATTTAGCTGGAGGTAGCACGCATATCGTTTCATGTTCTGCCTCAAGTCCAGTCTTGCGATTGGCTCACAAGACAAGACGTTGCGCAGCAACTTGATCACTTCATCACGGACATCACCGACGTCATCAAACGATGACGATCGTCGATCGACACACTCCATGAGTCGATCGTCGAGGGAAGGCGTTCGTTCGGTCTTTCCGCAGGAAACGCGGAAGTCCTTCGACCAGGTCGAGGGGCATGGGCCAAAGACTGGGCGGGCCATACGTGTGTATTTGAAGAGGGAGACCATGGGAGACCCCGGACACCGAACCAATGGGTAGACTGCATGGTCTATTTCCCTTCTTCCGCAAGTGTTTCGAACTCTGAGGTCTCCTATAATAAACACCCATATTCATCCATGTTGGGTGCAGCATGGTGCCGCCTGGTGCCAAGTGCCTTTCCTCGCTCTTCCCTCAGTTGGGTGGTCCGAAGGGGTGCACTGTCAGTCTGGGGGCCAAGCATGTGGGTCATTGCTCGGCAGGTGGCTGATTCTCTCAAGCCTCGCGCAGGCGGCGCGCGTCGTCCATGGGCGGCTCGGGAGCGAGCCGTCTCCACCCGGCTCCACGTCACGTCTGACGCTTCACGGCCAGGATCCCAGTGGCACTGGGTACGATCGAGCGAATCGCCGGTTCGTTTGGGAGAGCGGAGAGCGACACTGGCCACAGACTCTCTTGCGGAAGATAGGCAATGTCTCACACACTGAAAGTGACAAAAGCACTGTGTCGGAAGCCTTCCTGTGTCGGGTCGGTGGACTTTTCACCAGGTCAACCATCACAGGAGAATAATCCCTTCCACCTATTACACCCCAATTGAGAAAGACTCGGGTGCGTGTGTCATTTTTTCTTATAATAGGGGGTCCCTGAAATCGGGGTTGTCCAAAATAGGGTCAGTGGGAGGATCAAAACAAACCAAATTTGTTCTCAGTAAATATAATCATAATATATATATATATATATATGTTCATTAAACTTGAATCAAACATTGAAAAAACCTCCAGATCGAAATGATCGAAGGGTTTTCCTTTTCCCTTGATGAAACCTCTATTAAAATAATGATTCTTCATGAGACTAACAACTAAAGCTTTCGAAAGGCGACGTCGCGTAAGTCGGTGCCATTGGGGGAAGGAAAACCTGCGCGGTGTGTCATGGTGGTGGACAACAAACAGGGTGGACAGAGGTGGGAAGTTAGGGTTGTTTTTGGAACCTAATTACAGTAAAAAACACACTACACCAAAATTGACCACGTTGGTAGTTTAGTAGCAGTTGTCAAGGGCGGTAGTTTAAAAACAAGTGTTAGACCGTATTTAGGGGTTTCGGACATGGTATTTTTTAATAAGTACTCGGGATTAAACGTTCGGAACATCACGATCAGAGTGACAATAAGACCCCTTCCACACCACCCCAGTTGTGACAGTTCCAACAACTCATCTCATGCATTCTGATGCCCTTTATCAGGTGACCTCTATATCACCTCTCCTGTGTCGGAATTGTGTGGTGTCCTGCGCGCCGCCATTTTGGAGATGCATGAAACCCTAAGGTTGTTCTCTCTCATCTCATGATATCCTGCAGGAGACCTCTTGGACACCACCCCCGATCGTCTTGTCTCTCAGCTCCGCCCCCGATCAGCTCGGTCGCGAGGGCGCGAACGCCGCGCAGGGGCGCCCGCACCCTTGCTGTTCTTCCCTCGATGACGCGACATGACCTCTAACATGTCGCCACCTGCCGGAGTCGCAGTGCTTTCGGGCCGTTGTGCTTCTTCGGGCGGGCGGTATTAGCAGTCTTGTCGCATTCTAAGGCACAGAGTTCGGGACTGAAGAGAGTCTAGGATCCAGAGATGTTTACGAACTGTGATCATCTGAATGTGAAGGTCTGGAAAGAATTGGATCTACAAGCCAAAGCGCCTGGAAATGCTCAGCTTCCTCTCGTTCAATCCCGCAAAACATGATGATATATTCTTATATATTCTTCATGGCATCCAAAACGAAGACCTCGGGGGATGCATCACAGATCATAATGATTAGCATGAATTGGCATGAATCACACGGTGCCGACCTGCTAGGACCTGTATGGATGACCCGAATGGAAACCCCCCTGAACACACCGTTGGCGTCGTGCACACCGTTGGCGTCGTGCACACCGTTGACCGAAACGGAAGACAGGAAGGCACTCAAAGCAATGCAACATGACGCCAGGAAGCACCCCAAACAAACAAAGAGTAGGCTAGGTATGAGTATTTATAGGTTCATTGACTCTATGAGTGTAATTGAGTAATTATATTAACTACTTTTTCTTGTATACAAAGAGTTAGCAATTGTAAACTGATCTGTAGACTTAATGGCATGCAACATGTAAACGATTTGACTCGCATACTTTGCGCACGGCACTTGCATCGAATTAGTATAATGTATATATACATATTAGCCAAAAAGGTCTACGGCTCATATTGTAAAATCTGGAATACTGTCCAAAAGTCAAAGGTGAGACTTGTCAGACTTGTGGGATTGTCGATGCATATATATCATAAATGTATTTATACACACTGACATACACTATTATATGTATATATATATACAGTGTATAATACATATACATATATATATATAAGGGAGTCGCATTGGCTGGTGATGATGAAAGGGCCTGCGTATCCCGTTCTACACCCGGGCGCCTATGCAGAATTCCAAGACGATGGAAACCATCTTGCTCCCTTCGTCATGGAAGGCCTGAAAACGCTGGAAAGCCAGGACCGCACAGCTGGGACTGTGGGAACGCACCAGGAGAGGTCCATGTGTAGTCAACTTTGAGTACGTGACACAATGCAACCAATCAGCTTTTGATCATGTGCTCCCATGAGTGCTTAGTCACCATTCAAGGGGGAGCCGTGCTGTGTCATTGATGGCACAAACAGCCCTCAGGCCAGCGCAAGTGTCAGGGGAGACACTTGAAGTCGTTTGAATCAATACATCTCTGAAGCGAAGGTGCAACTGCAAGTGGTACCATCCCTGAAACAATCCATCCACTGGAAGTGGACCATCCACTGGAAGTGGACCATCGCCTGTTTGTAAAGGAACATGGTATTTCCATGGGTCGTCTTCCACTTCCATGGGTCGTGTGTTCAGGGAGGGGGAACCCCAGAAAGAACGTCCTGAGATGCCCCGCATCGATCAATTCCACGAGATTCCTCGGGCCGCGGAGTGGAACCAGGGCGGTTCCACCGGGACGGTGCAAGCTGGACCCCAAAGGGGAAGAGGGATCTATGGAGCGTTGAACCCCCCAAGCCCAACGCTTCGTGAAGACCAAGCAACAAAGCAATGGGTGGTAGCTGCTTGATTCGTGTCTCAGAGTAGGTGACTGTAGGTGACCACCAAAGAAGATGACACAGTATGACATGACACCAGACATGTGACATGTGATCCTACTTTGGTGCACTATTTGGATATTGATTGTGGGCAAGAAACCAAATGTGTCGGTGGATTTTTGCGTACCTTCTTTCCTCTTTCCTGCCCCAAGAACAAGCACCGGTTGGGAATTTGGGCTGGATTGGTGGAGAATTTCTTCCAACTGTCTCACCTGTGACAGATCGTCATAGGTGATATATATATATATATATAATTGCTAGAGCGCCCGCTCCTGGGTTTCTATGACTCTCCAACCCGCTTCGAAACGCCCTCGGTGAGAGTACTCCGGTCAAGTCTCGGGTGATGCAGATTCTGGTGCAACCCAATCTCGCCGGGCTGAGCCTCAAGCGGTTTTTTCCACCCGGTGCGCCGGTCTCGCTGGTCTCGCGGTCGGACGCAAGTCTTGCGGTCTTTTAAGGAAAAGAACGTAGACTCTCCAGATTCTGGCCATAGTTCAGAATCCACTGCAATGAATCACTTAGCTCACCTCCCATGTCTAGGCTTCTTTCAGTTTTCAGGCCCGGCTGGAGCACTCAAAAAGGGTCCCGACGCCCAGATCGACCAGGTCAGCTCGTGTGTAATTCGACTCTATTGTTATTTACAGCAAGTCCCCTGCCCTGAGGAGCATACACTTCTCAGAACTTTTGGCAAACATCCCACAGACTTTGGATCCTGAAAAAAGGAACAACAACGCCCCCCCGGTCTGGGTCCTCAATTTCGGCCCTTCGTTGTCGAGACATGTCGAGACGACCCGAAACCCGACGAAGCGAAAGTTGGAACCCCCAATGAGAGGTAGCCCCGCTCTCGAGCGGGGGTGCAGGACATGTCTTTGCCACACTTCCTCAGCTCCTCAATCTCAGATGCCATAACATCCAACTCTGTTGATCTAATGATGTATCCTCCAAGGCCACCATCTTCACACCAACAGCTCCGATATCTTTGCTCTCTGAATCATTTTACCATCTCGCAAAGGTCCAGTGTCCCAGGAACCCTCATCTTTTTAATGTTAACCTGAACCCAGAGGTTCCCTGCCTGAAGCATCCTATACACCTAATATGTTTGGAATGCATCTCGAAAATGCCAACCACTTGCTCAATTGTTAGTACCTTGAAATTTCCTGAAAATCTTCAACAGTTGGCAGTTTCTCCATTTCTTCGCCCAAGCCACGCCATGGCCGAAAACACAACGCCGACCACGTCCGTGCAACCTGGCGCTGCAACGCGGGACCGGCAGGAAATGCAACTGATCTGAAATAACATCTCAAGACTCTTGCCCAAACACTCCGTTCAAGTTCACAGCTCAAACGGTCCGACTTGGTCCCAAACCTAGAGACAGGTTGTAAACTGTGGGAAAAGGGTCAAACCATGACAAACCCAAAGGCATCTCCAAGACACTTGTCCAACTCAGGAAAATTGATCCACTCATTTTGGCCAAAAGCAACAAAACAAAGCTGCTCTGTCGATGCAGCAGCACCGCGCGCGTGGATGCAACTCCTCGCCTGGTTCGGGAAGCGACGGATGAGGTTGGGATGGAAAAAACATGGGGATGGAAACAATTGGTTTTAGATGAACACAATCTTTCAGGGTGTCATTCTCGGGGTCCATGTTCGTTTTCGGGGGTGTACTGAGTCTAGCGCTGACGCTTCCAACGGACTGACGAGACAAAGCCCCAATAGGTCCAAGACATGTATGCCATTTGTCCAATGTCACACATCATGGATACTGGAGACTGAACATGATATATATATATAATATATATTTATATATATTATGTTTAGGTTCACCAGAGGTGGCTTTGTTTTAAAACCGTGTATCTTGAAAAAACGAAAAGATGCTAACAATAAAACCCAAGCAAATAAAAAACGACCAAGAAAAGAGCCAAAATCAAACAAACACACACTTAAAGCACTCTTTAACGTGGTCAAACTAAAAGGTCAATAGGGGCAATGCGACTACCCGCACCACTAGTCCCTAGCAAGGGCCTCTGCAGACGAACTGTAGATTCGGAATTCAACGCGTTGGAACCCTATAGGCTTAGTACTGGGTGAAGAAGCCAAGGGTCTTTCATCCCCGAAGCCCAGCTGAGTGGTTTTGTGGCGGGTCAAGCGTCTCACTTTTGGTCGTTCCTTTTTCTGGTGCCGGGTCAAATGTGGCACTTTTGGTCGTTGGTCTTTTTTTGCAAAACAAAGAGTGCAGTTAGTCACCCAGTCGCTCGCAGCTACAGTAGCAGTAAATTTGTTCTTTCTTGGCTTGCGTTTTGTCAGGAATTGCCAGGTAACTCCGTTTTGTCAACTGGTTGTCCCGCTGTTTGTTGCAAGGGTATTGTCTTGCTTGTTACAAACATGCTGTGTTGTTCCATGTTTTGCTTGCAATTCTGTTTGCTTTTATGATTCCTTTTTTTCTGGCTGCATTTTGTGATTGCTTTTTTGCGTTGTTGTTGCTTCCTTTTTCCAGATGAACAACTTCTAGAATAAAGGGGTCTGGCAAGCAGAATGTTATGTGTATATATATATACATACCTAGACCCAAACCTGGAATTCATCCACTCTACATGATCTGGTCCCAGAAAATTGCCCGGTCAAAGTCAACTGTTACAAAAGACCTGCTTGAAGCAGCCTTTCCAGTCCTTGAATGAGCTGTTACCTCGTTCCCCTTGAACGGGCGATGGCCGACCACCACCCATGTCCATCGCATGGCCCGGCCCCATGTCCATCCCAGCTCACCCAGAATCTGCATGGACCGGCAAAATACCAGGACACCAACATCCCCAGTGACGAGCATAGCCACAGTCAAGCGTCAAGCGTCTTTTCAAACCATGGTCTCTTTGAGGCCATTGAAGAGATCTTTGAAAAACCTCTGATTACTAAGAACAAATCAAAATCATCCGTTCACAACAGAACAACCACAAGAATCACTTCCACCTCCACGGCCAAAATCATTCTCGGCCTCAACGGCCTTTGTATCACAACTCCGTGGCACCACGCCCGGCACTGGCGGACGCACTGGAGTCCCGTGACGGAGCCCGCGACTGCAGGCGCTGGCGCAACGGCCGAAGGCCGTCTGGGTGCCAGGCCTGGAAGTGGTTTCAGCTATAGGCTGACAGCCCGCCAGTTGATCTATAGAAAGAGTTCATGAGCTAGCCTTAAATATTTTAAATATTGGGTGAAGTGAGGTTGTGTAAAGACCCCTTTATCTTTGCCTATACAACGGTTGACGTTATCGTTATCTTTTCTTCCTTATCGTTTTACAGCACTTTGGCTAACTGCAACAAAACTAGTATAATGTTGTGCGCGCAATACATGCATGTGGTGTGTGGAACCTTGCAGGCATGAAGACATTAGGCACACTTCATTCCAACTACACCCATGTGGTGGCCTGCTTACGGAAAGATGTTTTAGGCTCGCTGGCTGTGCTATCTGTCCAAGCACATACCCACCAAGAGCACTCATGCATTGACCCTGACAATTTGGAACAGTAGTAGGTTTTCTGTTTGTGTGTGTGCACGTGTTTTCTTCACACCACTTCTGGCATGTCAAGGATGTTCCACAAGAGTCATCGGGGGTTATCCTATTGTTCTTCCTTCTCGTTTTACAGGGGATTGAGCATGCTTCCAGAAAAACGGACATGCAAATACTAATTTCTTACAGGGGGGGTTGTACTCTCTCTAGTGAAAACATCAACAACAGAGTTGCTATATACAGTATTTTTTGATATGTATACTTACATGCTTACGTACTATAAGTATGCATATATTGCCAATAGCATTAAATATCAGAATATCCGAAACATTTGCCAATCGTTTCGTTGCGTGTGACGTTGTCTACCTTTATTGAATGACTGTTGCGTGACTTTATTTGCCTGACTGGTCCCACAATGTCCAACCGGAAGTTCGCACCGCAGCTGCATGTCGCGCCGCATCGACTCACATCGACCGTCGCGCCGCCTCGTCCAAGTGCTTCAGCGAGGGGGCGGCCTCGAAGCCGCGTTGCAGCAGTGCCTCCAGTGTCACCTGCCACGTCGTCGACGTGCACGGTGCACGGTGAAGAGTGAAAAGGTGCAGGGTTCTGTATGTGTTTTCCCGGCCTTCCTGTTGCAGTATGCCCAGTATGCAAAATCAAAAGCTGCAAAGGAGGAGATTGCGCTGGAAAAATGCTGGATGGCCAAGACTTCAACGTGCGCCCTCTGCGCCTCCGCGCGAGAGACTTCTAAGGAGCGCAAGGCAAAGCAGTAGGTGTCCTTGTTCAAGGCGAAGGGTGTTGACAGACTCGAGAGACTTAAGTGTTTCATCATGTTTCATCAAATATAAAAGAACACCGAGACTTGTGGAAATAAGTTATATAACAGTGTAACAGATTGTCTCAGACTGAACCAACAGACTTGCAGACTTAAATAGACTTAACCAACAGACCGAACTGACAGACTTACAGACTTAGCCAACCGGTAAGTAGTTCTTGTTAAGTACAGTCAAATGCAGCGCCGTGTTAAATGGGATCATGCGGTATATAATGCAAATGCGTTTAATGATATATGTTTTCCGGGTCTTCACTTTTGCTCCATAATGGTTTTGAATGATTTTCCTGCTCTGGGTGGGCCATCTGTCTCTCCAAGACCAAACACAACAGACTTGCGATGCTGCAGTCAAAGGGAGCGGCAATCCAATCTGACGAGTGCCTTGCCCCAAATCTGACGTGGTGCGATGGCTCCGAGGGCGGAACCCAAAAAGGGCCCGAACTGTCGTGAGAAAACCAATTACTCCCGTGGAACTTTCTCCATATGAAGACGGTAGAACTGCATATGAAGTTTGTTTTGGTCAAAGTGCTTCGAAGTGCTCCCAGATGATCTTTGGAGCCAAAGTCTACAGTATCCTTAGTTAGATTCTCATAAATGATTCTGGACACTGCATGATTCAGTAGCCTTATCCCATGCGGCAAGTCTTGGGCAAAGTGTTTGGCCAACATCGACTCCTCTGTCCTCCGGCCGCACACGCCGGGCAAATAGCTCCTGAGCAGCCTGGCGCTGGTGTTGATGGTCTTGCTGCAACACTACAGTATACTACAGCTACCAGGCCTTTCAAGGAATGGCTTGTAGACCCATCTAGTGAGTGCCAGCTCAAAACTCTCCAAGCACCAACCCTACATGGACCCCCTGGCACAAGACTCCCTGGCACAGTTTGTGCATATCATATAGCCATGTTTCAGCAGAACCATGTGCTTGGTTAAAGGGATGGTGATGGACCTATGGATGTTCCTTCTTCCAAAAAATCTCCAGCAATGGTCCACCCAGGATCAGCCTGCACTCCGGAAAACCACCGAACATTTCAGAAGATCCTGCAGGATTTTGTAGACCCCGCACTATATAAATAGTGCATATCGTCCTGAAGGATAGGGGCCTGCCCCCGGTTTTGCCCGTTCTTCCCCTCGCAAGGGTCACTTGAGGTCAGAAAAGAGACTCTGCAGCCACATGTCATAACCACAACCTGTCTCAAATTCCCCCACATCATTTGAGAAATGTCACATGCCACCATACCCCAAATTTTTGTTGACTTTCGACATTTGGATAAGCCTTCAAACAACAAGATGCTCTTTCCCCGCCTTTGCTAAAGACGCCGCCAGGGTTTCATTGCGCAAAAGCTCCAAATGTCCAAGGAGATCGCTCAAATCGTCGGCCAAAGGCACATAGTGCCTGGACGTTGACGCTGGTCACTTGGGTGCGCCAGTGGTGGTGTGACTAATGATACTGGACAAATAGACCGAGAACCGAGAACTGTTGAACCCTGGAAGCGGCGATGCAACTTCTATGTGGCGAACAGCGACGGATCTATCCAATCCAGTGCATTGGAGGTGTGACGTTCAAACATGCTGCTGCAAAGGCACAAGTGCCAAGGCAATACAATTTGCCACCATTGATTACCACCAAAGATCGCCCACTTGTTGTGATGAATCATATAATATAATCATATATTAGTTACAAATATCTTAAAATATAATGAGTCAGGGTCTGTGTGACCTGGGACAGCAGAAAATAGTCTTTAGTCAGGAACCAACTGAGACAGTCGCTGTGGACTTACTTTTCCTCCAGTGTTGAGGGAAAGTACCTCCAAAAAGTCCTGAAAAAAATGCTAGAGATCCTTCCATTCTCTTTGGGGTCCCTTCAACCACCCAAAAACCATGGCACAGCCGGCGTGGTGACCAATCCGCCATCTCCCACCCGTCTCGGACGTCTCCACCAATGCGGACCGGTTGACGTCCAAGGCTCCAGAAGCTCCTGCAACGCTTCGTGGGTCTGGGACCTCTGCAAAAGTAGCACCGAACCCATGCCTGATCAGATCAGCGGAGAGGAACGATGGAAGGAACATGCGGAACGATCCGGGCGTCGAACACAACGACTTGGGAAGCTTGAAGCTTGACTCTGCAACATGATCGTCCTTCAGTGCATTTGAGTGAGGCAAATCCGCAGGTTTGCGGAGTTGGGATGGGACACGAAAAAAGTTGAAGTCCCAAGCCAGGTGGACTCTGAAGTGACAAACTTGTTTTGAAGAAAGAAATCAAGCACTTGGCTTTCCTTCGTCACAATGTCATCCATGCGGTGCGACCGCTACTTCAAAGGTGAACCAACGGAACCTGTTTCAAGTTTCAACCACCATCGTACTCCAACGATCAATCAACACTCGCAACTCAATTTGGCAAAAGTGACCAATGTTCAATGCCTTCCTCATGCTTTTTGTCCAAGCATCCCGGTCGCTTTCTGCAGTCGTCTTCTCCCTTTGAAGATCCAATAACAGCTCCACTCCAACTCTTTCCCTGTCCGTTCCACACATATCGTACCGATGGCCGAAACCATGGTGAAACCCTCGCGCGAACGTGACCCGCGTGAACAGCCCGGGTGCCGAGCAAATGGGAGAGCCGCCAGGAAGACACCACTCCATTCAGGTTCAGAAGATACCGATACTTCGGTGCAAAGACCTCGAGGTCCTCCCAACACATCTGACGCCATAAGGCAAAAAGCGTGCTGACGAAGGCAAAAAGAAAGGCATTGCGGCGTTGCGTTTCTTGTTTTAGAATGAACCACCAAGGTTGTGCTTTTCGAAAAACAACTTGGAACTATATAGATTGTGAAAGTGTTTAATGACGTGCAATGACATCTGAACGTTGGAAAATGGACATGTATACGGCCTCCAGCTTGTCACTCCCGGCCTCGGGCTCCACGAAGCGGACCTGGTGCTTCCGAATGAGCCGCTTCACTGCCTGGAAGCAGGCACCACCAGGGTGCTGCTAATGGCATTGGACACCACGGTGGTTTTCTGACACTGGAAAAAAGACTTGATGTTCAACATTTACTTACTTCAATCTTACTTCCTGGAATCGAGTCTATAATTTATACAAATTTGTTTACAAGGAAACTGTTCCAATAGGTGTTTCAATGTGGCTCATGAGTCTAACCCTCATCCCAAAGTGGCGAGAACAAGGCCAAAGAGGAATGAGGCCAAACATCCAGTGGTACCTGGACATACCTGGACATTGATCCCCCAGTGACCCAATCTCTTTGGACACTAATCACACTCATTCGGCGGAGCAACGTGCCTGGTTTACCCTACACAATCTTGATTATCCCATGACCAGCAATCGTGGATGATGTGGGTTAGTAAAAGGCCCTTCCCAAAAATCGTGAGAGTCTTTAGTGGGACACAGTCAATCTTTACTTATTTCCCTGCGCAGGCTGCTCTGGCTGTCGCCTTCTTTCCCCACATGGTCGTGAGCTCCTCGTCGATGCCCACGACAGCCACATCAAACCTAGGCTGCTCTGGCTGTCGCCTTCTCTCCTCGAACGCCTTCAGGTCCAGTCCGCTCCAGGTCCTTTGGTTGAGAGCAAGTCGATGTGACGTGGCATTTATCACGAAAGATCAGGTCATGATCCATATATTGTCTGTGCAAGAGGCCTGAAGTGCCTAGGTGGGAAGCACAAGGCATCCATGGCAATTAAGGCTTCTTTTTTTCTGCAATTGGTGCAGAGGACCCTCAAACTTGCTGTCTCGCTGGAAGCAAATGATTTTCTTCAACACTGTCTGAACCCACCACATGTCTGGCCAGCTGGTGCTGCCCGTGAAGTACCCAGTCAGTCACAGTGAGCAGGTGCACTACAGTATGATCACTGTCATACTTTCCAGAGAGCGAGCAAATGACGTACATGTTCATTTTTGGTCTTGCAGTCACTTGCAGCCACTTGCTCAGGCAGCCACTTGGCAGCCAGCCGCTTGTCACTCAATCAAGTAAACTTCAACACTTGCACGTTGAGTTCTTTATGTAAAAGTGTAAGATTTCTTCGTCGCGAGCTCTGCAGAAGTTTGGAATTTATTCCCGGAAAAGTCTTGGAATATGTCATGATTTCTCCGCGCGCAGCTCTGGAGAAAACCGGAATTTCTTTGCAGAACAGCATTGCAGAAATCTTGGTTTTCTTCAGAACTGCGTGCGGAGAAATCATGATATTCTCCGGACAGAGGTAGCAGTCACTTGGCAGCCACTTGCAAGTGGCTGCAAGTGGCTACAAAATGGAAAATCAAAATGCGCACCTCCTGCGAGCTCAATGATACTTTCCGCCTTTCTGATGTCCTATCCACCCCAAAACCTCCGGTCGCATCGGTTTTCCTAAAAAATACACAAACCGCATATTGGAGTCTTTGTGAAAATATAAAGCCTCACGTCGTCGTATCCCTCCCACCGTCCAATCCCTTAAGTCCAATCCCTTCCAAAAGGCAGCTCGGGCCGTTGCTTGGCCAGCTCGAAGATGCGAAACCGCGGCAACGCCGAGGCCTCCCCCGAGTGGCAGTCAAGGAGCCAAAGCTACGCCGAGTCGGCTTTGGATGGAAGGTGTTCTTTTGTTGAAGGTCTTTTTGGGGGAACCCACGGTAGGTGGTACCTTTTTGGAAGTGCTGCAGGCGACCAACTTCCAGAATGGTGATCTTTGGCATCTTGAAAATGAAGGACACCGGCTATATTAAGTCAGGCATGCCAACTTATCAACTTTGCAATCCAGGCCGAAAGACAACATTTGTCCTCTATCCTACTATCAATATCCTCTGGTCTATCCAAGATTCTTTGTCCTCCATCCTGCATCCTACCCTAGCCTCTAGCTATCCTCTATCCTCGCCACTCTTCTCACCACACCTGTCTCACCACACCCAAAAAAGAACGACTCACGCATGTTCACTCTCACACTCCCCATCCGAATCACCATCCCCACAATACTTGACCATTCCCACGCGCTTGGGACTTCCCGCAAGCTGCGGTACCTGGCCTTCCGCAGGGGTACCTCGTTGGGCCCACAGAGCTGGCCACGCCAGTAGGCCTTTGGCAGCTTCTGGTCCCACTGGACCGAGCTGGGCCGTGTCCTCGCTTCTGACGTCGACGCCGTGGGTCGGTGTTCGTGGCGAAAAAGGTCTGGTCGTTCGGCGTGCCAGAAGGCACAAGTAATCGATTGTAATACAAACATATCCAACATACATATGTTACAACAAAAATACAACATACTATATGTATATATATATATATATTGAATTATATTAATATTATGTTGCATCTGCATATGTTTTTCTGGCATCAGTCTGGAGTACTAGAGAAAAAGGCCTTGGTGTCTGACACGCCTGTTTAAGGAAGTATGTCATGTTCCATCATTTGTCGGGGTTCTTATTGTTTTTCTTGTGTCATCAAACATGCTGAACATTCAAACAGCAGTGTGTTCATCGTCTTGGGAGGCTCAGCTTTTTGGGGCTGAGGTACACAACGATGTCCTGTTGTCGAGAAAGCCTGTCTGGAGGGCTTTTAGCTGATACCTGAGCTGAGGACGTCGCTGGCACCCGTCAGTCCTTCCTAAGGCTGGGCCACTGATCATCCAATCGAGAGTGGATAGATGTAGCAAACTCAGCTAAATAGATCTAAATGCCTATTGGTTGGATTGGTTGGTGGTTTCAACTCGGGTTCAATCATCCCAAGTACAGGTGGTTTCAAACATCTCCACCCAACCACCCAACCCATTGGGGTCTATGGTCTCGATGTGTATTGACCTCCGGTTCGATACCAGTCTGACCGGTCTAGACCTGTGGTTTCAGTGCTTCGACTTAGACTTGACGGGTTTTCCTGTGTATTTTATCGTCTCTAATGGGGGTATTGGGTATGTACAAGTTGAAACTCAGATTGAATCCAAACGGAGGGCCATTGACCTTGCTACTAGGGGCCGCCGACCTTTTTGCTGAGAACATGTTTACTGTATATCAAGCTTCAACTGTATGAGTGTCGAAAGAGGAATATTGTTAGTAAGTAGCCGTGTAGCCTGAGATGTTCAACCTCAAACAGAGCGGAGATGATCGGGGTTTTCCTGGAGACCAAGCAGTTCCAGGATTGGGGTAGAAGCTATATATAATTACATATATACGTAGTTTAATACTTTTTATTAATGGACCATGAGGCCATCTGGTAGCAGATCCCGAAAGTTTCTCAAACAGCCCTTCAACTCAAGAGTCACCTCTTTTCACTCCCAATGACGAGACCAGCGGAGCATATTGGCCAGTTGCGGGTTGAGCCAGGGGATGTTCCAGAAACCATGGCCACCCTCGGGATGGAACACCGGGAAGCGCTCCTGAGGGCTTCGGCCGAAGAAACCGGCCATTCGCTGCTTGGTGATATAGGTTCTGTTCCACCCCCAAACCAGGAGTCTAGATGAACAGCGCCGGTTCATTGGTCTGCTGTGTCTGCCAGTGGAGGATGATGCTTACGGTTAGTAAAGGGCGTGTTCAAACATCGTGATACGACAATTGCATATAATTGCTTACCTCCTGTTGCAGGTAGGACAGACCCAACCTTGGTCTTTCTCCCCAGCCCGGTGCGTGCGAAAGCAGTGTTCATCCGATGCTCAAGCCACCGCTGTCCTCATGTTCGATCGGCATGTTGGGTTCATCGCCACATTGCACCAGGAAGAGCGCATTCGCCACCTCGACGACCTGACCGTCGTGCGTCACGCACATGGACCCGAAACGTGCCTGACCATGGAGACTTCGTGGACCAAACAACAAAAAAGAAGACAAGCTTGCAAGTATATGTATTTACTGGTATTAATACACACTCCCCTCAGAACTCTTGGCTCAAAAACCCTTAAGACTTGATTTCTCTCCTGCCAGGTGTGTCGCTGGCAGGTTTGGCTACTAGTCCGTCCCTGGCTCATGAAACACCACTGGCTGTGTCACCACCTGCACCACCAGTTCAAGCCTCCAAAAGTTCGTACAAAAGTCGTAACCAGCGATGCGTGTCTTGATCGCTCAACGCTTGCATGCAACCGCCATCCTCAGGCCGCAGAAGAGCACTGAGCGCTCGCTTCATGCGCTTCATCAAAAGAGCGCGGCTTGGCGAAGCATGCAAAAGCTGGCAAGAATGGAAATTCAGCCTAGTTCAATGTGCAGATTTGGGAGAAATAGAAGTATAATCCAGTTGGCCCATCCACCAAACAAACACCACATCATTCTCCGCCCTACCTTACTCCTCTTCCACGAGCCAGACCTGGGACCGAACCCTTGGCACTCCTTCCACTATTCCCAAAGGATCTCTAGTGCATCGAACGCCTTTTTTTCGGTGACCCAATCTATCAGGGTCCGCTGGGTCCGCTGGCCCGACATTGGGGTGTCAATGAAGGTAGTCCAGTCCCAAAGGAGTGTCTGGGATCGCAACGGACGCCCAAACCCTGGACGCCAGAGGGGCGGGTTCTTAATGGACATGTTTAATCTGTCAGTGTGTGTCAACTGCGTGGTTAAGAGGTGTCAGCTGTCTATTTCTTGGCATGTCAGTTGAGCAAGGTCACTGTGTTGGGTTCCCGCTTTGGGTGATGGAGGATATCCGCAGGCCTAAGCATATGGACATGTGATGACATGTGTCAGATATCCGCAGAATTGATGATGGAGCAAGAGTCATCCACCATGGGACTACTCACTGACGTCTGCTGCTCCCTCCATTGGTTGCCTCCCCCCCTTGGTTGCCGGGGTGAATTTGACTTCTGGTGAGGCACGTCCTCGTCGCTGTGGCATTTCCTCGGTGGAAGGCCCATTGTCACAACGGGAGGTCCAAGACAGAACGCCTTCGACACCTACGGCACGTACGGCACGATGGACAGCACCAAGAAACATTCTCTGAGGAATTGTTTTGTTCGTAATGACATAACCCTGGCTATCCTTGGCTAAAAAATGAACCATTTTCATGTCCAGCCACGGTTCCTGAGGCTTACGATAGGAAACGAACCCTCAAACACTGGCACTTCACTTGCAAATCCCTTCTACCGGGTTTCAAATAGGTCCCCAATCATTAAACGTTCACCTTTAGGTCCGCAACAGTAAACGATCTTGGTCAAAAAGAAAAAGCTCCCAAGATTCTTGCTGCTTCGGGGTTTTGCTCCTGTCAGCGCTGGAGTCTCGTCCCTCCAATTCCTCCTGCTGGTCTGCCCAGCAGCCGCCAGTAGATGCTCTGGTTCCACACCTACCGCCGTGGCGGGCGGTTATGTGGCGGACATGGAAAGCGAAACGCGGGCGAAACATATATTGGACCGTGTTCTTATCCCAGACCTACGTGACCGAAGATAGGGAACAAAAAACATTAGATCGCTAAGATTGCCTTCCTGGTGGTATATGTTACAAAGAAAGCAGCTGTTGTGGCGGTTGCTTGTCTCGGGGTCAACGACTGGAACACTACCATGCACAAAGCAGGGGCGGGTCTGACTTGTATTGTTCCTGTGCGATCTATGTCTGCCATGTCACCTTATGATCCCGGTGAAGACCCTCAATATACCAAACTCATGAATAGGATCACAGTGGGCATGTAAAGTACGAAGTGTTTGGTTGCGACGAAAACTCTGGTCTGTCCCCTGGGAACAAAAAAACGTAGGAACTCCCATGGTGTCTAGAAAAGTGAGTGTGCTTGAAGCCCTTCAAGTGGCGGTTTCAGGTGGCTCTATCGGGAAACCACTCTTCCCCAAAATCACTGAGTGGTCAACCAAATAGACATATATCATATAGATAGACCACATCCCGATCATCTGGGTCACCGAACCGAAAACTCACGAGAAGAAGCAAACAAAGATAAACAAAGTAAGTCGCCAGACTCCTTCTTCGAGGCACCGCCACTGCCACAGTGAGCGTGAAGTCCGCCCTGGGATCGCAAAAGGCGTCCAGGCGCTCGAGGGAGAGCAGGCTCGGCTCCTGTTTTGAGCGAGATCGGATTGGGGCTGAAAGACCGGAGGGCGTTTGTCTTGGACCGTGAGTTCCAATACCTTGCACCCTCCAAGATCCAGGTGCAAGTCCGACAAGATTCGGTGCCCCAGGTTCACCACCTTCACAGGGTGCCAGAACAGCCGACACTCGGAGGGTCCTGGGATTTGGGATGGATGTCTTTTTTCAGCAGACTGTGGATGACACTGTGGATCACGAAACCGCCACGACCACGGAGGGAGGGGGGGCGCCACGTTTCTCCGCTACGACCACGAAACCGCCGCCGCCACTCAGGCGCCGCGTGGGGGATCGAACGGCGTGCTCTCCTCCAGATGAGGAGCCAAAAAACGCTCCAAAGCTGGCTCTGAGGAAGAACACTGGAGCACGCAGACCCTGACGTGTTTCGAACTGGGCGCAAAGGGCAAAGACTCCTTCTACAGTGGTGCCTGTCTCTGGAGAGTCTGTGTGTTCCGATGCGAGACCCCTTCTACCAGGTGAGAAAATAGAGGGAACGCCTGGTAACAGCAATCAATGCTCCACACACCCAATTGTTCAGAAAGCCGAACCCTTGGCCGTTGAAGCAGAACATGCCAAGGTGCAGCTCTTCCACTGAGAGCCGCTTTGAGGCGCTGCCGGCTGCGCCCCCCCGCGGCGCTGCCGTGCCGCTCTTCCCGCACTGGGTGAAGCTGGGGAGGGCCACGCCTGCGCTCGAGGAGTGAAACACCGATCGTGCACCGGCCGGGCCTTGCCTGGACCCACCTGAAAATGAACCAAAACCCATACCTGGCGTCTCCAAAGAAGCCTCTTCATGACCATCATCGTTCTTCAGAAGAAGGTCACACATGTACTTTGAGACTCCAAGTCCAAGCTTGGATTTAATGTAACTTGCGGTTCTCTGTTGTTGTAAGAAACCCAGTGGAGACACCGTGCTGGAGTGTTCAAAGGTCTTCAGGAATGACTCGGACTGGTGGCACAGTGCTGGACTGTCCTGACTCTGCAAGTGCCCGTTGAAACGGGTTCTGTGTTAGAATCACCCACAATGGTTTGAATATGGTTGAACCTGGAATTCCCAGTCACTTGGGGAGGAGTCAACCACTCCTCCGTTGACGTACAACAAAATGAAGCGGAAAGACTCAAGCTGGCAAGTATTTGGAACTTCCCATGGATTACCTGATATAGACTACATTGGGATCTTCGTCGGACGTCCAAGGAATGGTCCGGTAAAGATCTTCCTTGGGTTCTGAACCAGCGGCGTCCTTGAGTTGATCCTCACCAAATGAGCCCTCAATTTGAAAGGCAGGACCCTTTTCACTCGAGCTTGGTTCTTTTTGATCAATCATGTCAAACAGCTCTTCACCCCTCAATGTCACGCGACTTGTTCTTAAGTAAGTGGGACCTCTGAAAACAGCCTTCTGTCTCCCACAAACAGTGTGCTATTGATACATGATGCCCACTTGGGTTCACAGGCACAATTTGTCCACATTGACGCGAAGTGCATCAATCTAGTGATCCAGGTGTCCCAAAAAACTTGACGTTCATTTTGAGCGGTGCGATTATGGGAGCACTGCTAGTTTCTGAGACCATCAATCCACACGAGAAAGACGACTGGTCTTTTCCTGCTTGCACAGTCTGCATTTGTACTTGTTCCGGCCATGAGCACAAGTGATTTGCGGCCTGCACAACCTGCATTTGTACTTGTCCTGGCCATGAACGCAAGCATTGCACATCCGACAGTGGCTTTTGTTTTTCCCATGTTCGCAGCGGGAACAGATTGGACAGTTTCGCTTGAATTTGCCATGTGGACATGGGGAGCACTTCTGGCAGTCGTTCCTTACCTTGCCATGTGGGCAAGGATTGCAAATGTAGCACTTGTCTCGCCTCTTGCTATGCGGACAAAACAGGTACTTCTGCTTCCGAGAACTGGGGTCCACCTCTGCGGCATCCCCAGTGGACAGGCCACACTTCATCTCCAACAATCGCCAGTGCTTCTGGCAACCGATCTGGCGGACAGTGTCGGTGGCACCAAGTTCCTGAAATCTGGCAAGAAGCGATTTGAGAAGCTTCAAGGCTGGCTGAAGATCGGAATCAGCAAGATCTAACGAATCCAAACAGCTCAGAACAACTTTCCGGAGTCGGAATTGAACATCTCGCCCGGCCGCTTTCGGCTGCGCCCAAGCATCTGATATACCTGCCTGGTTCTCGCTGGTGTAGTGTGGGGGGGACATTGCTGCCACTGCACGCCGGAATATGGAGCGGATCTTCAAAACATCATCATCTGCCATTTCAAGTGATTGCTCCAAAGCAGCAACATATTCCTCTTGTTTTGTCTGGCAGGTAGTGTTTCTCCAAACACTTATCGCCTTATGCATCAGCTTGGCTGCTTTTGCAGCCTTGCCTGCTGGAACAAAGTGCTGCAAATTCTCCAAAAGGCCTGGCCACTGCTCTTCAAGGTCTGAACTGGCATTGATTCGCTCCCAAATCCTAGTCAGCACTTTCATCAAATGATCGCATAAAGGTTGCATCTGCTTCAATCGCAACAAGTACCGCTGCAAGAGTGACACGGCAGAAAGGCCATCATATTGCAAGGACATTTGCTCAGCTGGAAGCTCTGCAACCCAAGCAGCGACATGAAATGCATTCTTCTGCAGTTCGTCAGCCTTCATTGCCACGTGAAGGCGCTGCTCATAGCGCTTGAAAACATTCTGCGGCCGTTTGCCTTCAAGCCGACGGACATGATACAGGAGCCTCTCATCAAAGGTTTTCGGAGACATGGCAACCTAAGAGAGATATTTGTATCATTTCCTGACTCGGTCAACATGTCTTCTTCAGAGAATGACGCTGCTTCATGCGCGGCCAACTCAGGTTCTGGATCTTAATCAATTTGTAGTTCTCTTGAGTTGGCCGCAAGCACATTCTAACGAAGAATATGCAGAACGTCGAGGCTTGCAAGCAGCTTGTGGCAAGAAACAAAAATGCGCGCCCAAGCACAAGGTAGCAAGAGGGTCAAATAATTTGGACAGTATCATTTACCTTCCATTACCTTACCAACGTTGGAGCTATTCTGAAATGCCTTGGATTCCCAACAAGTATTTTTTTTGACCCTTCTGTAGACTCTTGATTCATAACCTGCCTCCATTTGAATTGGAAAATCTCTTCATATGGAGTGGTTATTGATCAAGAGTCTACATTTCTGTGATGCCGTCCTTCAATTCTGTCCTTCTGACCCACAATGCCCGGCAGTGACAAGCCCTGCTCTGCCCCACTCCCCGCTCGGAGCAGTCCGGTTGTTGTATCGTCACCGTCGAGACTTTGGTCAAGAGAGTTGATTGAACAAGAAGCTGGGCTGTACTTCTGGCTGGGGGGTAGAATTCAATCGATGGCTTCTACAAAAGTCGCTCTGACTGTGACCCCTTCGTCCGTCACCCCCACCCCTTTGTCTGTCCTTCCAAAAGGCAGGTGAAAAGGAGCACCCACCACGCCATGCCATCGAGTTCAACCCAGGACACCGAAAATGAACAGAGGGAAAACTCTGCTAGCTCCCTAGGGATAAGAGATGCATTTCATTCAATTGCATTCATGCATTTTGGGGGAGCCAAAGAGACTTTCAAAGAGAAAACCTCCGATCTTCACGCTTATTGACGAGAATTCAAGTGGATGTGAGTGAATTTAGTCTTGACATGACTTGAGAAAGAAGGGTACTTCTAGGAATGTGGACTAGCTCTGAAGAACTTCCAACGACTTCTGTTTCCGCAGTGCCGTCTGCCTTGAGAGGGTCTGTGGCCCAGTCTGATTGCCCAAAGCTCACCACTGCGAGCTGTCAATGAAGTTCGGTTGGCGATGGTTTGTTGGATGGTTTGCTGGGGGGCCCGCACTGGGCGATTTTGGGACATTCCGCGGCCACACATGTCCTTGAGCCATGGAAGGCCTGTTCAGTGGATTTGCGGTTGCGATCTGTTTCAACCTTCCCTGCCTAATTCAGGATGACCTCTTAGATGCACTGCAAACCTGTTTAACAAATTGATTGACCATACAATTTGTCAACCGGTCATTGCCTCTTACAGTGTGTATTCCAAGGGCTCCATTGACCCCATCCTGGTCTTACATGATGGCCTCCAAGAAGCAGGTCGGTATGTCTATATATTGTATGTATGTATATAACATATATATATATATGCACACACATTTGGTACCTCCCGGTGGCACCAAATTATACTTTTGGGAGATCATGGGAGATCAAAGAATTATATATATATATAAATTCAGAAACAAATTAAAAAAAAGTACATAGGGTTCTTTGGCTTTCATCTTCCAAAATCCTACCCCAACATGAGGTCCCCTTCCTTCTCCCCCCGGCCAGGACCCATCGACCCTGACTGCTTGAACACCTCAACCGTGTCGGCCGCACTGTGCCAGGTCAATTCGCTTCGCCGCGAACTCGATCGAGGAGTCTGACCGCGCTGCGGACTGGTCGAACGGACAGGGGTCGATGGAGTGGTGTTCCAACCACGGCCCTCCGCGGAGGAATCCATCTTCTGCCCAGCGGGTGATACTACGGATATGAAGCAACCCAGCATCAGCTGGGTACATCCAGTATCTTGTATCCATATATGGATACATCACTCTTCTATAATATCTTGTACATCCCATTACAGTACCCTGTACCTTGTACGAAGCAACCGCGAGCAACTATGTGCTGTACGAAGTTCACCAAGCATGGGGGAAAAGGGGGGCCTGACTGGGGGCCTGACAGACTCACAGGCAGCTGGCCGCCTGTAAAGGGGGGGTGCTGCCAAAACTTCCGGGCACCTGCTAATGGGTGCCCGTTCTAGAACGTAAGGATCAAAATAAACTTAACAAAAACTTCTCCCCTTCGGTTGTGTATCTGGGATTGGGCACGGTCCGGACACCACTGATTCAAAAGCTGGCGGAGTTGTTGCTTTGTTTGGAACCATCCCCACTGCATGTGAACAACTCTCACATGAGCGCCCCAAGGCCGCCAATCTCAATTGGTTAAAGTTAAAACATGTTAAACACACATCTTTACCTTCAAACAACATTGCTGCAGGAGTTCCAAATGGGTGATTGGAGGGGTCCAGGCTCTTTTACGGGTCTACAGGTTCTCCTAGCAACGATACATGGGGATTCTGTGTCTACATGATATGTATATATATAGGATTCCCCGTCCAATATACATATATATATATATACAGTTATACTATGTAGTTATACTCCATGTATTTTTTGGTTCTGTCTCATTCTGTCTCGGACGGGTTTCGCTCCATTCCGCGCCTCTTTGACGGCACCTCCACACCTTGGAGCGCCCGTGGCGCGGACCGGTGTGTTCCCGGTGGCGCGTGGTGCGTGGGAAGACTTGTTTCGCTTCCCGTGGAGAAGATGGAAAGTAAAGAACCGCTGAGAACCACTGGGGGTTTGGGTAGTTTGATGCAGGTTTGTTCAATCTTTGCCAACAGTTCCTGGGCTATTGAGGATTTCTGGGGCCCTTCCATGCTTCTTCCTTTCGGCAAGAAGTAGAAATCTTTCCAAATCCAGAGAGTACACTTTGCTCAAAATACTGACCCTCTCAGTGTCCCTGGAAAATAGGGGTCAAACCCTTTTCCACCTGTTGGATTTGAGTGAGGGTTCCCAATTCCCAACAAAAACTGTGTTGCAGGGTCCACGGGTCCACTTGTGTAGGGATAGACTTCCGAGATTTCGACCTCACAGGGTATCATGATGTCATGACATGTCATGACTCATGATGTTTTTGCGCACACCCGGCACCCCCCTCAAAACGGTTTTGACCATGTTTCGACACATGGTGGTCATCAACAAACTGCTACAGGCCACCCTTGTGTCCATGCTTCTCATGACATGCTACATGTCTCATGGTTTGCTGAGCTTGACACTGAGCTGAAGCCACCTTTTGCAAAGGGGCGGCGTCCAATCAATGCATACCTGGCGACGTGGGACGTTTGGGTACGTCTGGGCGAACCGCCGCGTACCCGAACATATGAGCGGCATTGAGTGGCACCACTACCACTACCTGATAAAGGGGGTACCAACAAATCGGGGCTGGCGGGTGGTGGTTCGATCTCACCACAAGTCCGGCATTGCTCACTTTTGCTTCGACAAATCCGGGTCTAAAACGACACACTGAAGTGCCATATGATGCCATTCTATGCCATAAACAGGATCAACTGTGGGCCTCACCAACACGTGGTATTCAGTCTGATGGGCCTGGCCTTTTCAACCCATACCCGAGGATGCTGTGCAATGCCATGTGAACAAACACACAAAACACACACATATATATATATAATATATATATATACACACCTATACGCGTACACACATGCCCGCGCTTTGCGCGCAGGGTGGGGCCGCGCACTTCGCGTCAAAGAGTGGCGTGACTGCGGGCTCTTCGGCTTCAGGCGTTTCTTCGGGCCTCAGTTTCGAAGCAGTTTCCAGACCAACCTCGATCTGGCCAACGCCTCCTCTGGGATTCTCCCTGGATTTGATGAGCAAAACATGGCCAAAGGGAGGATCCACTTTGGAGCAAACTCTCAGCGTCAAACGCAACAGAACAATGAAAAACAGGGCTGCTCCAGGTATCAAACCGTCCTCACCCCTTCCACAATCCTGAGAGGTATATCACTAGCTGCCGATAGCTCGACCATGTTTGCACGCTCCAAATGTTACTCTGCGCCATGAGAAACATGTCAAGACCCTTCAAATCGACGGATTTCTTCCTTCTTCCACAAGCTTCCTCTTCCAAGTGATGTGCCATACAAAACTTGACACCAAGAAAGGCATCCAAGCCACTTGTCAAATTTGCTCCCAGAACCTGATCCCCGGTGGGGCCATGACGTGCCCCGCTTTCGCTCCGCGCAGTAACGCCGCCAAGTAACGCCGCGCCGGTCCGACCCACCTGGGTTGCCGGACGCACTCATCAGACCTTCACTACCCTGTGGAGATTGTAGAAGCTTCTGGGCGCGGGACGGCAGGGCGGCAATTTAAAACCAAATATAAACCGAATTTAGGGGTTCGGACGTGGTGTTTTTTAATTGGGGAGTGTTTATTAATAGGTACTCGGGATTATATATGAACCTGCGGGGTGTAGAGAGCTGTGTTCGGAACATTCTCCCAAGGCAGCTGATGGACTTTAGCAAATGAAGTTGATAAGGGGGCTTGAGGGATCTGAGGGTGACAAATGGGCGATCATCCCATCGGCACACTGGCATGCTGGTTCACGCACTTCACATGGAAATCTAAAATGTAAATATCTAGTGCACACCATCCATCTGCCAGCTCCAAGACTTCCCTCTTTCGCTCCCAGACTTCACTCATCACTTCCGCGAGCGATCTCAAGATCGCTGCAAGAGCGGGAGGCAAACCTCCCGAAACTCATCCCCCAGGAAGTGGGCTAACCATCGAGCAGCTGCCCAAATGGCTGGGGGCGACTTCTTTGCCGCGCTCAGCAAATCGTACTCAAAGCCCATCCGGGCCACGAACTCCGGGCCACTTGACGTGACGTTCATCAAGGCCACTTGTGGTGAGAACTGGTCGGGTACCAAGCGACCCTGGCCACGGCAGTGGGTGGAAAGACTGAAAGCTCCTTTTCGATAAACCGCTTATGTAATTATATAGAATGGAATGGATGTGTTTGAACTAAAGACATCTTCAAAAAAGGGTTCTGAAGCTAGATTCAACACTAGGCATCACTGGACCACTTGCTTGAGTGCTTTTTGGCCATGAGTCCAAACCTGAAATATGAGGGTTCCGGGCGGCGATCAACCTGTCGCAACTCCAATTATTTATATAGTATGATCTTCTTGAACATCTTTCCTAATGTGAGATTTTCTCTAGGCCACAAAGCGTTGGATGAACAGCCTTCGTTGGTGGTCAAACTGTCTGTATACATCAAATCATAAAGAAGATCATAAGAAGAGGGTCAACAGATGAAGTAGGCCCTCAAGTAGGCCAGTATGTCTATGGACCGACCCTCTTTCTTATCTGTTTACATCTGTTTACCCTACCTGTTCTGCCCTGTTCGGACCTGCTTCCGGCATCCGCTGGGGCAACAGACCAGCTTCAAGAAGCTGCCCTCGAGCAGCGCAGCAGCCGAGTCGAAGTGCTTCCGTCCCAGGCTGATGGGAGACCCAGCTGCGTCCAGGGTGAATTCCTGCGGTCCAGGGTGGAACATCCTAATACTAAGTGGTGGTAGGGGCAGATTGGTTGGGAGGTACAGACCACTGGTTGATACTGCTTGAAGGACATCCGGAACTCTAATAGTTTGTCCGCCATACTTGAACAGTAGAATGTCGAGCGTGTCTTTATAGATATTCTCTACTTCAGCAGGAAATCGACCAATCATGGGTTGGCCTTTAGTGATGCAGAAAGTCGTTCAGCAACGGTTGTACACGGTCGTAACAGTTAATAGAGCCAATCAGCTATCTTGCTTGGAACACCTTGGAACAAATCCCTCTGACACCTCTGTGTCCACCAGTTGCCAGAAAGGCAAGAGACAAAGTCTTCTTCTTTGTCCTAACAAACAGTCCCCAAGTGGCTACGCCCATCTAACCTCTCCATGATGCGTCGTTCCAGGAACTTCCATTTGCAACAAGCTTACAGGCGTGACATCTAAATCGACCATGGTAGGCTTGTAGGCCATGTAGGCTTGAAGCCCCCTGGGCTCCACCCACCCTCTCCATTCACGTCTCCCCTGGCCTCCAGGTAGTTTAATCCGCTCATCACCGCAGGCCGCTGGAGCAGCGCTTTGCCGTTCCGCTCGAGGGCCGGCGCCAGGGAGTAGCCCTGCATGCTGGGCGCTGGGCGCACGGCCGCGAGGTCCAGCAGCGTCCTGGGAACCTGGGCCGGTATGACATTCCTGATCATTGAGCACATAGGACGCATGTCATTGGTTCAAGGGTGGAAGCTGTATCACGAAGGCTGCGGAATCGCGGAATGATCATTGAACACATGAAGAGAAAGCGGAAGCGGACCCTGATGGGTCAGATCCCCACTCCCCCAAAACCATCGCAGGTTCCCCCGGCAAACTCTGGCGCCCCACCCGAAACCCGCTCCGCTCCGCGCGAGGGGCGTCAATCAGCGAGACCGGATGCTCTTCCACGTGGGGCGCAATGGTCGCCCCGGCGATGATCAGCGGCACATGGATCGAGGGCTCCCAGGGACTCGCCTGAGGGTTGGTGGGTGAGACTCGCCGGAGTCCGTGGGAGTGGATGATGCGTTTTTTACAGCTTAACATGTATGGTATGATATGATATATTTATGCGTGCTAAACTGACTTAACATATGTAACCATATGTATTTATTATGTATGTATAGTATAGGTGTGAGTGATATTTTAATAGATTTTTGTATGATATATGTTTGCTATATTTTTCCAACATATCATGGAACCCCCATCAGTGTGGAAAAGGTTGTGTCTTCTCTTGGAACCCCAGGTGTTTTGTAGGGTTTTGGTGGCCTATATCCTGGGCCTTTCATGGCCTTTCCGATGTGGGGCTAACAAAAAGGTCCACTGGGCTTCTTGGTGTATGGGAAGCACTCGCAAAAGCTGAGACATTCAGTGGTTGCCTTCTGATTGCTCGGGTTGCTACCCGAGCATTTCAAAGTCACAGGCAAAATCCCTTGAAAGACTTCAAGAGTCCAAACAGGTAAGTAGTTAGAGGTTTGCACAACAATCTATACTGCCTCCACTACAAGTACCTGTGGCGATCTACCTTGCTTCACGGGCCTTACACCACCCCATTTGCCTTGAACCAACCTAACCAACCCTGCCAAACAAAGACACGAACTGCCCAACGGAAAGAAAGCCTCCATCCATTTCCCCCAACCTCCCCTCCCCGCCTTCGCGAAGTGTCCGTGGTCGCCCAAGTGTTCGCCATGGTCGCCCGTCACCACGACCACGGCGTCGGGCGCGAGGTCGTGCAGCGTCGTGAGCAAGGCTCCGATCCTGGGACCGACCGACCGACCGTGAGCAAATCCAGGATGTGAAACATGACGTTGAAAAACCGATTAATTGGTTATACCAGGACCCTCCAAAGGGTGCCTATTTATAGCATGTTATAGCCCCTTAGCTGCTAAGGGGTGTCCATTGACCACCTCTTGGGGGTCCTGGTAGTATTTTTGCATGGTTCTAACTAGGGTATACGTCCACGACCATCCAATGTGATGTTAGCAACAAGGGGTGCAGCAACGCCAAGCTTTCCGCTGCAAATATACCTCGACCCTCCAAAATTCTCATATGACGGTCTATTGGACAATGACACCATATGACGGTCCCCAATTGTTCTGGGTATCTTCTGCCCACCACTTGGAATCTACACATCACCCGACCATCATCTGACGCTCTCCAAGACTCTCCTTGTCGATTCGAATCAAATGCTGAGCATACAGCTGCCGTGTCTCAGTCACGTTCAGCGCATCTTTGTACGGATGCGGCTCGTAGCGTGGGGTTCCGTCCAGATCGAAGACCAGTGTCTGATCGAAATGCGCATCGATCGCAGCTGGAAGGCTTTGAGGATGTAAGGTATCCTTGGATCGGACATCATGCGTCTCAAGATGGGAAGCTCCGAAATCAAGTGGATTCAATGGACACCAAGGGGATGTGGATGGGTTAGATATGGTTAGATGCTGCACCACTTGAGATATACCTCAACACCACACAGTGGTCATCCCAACGAGATCAGTGGACGTCCGTTTGGAGATCTGTCCCGTCACTCCATCAATCGGCTACTACTCTTTCAACCGGCACCCCAGCAGTGACATTTTCTAGAGGGCCCTTTCAACTTCTGCTTGCAGGCTCCAACCCGGTAACGTACTTAATTAGGGAAAACAGTAAAATGGTGGAACATATATACTCATTTTTAAACTCCTGGGTCAGTTCAGGTCGATCGTTGATGCAAGCAACTAAAAAGGACAATTATCCCGGCAAGACCCCAAAAAACAGTGTGTGTGTGTGTGTGAGGTCTAGAGGTGTAGCAGCAGAAAGCCTAGAAATCTAGACACATTGGCGTCCCTAAAAATTAACGATGGTGATGAAGGTGGGGATTGTGGTGATGGTGGGGGAGGGAGTGAGTGAGTGAGTGCGCGAGTGCGTGCGTGCGTGCGTGAGTGAGTGCGTGGGTGGGTGGGTGGGCGGGTGGGTGCGTGAGTGAGTGAGTGAGTGTGAGAGAGTGAGTGAGTGAGAGAGTGAGGGTGAGAGAGTGAGAGTGAGTGTGAGAGTGAGTGTGAGTGAGAGTGAGAGTGAGACTGAGACAGTAAGAGTGAGAGAGTGAGCATCTGAAAGCGCAAAGTGCTGCGCCTGCCATGAAATCTGCACTTCGAGGTTCACAAAGTGCTGTGCCTGCCACGAAATAATCTGCACTTCGAGGTTGACAAAGCGCCGCGCCTGCCACGAAATCTGCACTTCGAGGTTCCCAAAAAGTGCTGTGCCTGCCCCAAAAAATGCTGCGCCTGCCCCCAAATCTGCGCTTCGTGAAGGGCAGTCCATGATTCTAACCCAACGTTTCTGTGTCTCTCTCGTGGCGCATACTCCCCTCCCATTACATTTTCGTCCCTCCGCTCCTTCTGGCTCGATACTGGCGAAGAATGAGGACAAGTAAACTCAGAGGCGTTGCCACGCCCTTTGCGGTCATGTCTACAGGAGCCACCTTTCAAAAACATGGTCTAGGGACCGTGGATTGTACACAAGGCAACTCCATAGAAACTGAGGGTGAACCTAAACCAATTGTACATAATGTTCCTCTACAAACAGGATGGTTTTGTCTTGAAGTTACCTGACTGGCCATGCTGGAAACTGGCACAACATCCAAAATCTGAATCGTTTAGACTTTTTGAAGCAGAGCACCTGGCTAGCGAGTATCACCTTCAGCATCTTTCTTCCTGTGCTTTCTCCTCCAGTCAAGTGATGCAAGAAGCTGGACAATTGCAGCGGGATGGAGTACAAATGGGTGCAGTTTGGAGCATCATACCTGACTGAAACCTCATTTTTTGATACCAATTCAATGGTGCCAAAAAAGAAGATATCATATCCAAAAACACACGATTCATAGACCAGATCCAGTGAACAATCATCCCAATCACTCTGGGGCGCGATCGTGCAATGATCACGCATGAAAGTTCCATGAATATACATGCACCAAAAATCCCCAAGAGCGCCTCATTTTTCTCTTCTTCCTGTGCTTTCTCCCCCAGTTAAGTGATGCAAGAAACTGGACAATTGCAGCGGGATGGAACACAAATTGGTGCAGTTTGGAGCATCAGGCCTGACTAAAACCTTGCTTGCTTGATACCCATTCAATGGTGCCAAAAAAGATATCATATCATATCCAAAAACACACGATTCATAGACCAAAGGTCCAGTGAACAATCATCACAATCACTCTGGGCCGCGATCATGCAATGATCACGCATGAAAGTTCATGAATATACATGCGCCAAAAATCCCCAAGAGCGCCTCATCTTTGCCACAGCTGAGTGGCAGCAAGGACTGCAATCTTCATCTGCTGCTTCGTGAACAACAATACGCCAGCCCTTGTACTCTTCTTCATTCCTTTGGAAAACCTCAATCATCAGCAGCAACGACTGGCGCGCCGTCAGCGGTCTGAGACCACCAAGCACCTGTCCCCTTGCTGGCCAGCAATGATCCATATGCGCTGATTGGACCAGGTGCTTGCGCCTCCAAAGATCCAACCCCAGGCTTGGCAGAAGTCCAGCCTCCAGCGTTCTGACCTGAGCATGGATTGCCGAAAGACATGGCTGGCCAGGAGAGCGATGGATGAAATTTATCAAGGTTATATGTTCTTGGGTCGCCATCATGTGGAAGAGCGCTGGCAAATGCTGGTAATTATAGCTTGCAAGCCAAAGCCCAAGATCTCGACAGGGCATGCGCAAAAAAAAGGGAGCTTTTCGTTTTTGACCCTTCTCCAGCCCCTCTCCTCTCCCCTCTCTTATCCCAGCGTTCCCTAGTCCCCCTTCCCTTCCCTTCCCTTCCCGCAGCTTGTTCAAGTTTCCAATCAATGAGCGGTTTTCGAAAATCTGATTGAAACCGATCACAAAGCCGATGGGGCCAACCAGCGTCTGAATTGAAAGTGAAATCTTTTACTGTGGTGCGAAATCATGGAAGACCAATCATGACCAGTCCTCATCCAAGACTTGCACCAACACGACCAGTTCCGAAAACAACTTGGCAGGCCGCGGGTTCGTGAAAACCAGCTCTGGGCGACTGTTTGGCTTCAACACCCAGCGGGCGTCCAAAATCGTGGCATTGCCAGAGACAGCTTCGCTGCTGCTCACCGGGACGAAGCGCAAGGCATGCACCAAATGGCGCGCAGTTGCTTCAGAGATGAAATGCCGCTCGACTTTTCCCTAGGCACATCTTGGCACAAGGCCAACAAAAAGGCAAAAACCCCAATTGTTCCAAAGCATATCCAGCATATTCAACCAAGCTCAGTGAGAAATCTTTTGTGGGGTCATGCATCTAGGATCCAACATCATCCAACATCCATGCACTTCATCATGCCAAGACATGGCATCCCCTGTAAAATTCACCTGACCACCCCTGACGTTCAGGCAAACAAACATCTCTATAAAGTCACAGGCCCCATATACAAACCATAAAGTCTACAATATTGGGAGCCGAGTCGGCAAAATGTGGCACCCAATCAACAACGTCATAAGTTGGCATCTCTAAAAAATCAACCCCCCAGGTGGCCCCAGAGTTTCTAACAACAAAAAATGATCTCCCAGGGCAACACCGATGACATCTCCGATGAGTGCTCTGTTGATTTCTCCGGTGACTTCTCCGATGAGTTCTCCATCTCTACAAAATTGCAGTGGGTGGGTGCAAAGGCTTGCTCCATCGGGAAGAAGAGACCTTTATTTTTTCATCTCTACAAAATGGCAGTGGGTGGGTGCACAGGCTCGGGTCATCAGAAGTCACGTTTTTTCACATTTCTATAGAATCACACCCCGCTGGTAAATCCATGATTTAATTGTTAAAATCAGCATGTTTGCCAATTGACTCTCTACAATAGATTCAATAGATATCCACCCAGGTGACTGCTTTTGTAGAGCAACCCAATATTCTCTACAGAATGCATATTTTGCACACCTGGGTTGACGGATTTTGTAAAGGAAATTTCACAAGGGATGGCATGGCCAAATGCTTGGCGCATGAAGGAAAAATGCCCCAAGGCATTCCAAGGCACTGACTTGCCAAGAACACGACAATGGAGTTGCTTGGCACCTTGATCTCTCTGCAGAATTCTGCAGAAACCACTCAAGCTGAAACACTTCCGCAGCACATTCACGGGCAAGCAACAAAAACGCGTTTGGTCCTTGCAGCACACCGACCCTGCAAGCCTCCTGCGCCCAAAACAAGTCATCAAGCATGAAGGGCTCCACGTCCAGCTTCGAGGTGGCATCTGGGATGCCCAAGGACACGGGGCTGCTGATCGGATCTCCTGCGAGAATGAACTTCAGAACAGGTGCCATGGCCATCTTGGTGAAAGCATTCGGTGGGGCATCCGCAAAGCCAGGAAGGTTCGCCACTGTCGATGCAACCTTCTTGCTGAGGTGGCCCAGCTTGGCAGTCACTTCGTCGTCTCCTCTTTGGCATCTGCTCCGATCCCTTGCGCCTGGCCATGAAAAGTTGACTTTAGACCACCAAAACACGAGGTTTCCCCTTGCGCCTGCCACGAAAAGTGAGAATCAATCATGTCCGAAAATGCGCACAGCACCACAACGAGAGCGCAGTCCCGACAAGCACCCACCGCGGCCACCCAGATTTTGCGAGCCTGCGGAGTCGAAATGCACTTCGAGGATTTCGAGAGGCATGAATGTACTGTAAATAGCAGCGAATTAGCGGGACGCTCCGGTGCAACACCTCGATTAGACACCGGTGCTTAACCCCTACCGTAAGAACCCCTAGTGTGTCCACACTGTTTGGGGAAAAAGCATCAAAAAACATTCTGCATGGCAGGTGTCTTCCGCCACCAGTGGAGGATGAGGACCTAAAAAGTTCACCTGCAAGAACCATGGCTTCTCTGGATTCTTCTCGTGGACCGTCTTCAAGAGTCGTTCAGCTTCTCTTCGCACCCAGCGGTCCACGGAATGCTTCTGGTCCAAGGCGTTCACAGAACACCGGAAGCCACACTCTTTGAAGCTCGTACTGTCACAAACCTCAGCTGAGTGGTCTTTTGGATGACAGAAAATGGAAACCACTCAAGCAGGGTAGACCATTGGCATTATTGGTGTCTCGATATTTTCTCTGTTCTAGAGAGTTCCCCAAGAGTTCAACTGCCAAAAACAGTGATTGGTCAATCAATCCTGGACCTGGGTCGCATTGCAACTGCTGCCCCGCGCAAAGTCCCCATAGACCGCGCATTGTTGGGAAAGCAATTTCATCTCTTGCAGGTATGCGCCATAAGCATCCAAGGGCCCTCCAGTCTCCGAGCAAAAGGAGTACTTGTCCTGCTCTTGAACAGTCCATTCACCACCGCTCCTAATAATTATAGTACGTTCGAGTAGAAATAACAATAGAAACGCCTTTGATTTGCATGAGTCTCAGGTGTTCTTTGCGAGTCGATATGTAGAGATCATGCTTCTGCTGGCATGCAAACCAATCTTCCAAACTCTGGGACCGGCAGCCGGTTTCGATCCTGTCTTGCTCTGAAACAGACTGTGGCCTTGGCGTGGCTTTTCCGCGACATCAAAAGTTTCGAGCAGGTCCCCTATAAATGAGGAAATCCTCCACCAGGTGTTTACGAACGTGAGTTACTAGTGGACAGCACAGTTCCAGCCCACCAGGATCCAAAAGGCTCAACGGATCAGCCTGGAGTCGATCGAGTCGCGAGCATCGAGTCGTGAGTCTTTTGGTTGGCTTGTTCGTCCTTGGCGCGGATGTACCAATCAAATCCCAAGGCTTGCATATCAATCGCTTGCCCAGCACCCGAAAGGTCCTCCACTGCATCGGACCTGGTCCGCGGCGTTCGCGGTTTGGGCCGAGGACGAGGGTCGAGGAGGTCTAATGAAGTTTAATGGTTGACCCCCTTGTAGATACAGGTCAGTTGGACCTCATTTTGCTCAAGTTGGTCCAATATGCTCAATGACTTTGTCGATGAGGCAAAGGACCAGGTTTGGACCCGGGTCAGAAGGGACCTGTCGGGCCAAAAGGACGTCGAATCAAAAGGATCACGGCCCATTGCCACACCAAACAGCACACCAATTGGTCGGTCGATCGCTGTCCCAGGTCGATCGCATAAGGCGAAGGAGCAGGTGGTCTTTGCCCACCAACATGGTCGTGTAGCCGGCATCACGCAAAACTGACATAAATGTAGCCTGGGCAAACGAGACGGGTCGGGGGGATCCGAACTGGCAAATCAGCGGGAAGGGCCATGTCCGCGAAGACATCTGAAAGGGATACTTGGAACCCCAAAAACTCTCCAAGCTGACCGTCTGTCACCCAAATGTCACCGGCATGAACATGCTATGTCCACAGCAACCTCACTGTAACGTACCCTTAGTTCCACACTTACACCGACCAAAAATGACGCTCTAGGCCGGGCCTAGCCCTGACTCCACTCCCAGGAGTCCCGTTCGACGGGGTGCCCGAACGGAGGAAAAGGCCGTCGGGGTCCCCATGATCCACCTGGATGGGACGAACCGATTCTACCACCCCCGTCTGACGTGACCCCCCTGGTCTGTTAGGTCCATGTGACCGTGCCGGGCTCGTCACTCACGAAACTCTGCGAGTTGTTCTTCACCCTCATGGCCTGGTGACCGAACCACCGAACCACCGGTCCGAGCCGACCCGGGTCGCGACCCGGGTCGAGCGTGGGGGACGATCCGAAAACGAGAGCCGTTCGATGATGGCGGGTGGGGTTGGAACCAGCTCAGAATAGAATCAGGGTAGCCAAGGCAGAAAACAAAACTAGGAAGCCAAGAAAAAAAATGAGCTCTCAATATATATCTAGTGGTAGCCAACGTGCACAACCTCCAACATAAAAAAAAGAAAAGAACACATGCACAAAGCTTGAGCACCACTGATGTATTACGCAGCTGTTTCTTGAGCTAGCTGCGCGAAAGAAATCCAAACAGTTCACCGGTTCAGACAGCAGAACTACAGCAAGTGGCACACAGATTCAGGCACAGCTTAGTGGCAAAATGGATGCAAACAGTGCTATTTAAAAAAAAAAGAAATCACTGATACTTATAAACATTTCAGCTGCAAATCAGGGTGCCAAACCCGATATCTTATTGAAATCACTGTCCTTGGCTCCAACCCCATCTACACACATCTTGGACAAAATCGAAAAATAAACAAATCCACCCACCCCAGCCCCCCTCACTCTTCCTCAGGCACCTGTTAACAAATTGGGGCCTCAAAATGGGCTCAAGGCCCCTCCTTTTTGCGAGTAGGCCAGGCTATCGAAAAGAAAAGGCCGAAGACGACGTGGTGACCGGGGTCGAGCGTTTCCCGAAGACGTCGCGCAGCAGTCTCCTTGTACTCTCTGACCGCGGCCATGGCCGTCCGCGCCGGAACACAGAGGGGCGATGGGGTGTAGGCGCGAGTGAAGCGCACACCTGGAGTCTGGAGCTGCTGGATCTGGGTTGGTGAGGATGAGTGATCTCCATGGTGATGATGAGTCAGTGATCTCTACTGCGTTCGAAACCCTAAGTGGCTTCAGAAGCACAGAATTGTCCTCCAAGAATCTTGGTATCTTGCTTTGGTAAAGAAACTACAAGGAAAACCGTAAGCCGCCGTAAGCCGTAAGGAGAAAGGAAAGCGGCTGTGGTTTTGCAATAATATGATGTTCTTTCTGACTCTTTCTATAAAAATGGATTAGCAGCTAGCCAGCCTGAATTCCCCAGCGCTTGGATCGTTGGCAAGGCCACTCCAACATCATCATGTTGTCCATCCCAGTCCCAACGCCACTGGTCCAAAACGATCAGCAGCAGGTTCGGCCGCCGCGGGGGGGTTGTCGGGGGATCGGAGGTTGCCGCCGAAGTGGACCTCGTGGTGGTCAGGTCTAGGCGTTGTTGCAGCAAATGGAGGCCAGAGAGGTCGCAGTCATCGGCAGCCAGTGGACGGAAAATCAGGGCCAGAAGGCCTATCTTGTGCATGGCAAAACGTACTCAGCCGAAAATGGGCCACGGAGAGGATTCCCACGAAAGAATAGAAGGTATCAAGCTGTCCGTGAGCAAATCTCATTGATATAGAACATGAATTCCACAAGCTGCCCGCTGACCCTGTTTCTTTTTCCCACTCCAGATCGATACCTGCAGGCAGGGCTTCTGTTTTCCGTGGTTTTGGCCTCCGTGTCCCAGTGTTAAAGAAACACCCACAAAGTGAACTGCACACATATGGATGTCTGAGCCCCATGGAAAACTGCAGTGCTGATCAGCTATTCTTATTTTAGTACTACTTGTGTATAATTATATGATATGGGATGAACATGAGATTGCTTTTTTACAGGTCACACAAATTCTCCAATCTACCCTGACCCTACTGGATGAACTTTGGTGGACCCCAAGTCGGTTCAATTCCAATGACAGAGGTCTTGAAGTATCAACTGTCCCCCATGTGATGCTCTCGGCGATGAAGTTGCTTTACTACCAATGCGACTATCCGAGTCGGTAGCAGCAATCAAAGTTTTTATGTCCAACTCTTTCGCCTTTGGTCCCATCTTCTTTGCCCCCAATTCCACTAATTCACCCCCTTCTCCTCCAACCCCTCCACACACCCACCAGTGGCCCCCAATTGCTGAGACCCGCACGGAGTTGAGGTCTAACTTCCGAAGGGTGCTTGGCCCCTGGTTGTTGAAAGCAGTATCCCTGATAAGCCAAACCTCGGTGCTTGGCCGCCGGTATGTTCGAGAAGGGGAATCCCCAACGACTCCAGGTTTTGCGGGGCAGAACACGCGGTGTGTGTGATTGGCTCCTCGGCCTCCCGGCACCCAAATCAGCCCCCGGTGTCCAAGGGATCCTCACCTGGCCGAGTCAGCCAAGGTCGGTGGGCAGGACGAAGTCGGGAACGGTGGCAGGCTCTTTGGCTGACGATTTTTCTGGATCTTTTTGGGAGGGGCTCGGCTCTTTTTCCGGGCGAAGATCGGATGTTTTACTGTGGAAATGATTTGGGAGGAGTCTCAAATGCTTTGTCACGTAGTCACTGGAGAACTCCTTTGATGCATTCAATTCAGGCAGTCTTACCATTGATATCACTGACTGGGGGAGATCTTACCACCACACAGGGTCTACAGTACCTCTTCTGCTGCGAGAACCAAAGGTGGGGGTTACCCTGCTAGAAGACAACTCGATGTACATGAAGGATCCTGAAAAATAGTGCCCTCCCAAAGAACCTGTATGGCTGCTAGTAGCTGGTAGTAGAGGGATCCTATGGGCCTGTGGGTTTGGTGAGCTTCCCACGTGTCACGCCCATCACTCCATGCTTGAGGGATGGTCGACGTTGATTGATTCCCCACACCACATGGGCGCAGGAAACTGATGACGATAACTCCTCATGGCACTTGCTAACTTGACCAGTCACCTGCAGGTTCATCTGTGGTGGCTAAGTCGTATACACACTGTCCCTGCGCTTAGCTGCTTGGACCAGCCGGCTGTGGGCATCTGGCCCATGAGGCAGAAACTGCTTTGTGTATAACTGTATAACTTTGTCTGACAAACCAACCATGAGGTCTAGACTCCCAGCAAAACACCCGAAGCACTCTGACCCCTGACCCCAGGTGAGCATGACAGAGTCACAGAGTCACAGGCTGCGCACCGGTGTCCGCCGCACCTCTCGGTCAGGTATGTTCTCTTCCCAAAGAAAGCCCTGGCCGCCGACGGGACATGAAGGGTCACAGCTGCCGATTCACTCGGAACAGCACGGGTCCTGGAGGAGCCCAACAAAGATCGGTCATCCACTCAAGTCATGGCATGCATTCTGCAGAATCAGAGCGATGGTAGCAACGGAAACATGTTGCTAGAGATTCAAGCACACGTTGGTGCAGACGTCAGTGATGAAATGTCTGGAAATCAGCCCACTGATGTGGGGGATGGTCGTCAGGCCCATAGATCATAAGGATTCATAATCAATCATGGTTGCCAAAATGTAAAGCGCCACATAGTGCAACAGCCTTAAACTCTTTATGTGCAGGGACACGTGTCTTCGACACCTGACTACCTTCGAATCCCTTGGAAACCCCAACGCCGAAAGACTCAAAAGCCTGAAGAAACACATCGCCTTGCGCCGTCTTACGCCTTTTGGGATGAGGTGTCTGAGATTGCACTTCGTTCTGGGCCCCCCATCCCAGCATTCAACCACTGGTTGTTGCACTCCCTGAAACAATGATGGACTTGGAAAACCACCTGTCCATAGAGGAAAATCATGGAAATTGGTCATCCAAGGGATCATTTTCCACTTCCATGATTATCTCAGGGAGTGTAGCCACTTTGTGCATTGCAGTTCCCGCCCCGTTCCACGTCCAGCAATCCGGCGCTGGACCAATGGCCTGTTGAAGCTCTCTCCGATCGAGCACGTACTTGTATCTCAGCAGAAAATCAGGTTGCATATGATTCCATGAAAGAAAACAGCTGTTGACACCATTAACATCTATTATATGAGTATTCGATCACTGAAAACTTGTTCTGTAATGAACTATAAGCTTAAAATATCTTAAAATGCTATGCAATGCAACCAACGCAAAGGTTTCTGGGTGATGTGGGACTTCCCAGCACCTGACCAGTGATGGGACCCCACGCAGCACCAGGGGACGAGGGGCCTTCTTTCAACCCAACCGCTCTGCGAGCAGAGCGGACCCACGTCGCCCGCAATTGTCGGACAGGTGGCTTCAGCAATAGAAAGGACTCTTCTGGTTCACATCTCAGATCGATCTGCGAGCAACAAAGAAGCGGGAAAAACGAAGAGATACTGGACCAAAGTGAGGCTTTGGGCGATTCTATGATGGTGTCCTCAAGGGAAATGGGTGAATGGATGTGAATGGGTGATCATGTGAGTGTGTTGAAGCCCTAAGAGCGGCAAGCAAACATGCTGGCAGCTATATGGTGCACTATCCATGATTGGACATATCTCGTTTCCATGTTGTTTAATCCAAGCTTTTGGGAGAAAAGTTCTCAATTGCTACGATTACAAATTCCTGAAGATGACTCATCTAGACCAAAGGAGAGCACCTTTGACCCGATCAGACCAGGGTCCAGCAAGGAAGTTGGGCCGAAGCTCGGGGGTGAAGACCAGCTCGGTGCTGCAGGCTGCAGCTAGGAAAGCCTATCTCAGACGTCCTTCGACCCATGAAATCTCACCATCGATCGCCAACGACCGTATCGACCGGTTGCAACCTTGAGATCATGAATGATGCGAGTCTTCATGGTGTGGTTTCTTAGCTGAGGTGTGAGTAGTATTATGACTCACTCAGTATCTCTCCATGCTTTTCTGCAAAGAACTATAGAATCATTGAATCTTCCAAAAGGTTACTCAAGTGCCCATCCACAGGGCCAACTCTGCCAGACTGGAACCACCAAAGGTCAGGAAGTCGGAGGGTCTCCCGTGTCAACCATCAGCAAGTGGCCCAGCGGGCTTCATGGATGGTTGGTCCTCAATTTGTGCGTTCTATCAGTTCAAGTTCTATCCCGTAAATATGGATGTGCATGAGAATAGCAAGGTGGTTTTGACCACCCTTCCACAATCCCCATGGCATGTTCCTTTCTCGAACGTCTGAAGAAAATCATGATCCTCTCTTGATTCTATGATGTTCTATGTTCTATGTGACATGCAAAACTTCCCGATTCAAATCTCTCACTGTAAATCATCTGTCCAGTCTCTCCAGCTGTCATAAGGAGAGAAGCGTCCTGCTCCTCTCCGCCCGAGAAAAAGAACACCAACGCCCTTTCCACACCTGTTGAGATCGCCAGACTGGATATGCGCGCTCACTGGTTGTCAAGCGAATTGCCTGCAGCTGCCAAAGCTGCAAGGCGGGCTGGCGTCCACCCGGATGAGGATTGAGTAGTCTGACTTAGAAAAACAACAACATCTAACCTGTTGGACCATGGCATCCATGGAAGAATGGAAGATACGAACTCTTATATGATCATATGATGATCTCTTAGTTTCCGATGTCATGCTCACTGGATCGAACGGGATAGCCAGAACCTCGTCTTCGCACATCGACCTTCGTTTCTCTTTCAGGGACGATGTGCAGATGAAGGAACGAGGCTTCTTCATTGACAAAACATATAGAGCTTCTGTTCACAAACAGGACATCGATCCCACCCATCTGTACTAAAACCCAACATGACCCAACCCAGCTCCCTGGAAAATCATGGAACATCCCCACGTCTTCGGTCTTGCTGCTTCGGAAGCTGCTCCGGAGCGGTGCTCAGCTTCGGACGTGCTCGGGATCCCACGCGCCCAAACGCTCATGGGAACCCACCACGTGCAGGTGCCTTGGGACGCCGGAGCTGTTCGGGTCGGTCCGGGGCACCTCCGGATCCGGAGGATCCGGAGGATCGGATCCGGCGCTCGGTTCCAGCGGTCTGACCGGGGAATTGCCCCGGTGTCCTGAAAGAAGTGGAACAAGGTCTTGAGAAAACCATCGGCACCTGACGTCCTTGGCCGTTTTGGGGAGCGAATTGAGCATGTCAGGTATGTTTTGAGTCTCCTTGGATGATGTGCATGTTGGCCAAATCAATTGTAAGGCCAGAAGGAGTTGCACCTTCGACTTGTTTGCTCTTGGCCAGAAAATGAAAACAAGGAGAGTTGAAGTTTCACCCCGCCCAAGTGACCGTCGCCACACTGTTGCGACCCCTCCAAGCTGCTCTCCGGGAGTGGAGCGGGCAATGTCAATGTGAAAAAACAAGGAAATCGTCGAGCAGGTGCCTCGGGCGAGAACGCAGGGGCAGATGTATGTTTCTTTGGAGTCTTCACATGCTTTGTTGGGTAACATATAGTATCAAAATGATATCAGAACCTCATCTAAATGGTTACATACTCCACTTGCAAACCTAACATGAGGGGACACTCCATCCAATGGACCCTTGTGGACACTCCTTCTTCCCACCGTGTTGTATCGGTTCCCTGGTCGTCGCAGTTCGTCTCGAAGGACTAACCTCGCCCCAAAGGCCACCAGGTGTGCCATGTGGGAGACTGCGGAGACTGCGTAGAATCTGCGGGTTGCGCCATGTGAAGTTGCTGCTGATCGTTTTGTTTTGAGGATTTTGAGGCATCTTAGATCGTGTTGCGGGTGGCGACTTTCGAAGCTTGCAGCCTGCAATGCCACAATTTGGGCAGCTTGGTTGTTGAATGTCGTTGGTTGCAGCACCAACAGCAGGGTTGTAGGGAATAAGCCAAGAATAAGAAACACCTCTGCTGGGATTGGTGGACAACTTGTTTCTTCCCCAGGACAGAAGCGCCAACCAAACATCAGTCGCCAACCCTCAAGAACAGTCCAGACTGAAGCCTGCCAGACTGTCAGTCGCACAAGAGGTTCAGGTCCCGTTTCTGTGCGGCCCCGACCACATCGAGTGATTTCCATCTCCTCTTGCTTTCTGCACCCCATGGCGGCTAGGTCGCAAGGTCAGACAGGACCGATCAGGCAAAGGCTAGCAGTCTTTGATGCCTCCTCGTGCTGGAAAACATTGGAAAACTGTGCTGTGGAGATGGCATTGCTGGAAACAGCTCTGCTGGGCTTTGGTAATTTTGTTGGCATTGCTAGGCGTTTCACGTCGGAAGTCGTCAGCATCTGATGACGTAACTTCGAAGGTTTTGACGGGTTGGATGTCCTTCCGAATTCGTGCTGCTGCCCAGCCTTCGAATGGGTCGACTACGCAGGGCAAGCTCAAGTGGATTCACTCCACAATCGCTTGGCTTCTCAAGGACCTGGGCGGAACGACCGGCGCTCGACAGCGGGATCCGCGCATCGCGCACCACCGGTGTCGGTCGACCGTTCCAACGACCGGCGGACCTTCCGGATGACAACAGGTGGTTTCCAAAGCACCTGTTAGGGTCCAAAGACCTGTTGAAAGGTCCTGGTTTAGAATGTATTGAGCCCACTTGTTTCAATGTGCAGGTTTGACTATCAGGAGGTTACCAGACCGCAGAGGTCCCCAGACCTCCAACCTCTCTGAGAAGATACCCAGTCGTCGTCGAGTCCTCCAGTCACTTGGTCAGGACGCCGTGCTGCCAACGCTCCACCGTGCTACCCGCAGAAACCGCAGAAAATGCACTTCCCTATGAGCCTCTGTGTTTTGTGTTAAAGGACTTTGAAGGCACCAGTTGTTAGGCATGACTACATATACCGACGAAAAGTGATTTTGAGATTTAAAAGCCAAGGATCGTCCACTGGTGTTAAGTGCTTGTTTTTGACCGCACCTTTTTCAACCCCCCCAGACGATTCATCTATTTGTGTGGCGGCATCTATGGTAGTAAACTCAAATACACTATCTATTATGTGGGGGCCCTATTTCGTTTAGACTATACTCAATTAAGAGGTCATGCCACTGTATCTCGTTCAGACTACTTCACTGGCAGATCACACTATCTCGTTCAGACTACTTTAGTGTCATCAAGCAAAAGTAATTATATATCTCGTTTATGTGGGGGCCCTATCTCGTTCACAAGCAAATACTGATGATCAACAAACAAATAGAGCATGCCATAGACTACATTTAGAGCCTAAATTGAAGTGGTTGCACATTTGAGTATGATGAGACTCCAAACAGGGGTGTCCCCAGTATGAGCATGCAACCCATGTCAATCCACTCAACCCCAAGCTCAAATCCCAAGTCCAGCTCGGCTTCCGGCTCCTTCCCCCTCAGTCGGCGCCGCGTCGTCGCACCCAGGATCCCGGGCCACACTAAGCACTTCCGCCCAGGTAGATCACGCGTCGCAACTGGGCAAGACTCGAGCCTGGCAGGTTGGCAGGTGAACGTTGGGCCAGGGCCCGACACGTCTTGAACTCACTCTAAACCCGACATGAAGAGGGCACATGGATCGTCTGAATACTGAGGATAATGACCAGGTGAACTGTGGCAAGCTTCGGGGTCCGGCCGGACTACCCTATGATCGACTCGATTCAGAGGAAGGTGATGCTAAATGCTGACAATCAGATATGCACTTCCTCCGACCAGGAAGAGAGAAAAATGACTTTCAAACAAACTAGTGGGAAATGGTCTAGAAGCCTAGCCGAAATCAGCAAGTAGTTGTCATGTGAGCTGTGTTTATAGATTTATAAGGTAAAGTGCCTATACACTGCTGAGTTGCCTACGCTGGGGGGGTTCGCAAAGTCAATTTGTGGGCAGGGTGGCTTCGCGAGGCTTCGCGCAACACAAAAGGCTTCGCGAATTGGTTTCGCGAATCGGTTTCGCAACCTCTCATACGCTCTAAATTGGCCTTCGCGTATTGGGTTCGCCTGTGTGAAATCTAAGAGCCTACGCCAGAGGCTTCGCGAGCCTTCGCCACACATATATGTATCACACAAATGCCTTCGCAAAAATTTGGTGAGTTACAGTCTACTCTAAATTTTCTCATTCAATTTAAAAAGCACTACTCATCTGACTTTAGGTGATAGACCATCAAGCAGATGTGTCTCTTGCCATGCTGGCTCAAACCTTTATTGTCTCCCAACTTGTTTGGATTTGCCAGACCGGGAAAAAATGGAAAAACATCCCAGCCAAAAGCATCTTCCCGAGAATGCCAGTCCCTTCCACCCCGTGCCACCCCTTCTCATCCAACCCCATGCCAACCATCCCAAACCGAAGTTCCGCGCCTGATTTCTGCTTGCTTCTCGTTGAGTCAAGCGTTTTGAACTCTGGGCCGGCTGCTGGCTGGGTGGGCCAAGGCGGCGGTGCGGTGGCCAGTTCTGAACGCCCGTGGCGTTTGGTGTGTTGGAATTCTGATCGCCACACGCATGGAAGTGTGATGGTTGAAGGTTTTGTTCTTTATGTATTAGATAAATATATGATAGTAATATGCATAATATGGGTAATATAAATATTGTTTAATAAATTAGGTAAATACCACCATCATCACAAGCGGGAAGACTACTCAAAAGACATCCTCCGGATATTGGGACTGGGACATGACACGATTCTTCCACCGCAAGGTGACAAGGTGGTTTCCTCCAAAAAAGATGGTTCTGAGTCCATCCAATTTCTCCAACTCTCCCTGGATGGGCAAAAGTCGCGAGTGTTGGAGTAGTAATCCACGGAACAAGAACAGATAGATCAGGCACTTCATACTCTGCTTGACTTGCATCAAGACTGAACTGTGTGTCGAGTCAAATATTATGCTTGAGTTGTGTCCATTGCAAGTCACAACTGCAGCAACTGGCTCCTTTGTCCAGGTGAATGACAAACCCAATTAGAGGACAACATGGATGTACCCGTCAGATTCTTCAAAACACGTTAGGTTAGGCTAGGTGAACGTGTGCGATCCCCAACATGACAAACAAAGGGGGGAATAAAGGATACCAAAACTGTTGCTTCTGCCGCTCGCTTGGACTTGCTATCTGCTCCTTTACTTTCTGAGAAGGCCGAAATCATGTCCCCCCAGCTGCAAGGCGGTTTTTTCTTCTCAGCTTCAGGTCTTTTGATACCGTGAGGCTCCTGAGATTGGCCCCATCCTTCACTTGAACCAAACAACGTTTGAAAACCGACCCCCAAAATTCCTGCTTTTCATCCACCTAGCAGTAACAGTTGTTACATGCCTAGAAAAACAAATGATGAAACACGTATTAAAAAGTCTCTTCCATTCTCACTGATGCAGCAAGCTCAGGAATCCACCCTCCCCACCGGCATTCGCCTCACTCGCCTCACTCCCCTGCGTTCTTCGTCCGACGACGATATCCGTCGTCACTTCACGTCGTCCTTCCGCGACTGGACAGTCTCTTTGGCCGCCAGAGTGCGGTGCACCTGGGGCGGAGCTCGCGGCATCGGAGGAACGTGCCGACGATGTGCCGACGTGGACGAAGGTGGACAAGAACGACCTGAGACCTGTTCTGAGAAAAACAGCGAACGAAGCGCGACATGCGTGTTAGAAGACATGCATTGACGATCTTTTGAAATGAAATCGATTTCAACTATGCTGATCCTTTCTGTGTTCTTTGCTACCAATGCTTGGTCTTCTTAGAAATGCATAGGCTCTGTTCAGATCTGGATGATTCTGGATGTCTTGTTTGTTTATGTCACCGTCAGTTTCTGTTGTCAATGCAGTGTGTGTGTGTGTGTGTGTCTTTAGCCACCAGCTCAGAGCCATTTGCTGGGAGCCCTCTGCTGGGAATTTGGAATACACCGCATGGAGCGGTTGAATGACTTGCTTTCTTCTTGCAAGGGCTTTACTTGGCTGCTGTGTTGCGGTATAAGCTAATCATTTAACCAAGCAGGCTGTCTGTCATGCTATTGGATGCAACTGTTGAAGATTATGTAAAATCCGGTCCCCGTCTTCAAAATGGTGAAATTCGATCAAGCACAGCTTGAGGAGTCTAGCTTGATTGGATGTATGGCAGAGCGATGCAGAGCTTGTAGCCTGATCCATTGGTCAGAATAGGAAGATCCTCTAGCTGCCTCTGGTCGTAGCAAACGAAAATGAAATTATCCTGCATGGTGGGTCAATTCCTTCAATCTTATTCAGTGCACATCCATCTTTCTCAACCTCCCCAAAGTGGTCTGCACTCTTCCATTTTACAACCATCCTTCGCATCCGTTTTATCTTCTGAAATTTACCCAACCAAGTAGCAACCCAACATGAAACACAAATGATCTTCAAAAATTCATGCAGTTCCGCCTACCGAGTATGCCGCGAGGAAAAACGCCCACCGCCCCTGGCGGCGATCGGAGCACCTCCTTGTCCCAATCGGGATTCTGAGGATCCAAATGCTGACCTTCTCTGAAGGCCTCCACTGCCTGACATGGACGTGGCGAGCACAGCGAGCAGCCTGAAAACAGGTGTTTGGCAGGTTCATTCTGCAGGGAAGCTGGGGGGAAAGATGTGGAAAGGGTGGAACCGGGTGGAGGGGAGCATCCGATTCTGCTATACCACCCCCTGAAAATGTTGCATTTGGACTGGGTGGATGGATCTCATGTATCGGACTCGAGCTCTTGAGGGTCGAATGATGTCGATCTCCACAGCCGGGTCCATTCCAACACCTCCGAAAGCCTCGAGCAGAGATGACAAGTAGGCAGGATATAGGGAGGATTATCTGATCTGCGACGAGTATCGCGACGAAAACATCTACCCTGCAGAACACACTCTGCAAGACCCTTTTCCTTCTCATCAGGGTGGGGGGGTGCAGCACCCTCCAAGAGGCACGATTGCAAACCCTATACTTTTTTGATCTTTTTTGAGTGCCAACTTAACTTGTGTGTAAAAAAAGTGGCATGCGGGAGGTGTTCTCCTCTAAAATTACCCGTGTCCAATACAACTCATAAATATTGGGTAATTCCTTACAGCTTTCCATTCAGCATGATACACTATGATACACTATTAACATCCATCACCTGAACCTGTTTACTGTGGGTAAGTAGAGGTTGGTGATTCAGGCTCCATCTCAATTCTAATTACACTCCTTTGATATCCTTTGTCCTTTCTGTCGCTCGAAAACCAGCTCGCCACCCGGGCTGCCACACCCACCCATCCCACTGTGGTCTCTCGAAATCCTGCGACCGGAGTCCGTGGTCTGCCGTTGCCTGGCCTCCTCCCAGCGTCGCAGGCCGCGGAGAGCTTGACCCTTCCGGTAGAAGAGCTTCGGCCTTGGCAACAAGACCAGCGGCGTCTGTCGGGGCAACGGAAGGAAGGCTCCTGTTCGGCTGCAAGCAGGGATGGCTCGGAGCAACTGCGGATGCGTCACCAGGTAACAACAACCGTGTCATCGGTTCACAAAATGGACATCGCCACAGTATTGTAATCGGAAGAGCTCCGTGACTAGATTGGGGGTGGAGAGACAATCTGCACCTCAAAGCGCTGAGAGTCTCGCCACTTGGCCTCGATCTCCATGGCCAGCTTCACATCATCCTGCAAAAACAACGTGGCACGGGAGAAGCGGAACAACTTGGCATCCGGAGATTTCCGAACAAAAAGCTTCGATATAGGACCATAGGAAGAAACCTTCAGAAAAAAATCACAGTGACTGGAATTGATTGCTGTGAAGTCTTGGCAACAAATGTCCCCATGCTCAGTACACTGGAGTCAGTAAGCACCAAGCACCCTAAGAGACCTAAGAGACCATGCCCGGTGCAAACAAGTGAGTGACACCAGTGACGCCCAAAGAACGGAACGTCTCAACCTCCGAATACCCTGGAGGTCTCCACCACAGAAAGCCCTGGCGACCGGACTAAAGCCAGCTGAAATTTGGAGATCTTGCAGTAGGCGGCACCTCGGAAGCTCCCCCCGGTCTTACTTCCGGTCTTCTCGCGGTTACAGCGGGGTGCAGCTCGGAGGACTCGTGAGAGAGTCTGGTTGGTGCTTTCAACCCACTTGAAAAGCATTCGTCAGTGGGTTCAAACGAAGTAAGGGTTGAACATAAAAGTACAGTATCCGAAACCATCACCTATAGGCTATAGGAGTGTTTGGGAAGTGCTCCAAGTGCGTTTCCCGGTGAAACACGCACGGACAGGCCACTCACGGCACACTAAAGAAAGAAAATACTGTAACCGGATGGTACTCCGGATGGTGTAGAGACAACGGGACAACACAGCAATGAGCAATGGGCGTGTCTCTATGAACAATTGGCCTGCATGTTCCTGTGGCCTGCCTATTTACATGCAGAACTGGAGAACCATGCAGTACATGTACTGCTGCACCTAGCACCTTGAAGTGACGCAGTGATGCTGTATTCTCAAGCAAAACACCAAGTTGGGTCCCCATCACTAATGCTATAGATAATGGTGGTGTTGCCTGATGTGGCATGATGTTTTCGCTCTTCAATGAAACAATCAATAACAATCATAGGATCGCATAAATGGGACTCATATGGTCCTTCATCCACCTCTCACCGCCAGCCTGTTGCTCCACCTGTCTCGCCGGTCCATGTGCCACCCACCAAGGCTGAGGCTTCGGTTCGACAGAAGCCTGGCCGGGAGCGCTGGGACAGCGCTCCGCCCGGCTTAAACCACAGGCGACGCGCACGCGCGCGCGGCGCGAAGATCGGTGTTTTGGGCCTCTCGTTCCGTGGGGTATGCCGCAACGCACGTGTGTAGTACACGATGGCATCGCCTTGAGCTTTTGCGAAGGCTTGGAAACACGATGCAAGGATAGAAGAGAGATCAACAGAATAGGTCAAGTGACGGGAATGTTCTCCACATGCTGGCTGTTCATGTGCATGGTTCGCTCCCTCATGCGGGTTCTGTGATGGAAAGCAGAAAAATCGACCATTAAAGGTGGATCACCAAAGCGCTGAGGCTTTGACGGTAAGCGGCATCCTTGAAAGCGGCATCGGCTTTCTCTTTTTGTTCGTCAGCAAAGTCCTGATAGATTCAGCACCACGCTGGCTGTGATCTGAGATTTGTAGGTGAAAACACAATGGGAACAAGAGACCTGAAACACCTATTCAAGAGCTGTGGTTCATAGGTCGGCGATTTTCTGTTGATCACCTATAGTTCTTCTTGCACAAACCATGTGGTTTGCTTGCCCACTAGGTCACTAGGTGCTATGTAGGCTGTAAGGGTTCAAAGTAATTTGAGTAGATGCTGCAGCACTCAAAAAACTGGCCGTGGAAACAACCCCATTGAAATTGATTGGATTGGGATGATGAAGGCAAGCAACTCACCATCCTCGTCCATCAAACTTGCCTCCTCGTGGTCTCAACTCTCTTTCAAACCAACCCAACAAACCAGAACCTCAAATAGCATGTTCACTACAAACCAGAACAATCACCAGAACCAGAACCCTACAAACCAGAACCTCATGTTCCTGCACATGCCCACTTTCATCTCAATCATCTCTGCTTTCAGTTCATTCTTTGAACCAAAAAGCGCTGAGCGAGCTGTCCCTCAGTGGCGATCTTTGGCGGAACACCATCATGTCTGACCCCCAAAAATAATGGAAAAAGACTGAAAAAGAATGAAAACGGGTTCATCCACCGTTTTCCACGTTTTTTGATCTCCCATACCCCCTCTTGTAGGAGGCACATCGCAGACACTCAGGTAGTTTTCCACGTGTTGGAGAACAAAGTGGGGAAAACCGTGGAAAACCAAGGAAGGTAGGGTCGCCTCTCAGTTAGGACCGGGTAGACCATGATGTCTGTCCACCAACCGTCGCACCCGGAACACTACGCCGCACGCCCCGCTCTCCAAGTGGCATCCGGGGTCCACTCCGATCGATCCGGTGAGAGCTCACGCCTCCCGGGCTTCGGTGCGCGCGTAACTCGCGCGCGTAACTGCATGTCCGCTGGAGGCAACATCCCACCCACCCGTGCTCCCATTCATTTGAGATGCAACAAGCTTTTTTCCCCACGTTCGTTCGCGTGTTGTTTTTTGTCTTTTCTGGCAGCTTCCGTTCTGGTCGCGGTGAATTTTCCTGTTCTTCAGTTGCTTCTGGCTATGTATGGATTTTTGTCGGGCCGTATGTATGCAAAAAGACGAAAACAAAACAATATATATATATATATACGGAAAATAACAAAAACGAAGCTATTGCATTTTGCTGTTCATGTTTCGTATTATTTCATGTCTCTGAAAGGGAGTCGTACCTTCTTGTGTGATTCATATTTAAGTTTTGGTATGTTATATCAAAAGGAAAATGAGGAATGAAAGGATTCCCCGAAAGGGCCTGATCCACAGCTACCAAAACTGATCAAAAATGTGCGCCATCGCTGACCAAATGCTATTGTGAGACAGATCGATGTCGACAATTTCCAGACAAAGGCCCTAAGGCCCTTCGACAGGATGTAATTACCATTATATATCCCATAGCCCGCGCGATCCTATACCATCCTATACCTAATATCTGTGTTTGCTTGCGAATGTGCAACAGAGGTAAACCGGGTAAACCTCAAATCGCTGAGGCGCGGAACGGAGGGATTTCGACAAACTGCAGACAAACAAGGGATATATAATTAAATATGTATTAATATATATATATACAGTTTGGCAACAAAGCCTAAAGGATTATCCATGGGAAAACTGTGCGCAACCCTAGCTGGTGTGTTTCCTTTCGCTTCGAAAGGTGAAGGCGATAACCGCCAAAGATTCGGCCCTCAGTTGGAGGATCTTCCTGGGCTACTAAATTTCGTAGAAAGAAGCTGCCCCCGCTTTGAGTGTTTTGCCAGGGTTTATGACTTGATATGGTTTGTTTATAGTCTCTCTTTTGAGTGATGCATTCACTCTATGCTCTCCCGGGTGAATGCTCTCCCAACGCTGAATTGAGCCTGTGGCAACAGTGGCCACAGCATACAATACTTGAGATGTGTTCCTCCTGGGAGATGTGGTCGCTCTGTGCCCTATGCGTGGTTGAGCCTTGGCGGGGTGTCCGTCTCCAGCTTGCGGCTCAAGCGAGCCGGTGGCCGCAAGCTGGAGTCGGAAGCCATGAGAGTCAGGTTTCGGGGCGAGGCCGCGGAAGGGCCTAGCTCTGACAGTCTGAGTGGGGTGACGACCGGAGAACAATTTCATGGACTCATCGAAAAAGATTGACCCATGTGGCCCATGAGTCATCCATCCCCTCTAGGCTATCCAGTGCATGGTGTCCAGTGAAGTCCATTTTGGGTTGCTGGCGCTCTTAGGAAATCCGAAATCACCCTGGAATAACTGTCAGCCCTCCTCCAGCAAACGAACGTTCAATGGGTCACATGTTCATCATGGAAGTGCTTTTAATTGATTGTGTTGTGACACGCGTTGCTTTGAACACATGAATGACTAAGTGTCAAACTAGTGTCAAGCCCGCGAAACCGAGCGGCTCTTCTCACAGATTCGCTCTTCGAACGGAAAAAACATTTCCTTGCTAAAATAACTGGAGGCTCAGGCTCAACCCGTGGGGTGGAATTTGGGTGCGCATCCGACTGTGTCGGCACCGACCCTCTTCGTCCACCGCTGCGGAACAGCTTGCGCGGTGGACGAACTTCTCCCGCGCCTGCTCCGTTGAACCTGGAGTGGAGCAACCAGCACAGTCAAATGGGAGACAGGGGTTCAGATTCAGAGTAGATGGCACATGTGGCACAGAACCCAGCGGTTTGTTGTGGGTTGATCTCATTGTCCCGGAAACCACCTTTGGTACTCCCAAGTGTATCAAGACAGTTCAAGCTGTTGGTCCTTGGATTCCGTTTCAAATGTCATCTATCTATATATATATATATATTGGGAATCAGAGTGGAAATGGTGGGAACACATCCCAGTCAAAACTCACGTATGGGTCTTCTATGCCGTTATTCCATTCTTCTCATCCCAGGAGTCATACGAAAAGTCTTTCAACACCCGATGAAAGGGCTTGTGAACAGCTCTGAATGGTCGCACCTGGTAGTCTTCGAGGCTGCCTTGAGGCTGGTTCAGGACCTGCATGACAGCCAGGCACTCAGCTCTTGAAGAATGGTCATGCTTTGCATACACACATAATTCCAAATCTATGATCATATCACATGGTCAGCATCATTGTTAAAATTTTGGTGGCAGGCAAACTTGACCTAAGAACCAAGTGATGCCCAGCACACGACTACTTCCTCTGCTCAGACACAGGCAAGAAGCAACAACTGTTCGCTTCAACAACATGCTTTTAGTACTTAAGCCAGTTTGGTAGCATATTATGTCATGTAACCAAGCTTCTTTAAAACATCACCACATCGCTTCTTCAACTCCATCTACCCAGACCTCCCAAAAAAAGGTGCGGCGACCGCACGTTCGCTGCCAGCTTTGCACGGGTTGACGGTTGACGCGGGGCCGCGCCTCCTGCTGAGTGTGAATCAGCTCCTCCCAGGTGCCCTGGCTCTCTTGCGCCTTCGTCAAGGTCACGTCCAGACCTTGGAAGACATTTCGCCCAGGTGAGCTCAAAGAAGGAGGTGTGGATGGGTTTGGAAGGGTTTGGACCGTGTTCCAGGGACCGATTTCCGCTTTTCCGCTACCTGGAGGTCTCCAGCTGTCTCTTCCAAAAACGGCATTGGAGCGAAACGTGGGCGGAACCGACAGGGGCACCGACAGGGAACGGTCTCCATGGTGCCCCGGATGCGATGGCCTTGCACCTGACAAAAGGCAGGAAAATCCGCTGAAATCCAAGCAACTCCGTGACGAAACCTGTGTTTCGGCAAGGGAAGCAGCCAGACTTGTTGATCTTAGCTTCCCACACCAACCTGACAGGGTTGATATATGTTTTCATGTACACATATCAGGAGAAAGGAGTGCCCATTATCCATTCACTGAGGGACTAAACACCACCCCTTTGTGACGCCTGGTAGTTCAATGGCCGTCTGGGAGACCGGCAATCGCACCAAGAGAAACATCAGTACACAAACTACCACTGGGTTTGGTCTAAACCGCTAGAGACAGAACCAAAAAGGTAGAGAGGTAGAGACAAACGCTTGGTCCATGTCTGGAGGTCCACCCCGGGGTCACCCCACACCTCTCGGGTCACGCTCGTCAACTCCATCTCTGTCTGGTCGGGGCGTACGGAGCCTGCACTTGGTGGGATGGGCATCCCCACCATGGCAATGCCATGGCAACAGGGGATGCCTAACTAGATCGACGCCTGCAACATGATCTGATCAGATATCTAGAGAATATATACGTTCCAAGTCGATTCTCTCTTCTTCTTATGTGCTACAGTACTACTGCTATCGCATGTTTAGGAATTTCGCTCCATCACCTGAATACCTGAGGATCATGGGTCAATGGCGGCTGAGTCGGACTTGGACCTTCCCAAACCTCAGGTCTTAGCTGGGATCTATGTTTCTTCACCAGAATAAACCTATACCTGGACCATCCAATGGGTGTCCTGGCCCATCCAATGGGTGTCCTGGCTGGACATCTCTAAGTAGTGTAGTCCAGCCAGGACACCCATTGGATGGACCTGGTAGTATGGTGTTATATGGTGTTATAAACCTATATACAATAATTAGGCCTAGTGGTGAGAAATCTTAAGTCACTCCATGCCACTCCTATGGATTGACACTTCTATATCTCATTCCAAATGGATTCCATGAGAGATTGCAGCCAAACAAGCTTCACGCGATGTCGCCGTGCAGGATTCATCCATTCAACGGGCGCGACCCATCGTCCCGTCGCCGAAACCTGATTTCGAAGCCACCCTCCGCGCCTGTTCAGTAGCTCGGTAGCTCGGATTTAGTTTCAAGGGCGCATATATAATATATAATGTATGTATATATGTCATATATAGTAATTTAGATACGTATATATGTATATAGTAATATGTGTGATATAATTTATAGTAATATAGATACGTATCTATATATATGAATATAGTAATTTAGACACGTCCAGGCATCCAGGATGTTCTATAGCCTAGAGCGTTTTGATGCATGCTCTTGACATCCACCCTTCAATCTCTTCACCCATCGGACACCGTCTCGACGGGTGAAACCGCACGGCTCCTCCCAGCTCGCCCAACATGATCGGCGAGGACCTCGGCACGAGCCGTGCGCGGTACTCGTGCCACGTGGTTTGGGCGCAGCCATGCGCGCAGCGGTTCTGGAGCCAGCTAGCCGCTGGGCCAAAAAATGTCACATGATGTCCGACATCATGGAAGGCCCCAAGAAATGTTGCTCCGCCCCTATATTGGCTGCTCTTGTAGTCACTATTGGGATTGCTGGAACTGCCATCCAAGGATGCTGTATAAATTCGAACGGATCCAGAGAGTCGGGAACGAGGGAATGATTCCGCACGGGTGTTCCTTAGAAAAAGGATCCATTTTTCATATAGGGAATCATTTCTTATCATTTCTTTATATTCCTTAGACTAGAGCCTTCTTCGGAACACTTCCTACAGAGTACCGACTGCTACCCGGCTCTTTCCACCGGACCATTGCACACACGGCCCATCTGGATTCCATCCTTCCACTCGAGTGGCTCATCTCCTCGGATGAAGAGCTTGAAGTAGCGCTCGCAAATGTCGGCGCCGAAGAGCCTGGACGAGCCGAGCCGGGCGCGGTGACGCGGGCGCGGTGTCGGAGGCGTGCAGGTCTGGCGGAAGAGCGTCCACCGGCGGGAAGCAGGTCTGCCGGTGGCTGTGGAAGCAGAAAGGAGACCATTGGTCCTTAGGCGGAACACAATGCACCCCTTGATACACTGTACGTCTCGGGTATGAAAAGGATGAACAAATCCTTGTAAGATGAACCCAACTACGCGCTGTGTATCGAACATGCATTAACAGATTGGAAAGTGCAGTTAAGACTGAACACCAACGGATCCCAACGGATCTGATCTTTAGGTATCGTGGTTGCCCTGGGAGGGTGGTGGACCAGGGCTCCAGGTTTTGACCCATGCCCAAAATGGCGCAAGGGGGGCTGCTAAGAGGTCGTGTTGGTGCACGACACGCCTCACATTCATGTTGGGAAGGAAGAACCCAAAAACAGTCCAAGAATGGAAACCCAAAAGAGACCAGTCCGTGTCTTTTCCAAGCCAAAGTCGGTTTGTGTCCCTTCAGATGTGAGCCGGTGTTTTCTTGATGTTTCTCGCCTCATGTTTCTTTCGGCTCTGTTCGATCTTGCGTTAAGTTCCGAAACCCATTTCTGAGTGAGCTTGACCTTCCCAGGCGCTCTTTTCACAGCCCTTGGTCCCTCAAGGGCTAAAGAGATTTGAGACCCCAGGCCCCAGATGCCTCCAGTCCAGCGTCGCGTCTGAACTTGACCTTCTTTTTCCAGAGAAATCGGCCGACACTACTTTCAGAACCAACCCTTCCATCCTTCAGCGCCTGAAGTATGGCACCTTCTCGAGCGCTTCGTCCAGCTTCTTCCTCGGTCAGAGCCCCAAGATCCACCAAGATTCCGTGCAAGGCATTTGTAGAACTGACAAAGCCGCCACCAAAAGCTTTAAAAGGAGAGAAAATTATGGAGAATCCATTATAGCTCTGGTGTGCTTGGGCGATGTGGTCCCATCTCCAACTCCCCTGGTTACCCTTCCCTCGACCCAGCGCTAGGCCGCAGCGCTGGTCCAGCACAATGCGGAAATAGAGGTGGGCCTCGCTCTGTCCTTGCCTCGTCGAAAGTGGCTGGAAAACCCACCGTCTCCGGGTGGTGGCTGACAGGTCATCCAACAAAGAATCGTGTTGTTTTTCTCGCATGGCCTCGTTTCAGCTTCGTACTTGATGGGTGGTATATAGTTATTTTCAGTGCCCTGGTTAAGCCAAGCACCATGGATCTCGAAATACTACTTTCCTTCATTGGATTCTCCCAGCCCGCCGATTCTCCCAGCCGATTCGGCACGAAAGCCCGCCGATTCGGCACGATTCAGCCCGCTGAATCTGGTCCAGATGCTGCAGTTCATTGCAAAGCCAGCTTCTGGAGATCACAAAGGGATCCTGGATCTGTCAAGTTTTGTGGGCTTGACTTCGTTGGGTGATGACTTGGAGCCGGAAAAGAGGCAAAAAGAACTGACTGACGTATCTTGGCAGGAAAAAACCTCTGAGCCTCTGTGGGTTACAGGGGCTACCTGTTTCCCTTCAAAGTGACCTTTTTGGAGTCCCATCCAGTGACTTTTTGACCCTCAAACCAGGCTATCAAAAGGTCACGTTGAAGAACCAGGCTTATTTTGCCAAATACATGGTGTTTGGCCGGAGTCAGACACTTTTTCGGGAGAGCCATAAACACCGCCTCCGTGTTTAGACCATGGCTTCTCCGGCTTCTCCCGGCAAAGCCAAACACGAATTGAAATGATCCTTCTTCTGCATCATTTTATAGCGGAAAAGGATACTCATTTTATAGTGACATACTAGAGGGGGTTGACACGTCCGTCGATATTTGAAGTCGATGGTACAATATGCTACAATGGTTCCTGGGCACCTGCACCGTAGCTCCGCCGCTCCTGCACGTCAGAGCGTCGCCCTGGGTTCAGGGTCCTCCAGCCGTCGCCTGCACATCACAGGTGAAGCTCAGTAGGACAGTGAAGGACCATTCATCAAAAGAGAAAAACCGAAAAGCAAGGTGACAAGGTCATTCCCTAAAGATCCAGTCGTACCGAACCTCAGGTACGGTAGGTACGCTGAGCTTCGGGAGACACTGTGTCACTGGTTTGAAGCAAGGTGACAACGTCACTATGGGCCCCTGGGACCTTTCTTCAGCATTGCTCCATGCAAAGCAGTAGCTCTACTCTACCAGATTCACGAACTCATCTGCTTGTCCTCTCAGCACATTCATTATATCTTCAACAAGCCTATAATTTGTGGATCAAGTGCCAACAGTTATAGGTTTGTACTAGTCCAAGATCAAGTGTCCAACATCAATCCCTGTTCAACCAACCTATGTACTAGATTGTACTAGTACATAGCATGGACACGAGCATCAGGTGATGCTCCTCTACAAACTCACATTGTTACTTCCTCCTCTCACGTCTAACAATCTCTTCAAGAAGTGGCTTGCCGCACCTTGCTCCTTCTCCTGCGCCGGAGTCCATGCGAAGGGCCTCGAGAGGCGACGATGGTTCTATGTGGGGCGGAGCCAGCGGGCGCACCCTGTGGACAGAGCTAAGTAGGGAAGCTGTACCCAGACGTTCTATGTATGGCATACAATGTATGGTATACCTACATTGGGGTGGCATACATGGAGCGTCTGGGTATAGTAAACTGCTGAGACTCTGAATTGCTCCTGTTTTCTTCAGCCACTCTGTGTTTTTCGATGTGTTTGTCAACTCCCGACGTTGGAACTCCCGACGTTGGACGCCTCCGCTGGAAGATGTCGTTGTGATCCTTGAAGATGTGCTTTTCCTCGGAAGGCGACCCTTGTGAATTCACCCACAGGAAGACACAGGTTTTACATGGTTTTACATATATGGGCAGAAGTGAATATGCGCGTTCTGTACACACCTCAAGAGCATTCGTGACATGATCTGCACCACCCGCTTCCCTCGCTTCCATCGAGATCGCCCATGTTTCAGACCGCCGTCTGTCGTCTCGCCGAGCGGTCGTTCCATGCCCGGGATCTCCGGCAGTCCAAGCTTTGCCAGGGATCTTTTTCGCCTGCCAAACATCGCTGGATGGGTCTGGATTGTCAGACTGGGATGGGAGTCTGACATGGACAGATCAATCATGACATCACCCGGATAGAGCCATCTTTTTGTGGCCGCTATTTTGGACCAACTGGACCAACCACCAAAAATGTGGTCTTTTCAGGTCTTCTCCTATCAAAACAGAGGTCATGTCTGGGCTCCGGTGCATCAAAAAAGCGCATGACTTGAAGCAACTCCCCCCTTTTCTGAAGCAGCCTTCGACTTTTCACCCTGGTTGGTCATCTCTTAGGGCCCCACCAACTCGATCAGCAGGTGTCTCTGCCGTCGCTTTGGATCCCGGACATCCTCACCGGACGGACTTCGTGGAGGGCGGCGCGTGCACGCGGCGCAACGCACGCGCGTTTGGAGCGAATCGTGCCATTGGAACATATTGGAACTCATTGGACAAAACGAAACTGCCCGCATCCGAGTGCGCGACGCGCTCCAGCGCAAACCAGCACTGGTTTGGGTCAACCTGGCAGTGGAAGTCCAGCAGATTCGTTGGTTTCCGTTGGTCCCGGCGGCTTCGAGTTCATATAACACTCCATGCATGGAATTTACATTGACCCCTGAAACCAACCCATACACAGATCTAGAGTGTCTGGGTATAGTTCAAAAGGAAAAAGCACGTTGATTGCGGAATAACGGCAGTTGTAGTGGATTGATTAAGAGGAAATGACACCAACGGTGGAGAAAAAGTGGACACGTAACAGGTGACATGTCTCTAGACTGACTTTGACCACGTTCAATGTTCAACCTCATGTGAATAGATTCTAAAATTGTAAACATTGTAGTTCCGGATAGTTCTGCACGCGACGACCTGTTCCCATCCCAAACTTCAGCTAACCACTCACAACCCAAAGCGGGAAAATTGCTCAGGGGAGGAGTAAAAAAGGCTGGTCATTCGAGCGAAGCCCCTCCTTCAGTTTGGTGGTGCTTCACCTCTTCAGCAAGCCTTTCACCGATGTTCACAGATCCGCCAGACTCCTATGCCCATCCTTCTCCTCTGCCCAGACTCCACGGAAAAGGGTCCAGTTCAGATAGATCCGTCGCTTCACCTCCAGGCTGAGTCGTCCACTGATGCCGCCCAAGACCTGTCTCCGGGTCCGAAGACAAGGTCAGTCTTCCAGACTGCTGATGTTGTTGCAAGGCTAAACACACACCTTCCACACTATCCACACGCCTTGAAACCACGCGCCTGGCCCATGGATCCGAGTTCGGGTCCCAGAGGCGGAGGGGTCAAGGGGCCGCCGACGACGACACCCTTTCGTGGAGGCCGGAGTGGCATGGGGTTCAGGGATCGATAGGGCGGCGGTCTCCAGGGCCGTCTTCGACCCATCTGAACCCATCAAACCCCATGGAACCAGCCCGAAGTCAGCGACTTTCTGAAGTAACACGGATGCAACCGGAGCAGCTAAACTATCTAAACACCGGCCTTGGATCTACAGAAGCCAAGTGGTCACATGTCGCAACCCCTGCTTGTAGTAGTTTTCCGCTACAGAAGGAAAGCCGTTCCTGCTCTTAGCTTGCTTGCATCTCACAATTTATAGCTGTATACTAAGCCAATTAAATAAGTGGAATTTCATGAATTTTCTTCTGAGTCTGAGGCATTTTCCCCTGAGGTCCATGTGATCATCTTCATTTGACAGGTCTTCATGTTCATCACGCTGATGGTCAATGCAAATCTTTCGGCTCCAAAAGCCAAAGCTCCAATGACTCATCTTACTCCACCTCGAAGGAACATGTTTCCCCACTTCTAAGGGGCTGAGTCCATGAAATGACTCCCAAGGGCCGCCCCAAATCCACCTCCTCCACCTCATCCAGCCACTCCACTCCTCCACTCCTCCACCCACTCCCGATGCCTCGCTCTTCCGGGGGCCCTTTAAGCATCGGACCGCCAACTCACATGGGCACACGCGCACCTCGAGGTCCACGAGCGCGCGGTCCGCGCCAGGTGGCGGAGAGCAGTGGCGGATGGTCCCGCGGAAAAGAAGGGGGAAAGCACAAGATGGAAGTGGGTGGCATATGGTGGCATAGATTGGCATGTATGGAAACTGATGGAAAGTGAGTAACTTCCGACTGGAGTCCCGTTGGATGTCCTGGAAAATAAAGGTGACACCTGTATCCAGCTGTTGGATCTTAGGTGGGGAAACCAATTCCCTGAACAGTTTGCAGTTTGTGCCGGTTATCCCCTTTTCCTAGGGAGGTGTCCCTGAAGCATCTTGATTCTTCGGTGCGCATCCAAACTGGGGTGCAGTTAACAATTCAAAGGCTGGGGCAAACAAAAAGAGCAGTAAGATTATCTGCCAACAGTAAGATCAGACCTTCCGAACAGTTGGTCAATTTTTTGGCAGAAGTCATCTGCTTGTCACTCCTTCCAACCAATCTGAAGGAAGAAGCAAAATGATTCACCACCGTTTCGTGACACTGGTTACCTCATGCATGTCCTCTCTGCTTCATGGTCTTCATGCCATGCCGGAGTCGCACCTCCCCACCCTGCGCGTCACATGGTTTTTGGTTCGAACAGCTTCCCCACCTGCCCCGTCCAAACGAGCTCTTCCATCCAAACATGTGACCCAAAACTACAGGGAAACCACGGGTGAAACAAAGCTCCTCATGTTTGTGATTTATACTGAATTATCTTCAAACAATCCAAGGTACTGGCATATTCACCTGCAGTGGTTTGAGGGGTCAATGCATGTACAGACACATATTATATATTCTTTCCTATTCACTCCATACATGGGTTCTAGGGGTGCAGCATCTTCACAATAGGACCCGCCTCGAAGTCAGCTTCGTCCAAGCCTTGGAGTGGGTTCTAGCGATCTTTGGGGAGCTTCCGGTATAGAATGAAACGGCCTGTCGAATTCTCCATATCTATTCTATCATATTCTATCATTCTTTCTGAAACAGTCTATAGTTATATACTATGTGATGATCTATGTACTTGGCCTGATGTTGGTTGGTCTCAATCTGTTCTATTACATGAGCGACGTGTAAAACCTCTTGTGTGTTTTAGTGCGCACTCTTCCCAACGTCATCGTTTTTTTCTGCGAACCTTATCGTTCCTGAGGGTTTGGACACACCTAACACTATGTGAGCTTGTGTAAAGACCCCTCTATCTTTGCCTTATAACTCTTGACGTTGTCGTTTTCTTTTCTTCCTTATCGTTTTACGGTACTTTGGCTAATTGCAACAAATGTAGTATAATGTTGTGTGTGCACTACATGCATGTGGTGTGTGGAACCTTGCAGGCATGAAGACACTTCATTCCAACTACACCCATGTGGTGGCCTGCTTACGGAAAGATGTTTTAGGCTCGCTGGCTGTGTTCTCGCTTTTGTTATCGCTGTGTTATCGTTTTCATGCCTGGTGCAAGTTGGAAAACCATGTGGCACAACAATGCTGTAGCACAAGGCTGACATGCACATACCCACCGAGAGCAGTCATGCATTGACCCTGACCATTTGGAACAGTATATAGTAGGTTTTCTGTTTGTGTGTGCACGTGCTTTTTTCACACCACTTCTGGCATGTCAATGGTTTTCCACAAGAGTCATCGGGGGTTGTCGTTTGTATTTCTTCCTGATCGTTTTACAAGGGATTGAGCATGCTTCCAGAAAAACGGACATGCGAATACTAAGTTCTTACATGTGGGGTTTTTATACTCTCTCATGTACTAAAAACATCCAAAAACCGTATCGTTATTTTGTGAACCTTATCGATTAGCGTTCCTGAAAGTTTCACTCATTTTACTTACTTGGTCTTCACTGTAGTGATGCTGCCTTCATCGGAGGTTTTGGCAGTTGCTCACATAGACCTGTCCAATCTGCAGATTACAATATAACATACTTGGGTCGTCCACCTCGTTTCATCCAACCCTCATGGCAGCATCACTCCACATCAACCACCACTCAACACACCCCAAAAGACCCACAGCTCTGGACCGCTCAACGCACAGCTCTGGATCTCCAGGCTTTCCAAAGCTTTCTCCAGAGGCCAAAAGAGCTGAACGCTGCCGGTGTTCTGTCGCCAACGCAAGGCCTGAACGCTGCTTCCAGCCGTTGGATTTTTCCCACGAGACGCGCGGTGGGAGAAGTTTGAGCATCGGTGGGCGAGATGGAGGTGAAAGTTCTGTGGAGGTGGAGGTGTTGTATACTCCAAATTCAACCAATTGAGGGCATCATCCAGTCTTCGAAGAAGCCATGGTTCATGCGAGTATCCCCATCCTCTTCCTTGATTCGTTAGGCTGTTTATCATGCCATACCGCAATATATCAACCGCCAAATAGGATAGAAACGCAGATCCCTACTAAAATGTATTGGACACCGTGCCACTATCTATTTGGGGGATCACTACACAGTCTATGCTTGGGTTGGTCCTACCCTCCATCCCAAGCTCAGCAAGACTGAGGGAGGGCAGCCTGACGGGCAGCCCGGGCTGTATCTCATCCAAAGAAACCGCTTCTGAATGTGTAAGAAATCTGAAGACATCCTCCCTACCCTATGCTCAAGGAGGGGTAGTTCTTCTATGTTCTAAGTGACATTCTCTCCCCACAGATTGCTTGCCAAGAGGGTGGTTTTCCGTCAGAAATCCCACCCCGAAAGATCCGAAAGATCTGCGTGGAGAGTCGACACGAAAGGAAACCCCCGGCCCGCTCCGCCCCTTCCGCTCTCCCCGCGATTCGCCCATCATGTTGGGGGCGGTTACCAGGCTACTATTCCAGGAGTCCCTGTGGAACCATGGTATACATATGTAATTAAACATGATGCAAAGCAGCCCTTCCACTCGTCTGCTATGGTCAACCTCCAAAAGGCTCACACCAGCGATTTCAATCTACCGGGTCCCGGATGCTTAGTTTGGACCGATGGCCAAATATGGAAGACATCCATAGACCTCCGCCTTTCTTTTGTATTAACTTCCTGTCGTCGCTGTCTCTCTGTCCAACTTCTCTGCTTGCAGAGAAGTGCTCTTGCTGGGCGGTGCTTCATCCACCCGTCGAGATTCGGCGTGGTCTGCCCATCTTTGGTGAAACGAGGCTAACCTCTGTCTGGATGCAAATCCAACACTCACAGGCCGGACGAAAGGGCTCGCGCGAGACATAGGATCAATTTGATGGTCAAGAACTCCGGGATACAATGACAGCATCCAAAAAGCCTTCAGTCACCAACGATCAATCCAAGAACCACCGCCAGTTGCACCAACACCATGACAATAACATACAATAGACACTCTATATTTGTATACAAACACCTCTAGTCATTCATTCTGATCTTCATGTTCCGCGCGAGCAGGCTCCGTGCGCCGAATTATCGTCTGGGTGGCGGAAAAATGGGGGGACATTCCATCCGAATCCTCGCTAGGCGCCGGCGACCTGAGGTCGGAGATGCAATTCATGTGCATCCCAACGAGTTTCGGAGGGGGATCTTCGCATGGAAGAATGGGACCATTCCCATGTCCTGGTGTCTGGTCACCTGAGTGAACATCCATGTGCGCAGCTTTTTTCTGGAAGGGGCATTTTCTTGGTTCTGAATTTCCCGCAATGAAGGCCAGTGATGGCTCAACCTTTTTCGGGTCGCATGTTGAGGAAGGAGTCGGTCTCCAAACCCTCTCAGCGGAAAGCTCTGATGTTGGTAACAACAGGCGTGACTCGAGAGTTGATGTGACAGGCAAGGTGGAGTTTAGAGAGCATTCAAGTCTAGCGAAAACAAGGAGTTGGTGGATTGGCTCTTGAAGGAAGTTAAAGGCTAAAAGCCAACTGTTGCTGAAACCAAATAGAAGCTTGTCCGACATCCCAATAAAAACCACCGATGCAGATCTCTGCAAGCCCCCAAGATCTTTGGTGTCCATCACATTCCGTCCCCCTGGATTTCTAAGGAGGCCCTACCATCACGAGTCCTTGTACATGGGAGTGTGCATGCCTGAATCCAAAAAGAGCTCTAAGACACAATGCGCCAATGAGCTCTGCAAGATCCAAGAGCGAAAATGGTTGATGAAAACGGTACAGTACATCTCCTGCATACCGGTTGTGCAAACGTGGCACTTCAGCCTTCACCTCCTCTGTTTCTTGCTTGGCGGCCTCCTCCTGGCACATGGAAGAACTTCGGCAACTTAGGCACAGAACAGCCTCCAAAATCCGCATGGGCCATCGAAACATTAATGTATGTGTCTTGAGGTGTTTCTTGAGATTCACGTCCCCTTGGCCTATTCTAGAGGGTCCGGGTCACTTTTGTAGTCTCAGTGGTTTCAGAGTAGAAAGGTGGTTGATGTGGACCCATATAAAGGACCTCTTGGATCCTCTTAAAATCTGTGCCATCTACTCTGGTAAACCACTGTGATAGCATCATCTCTCCATGTGGGCCTCAATCATGGTCTTCATCTTTTCTCTCAGCCTTAGTACCGGCAGACTCCAAACATCGTTCGTGATGCACCGAAAGAACAAGGTACCACACCCACGCCCGGCAGCGACATGTGGAAGTGAGCCCCTTTCACTCACTCACATAAGGGTGAATGATGTAACCGGAAAGCAATGCAAAAAGAATCAACAGGTCTCAAAACGTCACAACGTCGGTGGTGGATGTGTTTGTCTGCATCCAGTTGCTCGCTGAAGACTTCAGGCTTATCTTCTCTGAGCTCATTGATCTCGCGACCCAGTTCATCCAGATCAATGCCCGCCTCAACGGCTTCCTTGGCATCCTCGACCGGGGGAGGGGCGAGTGAAACATGCCAAATATGGTGCTTGGCCTGAAATCTCATGCAAAGCATCTTAGATTTGGGAAGAATCATCTATAAAGGAAACAATTCCTTGGGAAGAATCATCTATAAAGATCCCAAATAGAGATCTCCAAAGGAAGAAACATCTATTTGGGTAGATCCACTACCTGCTGAGTTGCAAGAGTTTGTGCTGATTCCCAACACTACTCACTGTCCGTCCCTCTGGACCCCGACGTCTACGTGCGATGCGTTTCCAGCAGTTTTGAGTTCGCTCCGGCCACCTGCTCAGCAACCAATTGGATTGAGCACCAAGAAACCATGTTGAAAGAAGAACATCTAAAAACCACCCTGGAAAAGAACAAATCCTGGAAGCACCCAAAGTGCTGGAAAGTGCTGGGTGGGGTTTTATTCCATCCATGCTCCTCTCAAAACACAAATCTTCCTCTCTCAAACTCCATGGGTGAAACTGAGAAACTCGTGACTCTGACTCATGATTCGTGACTATTGTGTTGAGAGGGACATTGAATTCAGGACATGCACGAAACATATAGAACCGGCTGAACCCATCTGATCCAGCTCATGCCGAGAACAAGCAAAAACACTCTTCTATATGGTTGGCCTCTCGGTGTGGAAGTCTGTGCTCTCTATCCAGCGGGTCACTGGAATCATCAGTGTGTCTTTCAATCTTCACGTTGTTCTCCCCACGTCCCGCCCGTAGCCCTCCATGAGCCCCCTTATCGTCCCCATGAGCCCCACATCTCCTGATCTTCATCTTTGGGCACCAGCCAAAGGCCATCCCTCACTTTCACAGGATCGGCTGGCAGCTCCGGCCCCGAGGTATCTCTCTGGCGGTCACTCTCGCTGAAAATGCCCTCGCCAGACTTCACCGTCTTGCTGTCGGACAAGAATCCGCTCAGCTTCTTGTCTGCCTCTGAAAGAGGGCGCGGCTCCGCTGGGGTTGAGTAAAGCTAACTGTTTGGGGGCATCACATTATTTTGAAGAGTTCTCTACACTCGGGAAGAAACTGATCATTGAACATCATTGAACCATATTGAACCATATTGAACCACAGTTTCTGGCCTTCTTCTTTTCTTTCAACAAAGCCTGATTGACTCGTTGAAGCTCTTGTTGGATTGATTTGTCCTCTGGCACATACTCCAAAGCTGTCTTAAGGTCCTTCACGGCCTCATCCAGCTTCTCAAAGCCATCTTTTTGAGCAAGTGCGCGTCGGAACAAGGCTTTCGCCTTCTTCTCCGGTGGCAGCACATTCTCCTTCGGATCTGGAGGATCCTTGTCTCCCTGCAGAGCTCGTGTGGCGGTGTTCACGCAATGCTGCCACTGTTTCAACTTGAGAAAGCATAGGGACAGGTTCAGATAGGCAGCTGCTCGTAACTGTCGAACAGAATCTCTACCTTCATCCGTCCACTGCACATCCTGTTCTCCTTCAAGCGCACGAGACTGCATGATCATCTCCGAATATCGGGCGATTGCTTCTTCAAACTTACCCTCTTGCACCAACTTGTTTCCCTTCTCACGGTTTTCGGTACAGAGGTTGAAAATTGGGTCCTTCTCGACCTTGGTGCGGAGAAACTAGGGGGACAACAAAGTATCAAACGAATGAAGCCCAAACAACATGATTAAACATGTCAAAATCATCAAAAAGATCAGCTTTCACAGCTTTCAGCTTCAGCAACCGGGTGTGGCCCGCCCTTAAAGTCATGAGCTGTCAAATCGCCATCGGGACCCAGTGGAGTCAGTTGAAAGCCCACTGAATAGCCACCAGTCATTGGACCCGCCATTGCTCTCTCCGGCCACGTGGCGTCCGCAGCTTCCGCACGCGAGCGCGAGCTGCGGGAGAAAAGCTCAAAACTGCAAACAGCTGAGGCGTGTCCAGCCGGACAGGGGAGACATGTCAAGAATTGGGGCATCTTCCGTTCATGTGTCCTAGATTCCAAGCCTTGCGTTCCAATTCTGCCGGTGGTCTGCTGAACCCGGTGGACGGATAGTAGTTATATCTATAGCAACTCATCACGTCAGATGAAGAAAGCCAAGCTTTTGTAAGCAACACGGTTCCGCTATAAGCGCTGTTTTACTGTCAAAATGTCTCCTGACAAAGGATCTCCCATATTTGAAGTAGAACTCTTCTTCAAAGTTTTTCCAATGACTAAGTCTCCCCAATCGACCATGGCCTGGCTGCCACCTTCTATGGGTGCCATAGGGACATCTCGTAGACGAAAGACCGGAAGCCTTGGCCACGAGATGCGCTCGGTGGGAATAGATGGATCTCGTCTGTTGTGCAAAGACACCTGTCAAATGGATCACACGGACTTGGAGTTCTTAAAGCCTAAGATTGAAGTAAAACATGCGGCCCTCCCGCAAGGTAGTGTCAAACTGATTTCTGGAATTGCTGGAAATGTAAACGCTTGCAATGTTCATATTGTATATGTATATATTTCTAGGCCTAAGTATATAGTTGTGATAGGTTTAAACAGCCGCCTGTGGTCACACACCCCGACCAACCAACCTCCGCACGTGTGAGTTCACAGATCACACCCACTCGGACCCCACACACCTCCTTCGCCGGCCCCTGAGGCAGAAAAAGGACGCGTAGACGAATCATCGGATTTGCGGTACATGCACCTATTATATATATAATATATAAACACTCCCAGAACATGGAATAAAAACAACCCTCCACCCCCACCTATGACCTGAATAGGATGGATATAACAGTATGATGGATGAATCAAATCTTCCAAGCAGGAGTGATCTGGGTGTTGGGCCCCCGGACACAAAAACAGATCTGACATGATGGAGTAGCGTCTGAAACAGATCCGACAGCCAACTTAAATGATGATTTCATGAAGCCTCAGGATGATGAAGCCAACTTAAGGACGCTTGTATGATGACCAAGTCTTTTTATCAGATGATCATTGATGTGAAATATGTTTTAAAAACATTTAAAAACAAAAATAAAAGTAACGTGTGGTACTGTGGGGTTGTTGATAGATCAACCCCGGATCAAAGAATGCCTGTGAACCTCCTGGGAAGGGGAAGAGGTGCCAACACATATCATGAATCTATCATAAATCTGTTATTTCTGTACCAGTACCCTCCAACAGGTCCTTAGTTGAGGGTTGTTAAGAGCCCTAAGTGACCTGATGGGACCGACCGGCCCAGGGACCGGCGAACTCTAGGCCTTTGTGCACTCAAAGGAGGTGGCCATTCTGTTCAGGCGCAGAAGTAGATCGAGGTATGCGTGTTGGGACTTATACACCCAACATTGGCCCATGATTCGCCCAAGTCTCAATATCTTGAGCCAATGTTGGGTGTATCATGGTGTATCCCATGACCAGTGGATGATGGTTGGAACAAGGCCTAGCTGCGCCCAGCCCAAGAATAGTGTCTTTGAGCTGTGTGTGTGGCACTTATCTCACCAAATCCAAAATCAATGGCAATCCCAGAATGCACTTGGGGAGTAGAAGTCAGTTTTCACTTCAAACGGTTCTTCGCTCTGGAGTGGGTCTCTGTTTAACATAGCGTCAAGGGTTTTCATATGTCTTCAGGTCATGGCGAAAACATCGGACAGTTGTATCCGTCCCAGGCACCGACGGTCGGCACACTTGACACGTTCTTTGAAACCTGCATTCCCTCTGTTCAGTTGGACAACCCATCCAGCGGCACACTCAGCCTCGGCCACCTTTCCACTTTCCCTGGATTGGTTGTTCGATGGTCGTTGCAGAGAGTGACGGCTTGGGCCTGGCCCTTCACTCAACCAGCACCCCGCCACTCAACCAGCACCACGCCTCCTGAGCCAACACCGAAGTGTCCGTACCTTTCATCAGGCAGATGTGGGACCGTCACCGAACACCTGCCCACGATCTACCTGAATCTATCAGAGATGGTGCTGAATGCATTGGAAAAAGCTCATTCTTGCTGTGTGGAATAGCCTGCAAACACGGCCTGCCCTCGCACCTTGCGGATAACCCGAACTCATCAGGGCATCCAAAGCTCAGCAAAACTGTGTACTGCGTAGGTAGCTGTAGCTCGTGGGTGTGTTACGCTAAACTTCTGGGACTTCGTATGACTTCATGACTTGGGCTGAAAGAGCAACACGTGCGACCCAGTTTGCAGGTGAGAACATACATGGGAAATCAGGACCCGTCAATCTGAACGGTTTTTTTCAGGTTCGTCTCTTCCTCCAATGACTGCAAGGCTACCATGTTGGCCTTTGAAGGGTGGGTCTTCAGTGCTGAAGACGGCATCTGTCTTTCAAGCCCTCTATGCTGTCAGCCGAAAGCTGCACATCTGGCCGAGCCGAAGAAGGCAGTCACTAAGGCTGGCCGAGAGTAACGCTTCAACATGAGGCATGAGGAGTAATAGAATTGACCTGATTATAATATGACAACATATGATAGTAGGAGCCGTTATAGATGTGATAATCTATCATGATATATGACTCTATATATCTTTATAACAAAATGTATGTGTATATATATATATATACACTTGCTAGGTCGATGTCCAACATGAATGCTCCGATTCACTTCACCAGGCTTTGGCCGCTGACCCCACTTGACCAGAAAGGCTCGCGGTGAGCTCTTCGCGGTCGCGGTGAGCTCTTCGCGCTTGTTCCGCTTGGTCCAACGCTCCCAGACCCAGGGCAGGCCCCAGGCTCGCTCATGGGTCTGGGACAAGGTCCGATGCATGGCGCAGTATCCTCAGGTGATCGCGTGCGACCGGTGACCGCGTGCTGTGCTGAGCTGACATCAGCACCAGATACTGAGCAATGATACATTGCGTGCGGTTGTATACATCAGCACAGCAGCAGCAGATGGACATAGAGTACCAAAAAAGGCCATTTGGAGTGACAGAAACCCCTGAATACGCCTCTTTCCAGTCTTAAAGGGACCATTCAAAGAGATTGCTCCTGACAGACATGTTCTCCATCTACGACCCCAATGCATGTGTACAAGCAATCAGTGAGGTGTGAGCAAGGTAATTCCGAATTATTCCCTCCACTCATGCTCAGTGTTTTGCCATACCAGGGCAAATGAGTTTGAGGGAGTGGGGGTGGTTTATCAGGAACTCTACTGACTGACGCAAAAAAAGAAAAAAAACTGCTCCACCGGAGAAAAGTTAAAGGTTTCTGAAGACAAACCGCAGGGTCGTTTGACCGAGACTTGCAAAGATAAGGAGACCGCTTCGTGGAAGTCGGCGGAAGGGCCCTCGTAGTCCATCAAATGCGTAGCCAGCTGGACTTGCGAAATCCGGGCCAGTTGCCCAGTGTCTCCCAAGCCTTGTACCACGTCGTACTCGCAGCCTTCACAATTCACGTGAAGTAACTCCTTGGGATCCAGTGGCTCGCAGTGGCTCGCGCACCGCTCAGACCAGTGCTTTTTCCAAATAAAAATCCAATAATATTTCAAAACGCTCAGCATATAGCCTCAGCAGCTCACCTCCTGTATTCTGCTATATGATAGTGGTACTATCTTGTAAGTAATTGAACCTTTCATAGCAGAACCTCACTGTAGGTCCATGGCGTCTTAATGTTTAGATACTGTTTATTCTATATTGCCATGAACTCTCACAGACAGCAATTCTTTCTCTCACAGACAGATTCAGACGTTCAGAGTCATGACTTCTTGCTCTTCTTTGGAGCTGTGCTAGCGATGCTCACTTCTGCCACCCGCTTCATGTAACCTTCAATGCTCGAAAATGGTGCCACAGATCGCTGCACAGCCGAGCGATAGGCCGTAGAGGCAGGGTCGTCTGCGGGCATTTGCCCTGACCCAATTGGACTCGCTTTCCAATCAGCGGGACTGCGGGAACACAAGAAAGCAACTCTGAGCATGATCCAAGGTCTATATAGCATTATATTGGGACTGTGTAAGATGTTCTTGAATATGACTTGTAATCTAAACCATATATATATAATGCAAGACCATTTATAAGTATTAATATACTATCAGACCATATTAGACCAAAAAAGTTCATCCAAAAAGTTCCTCCGAACCCCCCCCAAAAAAAGAATAACTCACTACACCTTGGTGCACCCGTGTTTTGTTCCCTCGCTCGACTCACCAGCCGGGCGTCCACCGAGCTCTGCCGGCTTTGCGCCAGGACCTCCGGGATCGCCTCGGCCGTGGAGCGGATCAGCACCGCCTCGGTGTCCTCCGCGGCCGGAAGCGGACGCACCCACCCAGCAGTAGAGGGCGCTTGAAAGCCGGGGCTGGACAGATCTGGTTAATACAGGTCGATTTCTGGGTGTTGGACACCATTTTACATCTCCCCCCAATTGTTGTGTTGTCTTGGTTTGATTCTTTGGGGGTGTTTTACTTGTTCCAAAGAAATGAAATGCGAATACATATTATGACATTCACACCAAAAAGGTCTGTATGGACACACAAAAAGAACACGAAGAAAAAACAGGTTGATGGGAAGCACCCTACAAATCCGCCAGATTCTACCCCTTCCTGACTGGTGCTTAGTAGGGAATGAGAGAATGAACCCTAATGAATCTCTGTTGGGTGGTCATTCCCTCATTCCCTACTAAGCACCCGTCAGCTTCCCCACCTCCAAAACGAAAGCCGCTCCTCTTCGGAGCCCTCCACCACCCGGGAGGCCGTGCCACGCACACGCAGAAAGGCGCGGCGCGTTTTCGCGCCCAGGCCATAGTTGTGCAGCGTGAAGCCCGGCACCTGGTGGACCGAGGCTCCAAAAGGCGGCCGCTTGTGGTCACAGCATGGAGGGAGAAAACTGGAGTGAAAACTGGAGCTGTTGGCATGGTTGGCATGGCTTGCTGGTGTGGAGCTGGTTAAAGGTGTAGAGCCAGTCTTCCTTCCGAGGTCAGTTCCCCTGTTTGAAACGTCAGGGTTGACCCACCCAAATTCCTCCCCAAATTCCACAGTGTTGCATCCCAGACGACCTCTCACATGAAGCGATAAACCGATAAACCTGTACCTCACTGCCAGGTCACCAATTGAAATGTTTGAGCCTAACAACCCTCCATGTCGGAGACCTGTTGCAAAGTGCTGAGCAGAGCTTCTTGACCGCCCTTGTGCAACAACTTCGCCTCATGATCCCCATCCGATCCCTTCACCAGCTTCACCCAGCACCATCCACAACCCAATCCACAACCCACTCCACCGTTCCCCATCCAGGCACTCCGTGCAAAGATCTGACCAAGCTCCGGAAGAAGGTCGGAGAGGGCCTGGTTCGTCGCTGTGTTGTGAGGTTGAGACCGGACCACAAGCTCCGACCGAGTCCAAGGGTTTGGAGTCCGAGCCAGTGAGTCGATCATGGGTTGAGTTGCCCACCCAACGCTTCAAGTGATGAGGACTTAGGACCGGGAGCGAAATGGGAAATCAAGAGTGTGGCTTATGTACGTAGCTGTGGAGCTCAAAAGGTGTGGAGTCCCACGCTTTGGATTTGCCTTCAAAGGTGGCTTTGCTCCATCAGCAGAATAGAGCTGAGGGCATGTTGTGGGGTGTACAATGGTGTAATTACGTAGCTTTCGATCAAAGAATAGACATGAGAAGAAGCGCCTCATGGGCACTTGACACAGTCATCTCGTGTGTCACTGGCCATTGCTAGACCTAGAGACGGGTGCATGCAGAGACTGGATAGACCCAGACCCAAACCAAAGAGCCTTGCGAACCTCACAGAGACCATCTCAAGTTTCATCCATTCATGCACAGCTGCTGAGCTGTATGCCAACTAGGATAAATTCCAACAAGGAACCGATGCAAAGGCAGACTTACATTCCTCAGATGCATACCTGCCAACCTCTACATTATGTTCATATCTGTTAAATATCATTCATCCTGCACCTACGATTCGCATGTCGCACCAGTTGGGCACCCATCAATCATGGCACCAAGGGCGTGAACACCCCAGGTACTCCTATTCTGAACAGCATCGTGCTGCTTCCCAGTCCCAGTCCAGGAAAGCCCACCACTTCCCCAGGCTCTAGGGACTCAAAGAGGTGCATCTGCAATGCAACGCCCCTGCGGTGAAACTCCAAACCATCTTCTCCACCACGATGGGCGCCGATGTAGAGCGCTGTGCCATTCGGCCGCAACGGGGGGTCGAAGGGAGCATACCTCAGAGGTCGAAGTGCAAGGCGCTGTGCCATGTGGACAGGCCGACTCGAGTGGCTGAGATCCATGTGGAAGGTCAGAACAGATCCACTTAGCAGCCTTCTGCAAACCAGTTCCTTCCCTGCCTTACCCATTACAAAGAAACGAACGCACTGCGCAGTCACTGCTGGAAACTGTACCACCTGCATGAGAAGTGGCCGGTACGCAGCCAAACGCATGAAATCCAGTATGCTGCTACCTTCGACATGTCGATCTCTAGCAGCATAGCTCGCCCAGAAGTCACAGTCCTTCGCAAGGAGTCAGGAGTTGCTTTGAGATGCCTTCCTTTTGAGGGACCAAAGACACCAATAAGGTTCCTATAACCGAAGACCCCAAGATCCGTTTGGCAACTCTCCCAAAAAGGACCACTTGGAATTCTGCCACCTTCACACAGGGGCTGTCTTAATGGACCCTATAGTCTGCAATGGTTTTTGGTCCGTCATCTCCTCCGTGGCATTGTAGGAATAGCCTGGGATCTGATCCTCGTGCAAGGAGCCCAGCAAAGGCACCCGGCAAGCCATCAGCTCCTTGGATCAGGATCAAGGCCAAAATAGAGAACAAGCAACCTGCATCTTGTCTATGAGGTGTAGGATGTGAATAGGATCTTAGCTAGGGATAAAAGAAAGAAACAGAACTGCATCATGATTACTTAGGGTGCCCATGAGAAAAACTGTTTGGTGTTCACATCTTCCAAGACCTTCGAAACCACGCCATCACGAAACCACCGACTCGCCCGGAAACTTCGCGCCTCGTGCCGCCCGCCATCGCGCGTCTCCAGGAGCAGCTGGGCGCAGCCTTCGAGTCTCCGTGCCGCTTCCCCCAAGTCCAAGGCATCCGCCAGTGAGACGAGTGTAAGTCCAAGGAGCATCGCACGGCGAAGTGAAGCTGGCAAACTGGCAAACTGGTCAGGTGCATCATTTACACATGTGGCAGGTGCATCCAGACTACTAAAAAAAGACTTGCAGTATTTTGGAGAACCTGCAAACACCTGCAGAAAAAAGGGCAAATGATGAGAATTGAAGAAAAGGATAGCAAAACCGAAGAGCTCTCATCTCAATCTATCAAACCTGACGAGTTTTGAAGAAATGCATCCCATTTGAATCGCTCGTTGGATAACTGGTTGAAACCGGCTCTTTAACCTGTCCAACATAGATCATCATATAGAATCATATAGATAAACATATAAAAGAGTACTCCTCCCTTGGAAAAGGGTCGTAGGAACCCCTTCTACTTGGGCATCTCTTACACCCATCTCTTCCAGCTTGGGCCCCAAATCACGGATCATGGCGCGGGGCAGTGGCACCGCTTGGAATGGCTTGGAGTGGCACCGCTGCTGCAAACATTCAAAGCACAACTGAGGAGGTTGGAAACTCCAGCAAAAATTCGCTGCACAACTAAGGAGATGGAATCTCCTGCAAATTCGAAGCACAACTAAGGAGATGAAACCTCCTGCTAAAACTCGAAGCACACCTCACGAAATGACATCTCCTGCAAAAAGTCCGAAACACAACTAAGGAGATGGAATCTCCTGCACAAATTCGAAGCACAACTGAGGAGGTTGGAAACTCCAGCAAAAATTCGAAGCACACCTAAGGAGATGGAATCTCCGGCAAAATTTCGAAACACGACTAAGGAGACGGAATCTCCTGCAAAAAATCAAAGCACAACTAAGGAGATGGGATCTCCAGCAAAAAACTCGAAGCACACCTAAGGAAATGACATCTCCTGCAAAAATCCGAAACACAACTAAGGAGATGGAATCTCCTCCAAACAATCAAAACCACAACTAAGGAGATTGGAAACTCCTGCAAGAATTCAAAGCACGCCTAAAGAGACGGATTTTCCTGCAAAAATTCCAAGCATGCACACTTAATGAGATAGAAACTCCTGCCCAAATCCGAAGGACACCTAAGGAGATGGAATCTCCTGCAAAAAATCGAAACACACCTAAGGAGATGAAATATCCTGCAAAAAAATCGAAACACAACTAAGGAGATTGGAAACTCCTGCAAAAATCCGAAGGACACCTAAGGAGATGGAATCTCCTGCAAAAATTCGAAGCACACTTAAGGAGATGGAAACTCCTCCTGCAAAAGATCGAAGCACACTTAAGGAGATGGAAACACCTGCCCAAATCCGAAGCACGCCTAAGGAGATAAAATCTCCTGCAAAAAATCGACGCACACTAAGGAGATGGATGGAAACACCTACCCACCCAAATCAGAAGCACACCTAAGGAGACGGAATTTCCTGCACTTAAGGAGATAGAAACTCCTGCCCAAATCCGAAGGTCACCTAAGGAGATGGAATCTCCTGAAAAGGATCGAAACCCACCTAAGGAGATGGAATCCCCTGCAAAAAATCGAAACACGACTAAGGAGATGGGAAACTCCCGCAAAAATACGAAGGACAGCTGAGGAGAGGAGATGGAATCTCCTCCAAAAATTCGAAGCACACTAAGGAGATGGAAACACCTACCCAAATCCGAAGCACGCCTAAGGAGACGGATTTTCCTGCAAAAAATCCAAGCACACTTAAGGAGATAGAAACTCCTGCCCAAATCCGAAGGACACCTAAGGAGACGGAATCTCCTGCAAAAATCCGCAGCACACCCAAGGAGATGGAATCTCCTGCAAAAACTGAGGCACACCTAAGGAGATAGAATCTCCTGCAAAAATCCAAACCACATGTAAGGAGATGGATTATCCTGCAAGAATCCGCACCACACCTAGGGAGATGGAATCTCCTGCAACAATCTGAAGCGCACCTATAAGGAGATGAAGGAGAAACAGGAGAAACGAAGCTGTTAGGTAGCTGTTGGGTCTTTTGTCGGCCGGTGCCGTGCTGCTCGGGGTGAGAAGCGGATGCGTCGTCGCCGACCACAGCAACGCCTTTTTCATCGATATGGATGAGCAAATCTACGGTAAGCTGGTCATCCATGAAGACCTTCTTCGATGTGGAGTGGAAATAATCACAGAATCAATGGCAAAGGCTTCAACGTTTTAAAGCAATAAGCCTTCATCACCCAAATACTATAGATGGTCACACCCAAGTGTACCTGAGGCACTGGGGAACTGTTGCTAGCGCCGGCTAGCAGCTTGGTGGGGATCCCCTCACCTTGGAAGGTATTGGGGTCAAAACAGGGATGTATGTAAATCACCCACGTTTTCTTTCCTAAACATTTGGCATGGATATGTTTTTACAATCTGCTTGTGATTTCCTGTCAATCTTTCATGGTTTGGTGCAGGTTTGGACTCACGGCGCGGCCAGTGTTTTGACGACGCACTCGTCGCGTCGCGTGTTTGTCGCGAGAGGTGGACCACGCCACCGCCACGCACGGACTGCACCAAAGCGCCGTGCTGAGCCCTGCAGCTTTGTCAGGGATGAAAGCATGTTCCCAAGGTTTCCAGTGGCTCAACTAGTAGGAGGTGTCCATGTTCCCAGGATGTCCAGCGGTCCTAGATGGACCTAGGGCGATATTGGGCTTTGGAAGACTGTTCAGAGTCAAAGACAAGGTGAAACCATACAGCAGCCATAGTGCCAGGGTGCTTGTCCAATGTGAGATAGAGCAGACCACGCGACTTTCGTCAGAATCCATCTAACTCGGGAGTCACAACAGTTATTGCCATCTACTCTAGCCACTCACTTTGCGCTGAAAGGGAAAAACAGCATCAAATCAGCCGGATTGAGGTCCAGATCTTACTGCCCATGCCTCCAAAACATCAAGGCTCCGCCGTGTCGAAACCGCAGGCAGCCGAGAAGCGCACGCGCCCAAAGGGGCCAGGCAGCTTCTCCGGTCCGGGGCCGCTGCGATCAGTGCTTCGCTCTACTTCCCTCTCACCACATTGCTGGCCGGTCGTCCCTGAAGACCTGGCGCTCCGGGTCGGGACGTCACGTGGGTCGGGACGTCACGTGGTCCGCATGTCCGATGGTGGATCGAGAAACTCGACTCCAAAGACATGCAACGAAGGTCCAAGGGATGAGACAGAGAGAACTGATAGAGAGAGGGACCCTACAAGAATAGTGGTATATTCAATATGAGTATAGTAGGGAAGACCTACAGATGGCTCTTCAACCTCTCTGGGGGGTTGGATGGGATTGACTTCTTTCATCGTTCTTTGTTCGAATGGGTGGCAAGGATGGCGGAGATGAGAATGCAGAGGCCATGACCAACAAAAGACTGACATTTGGTTCTAAAAAAAGACCATGACCAGTTCCAGTTCGGAATGGTTTCTATAATTAGGGTGGTTGATGTCCTACCCTTCAGTAGTGTTTGTTCTCTCCTGGTATTGGGCGATGTTGAAACTCCATGGATGTGTCACAGGTACCGCCCGACGAACCGGGCCCCCGCGAGGCCGTGGCCGGCCATGCCACGAAACGCGGGACATACGAAGCCGTGACCGGCAGGTCAAGCGAGGTCGACGTGGACGTGAAACGTAGAGGCCACGTTCTGTCATGGCGACGGATCACCGAAAACAGTAGGGATTCAAACAATAGACATGAATAGTGTGAATAGGTCCGTGTAGGTCTTTTTGAGCAAGGAACCCCCAAGCAGTAGACCCGAGATTTTTGGCGAGTTGATTTGGTTCCAAATTGCCAGGGTCCTCTTGCATGTCAAGAAGGATAAAAAGGCGATAAACCTCGGAGTAATTAGTTACACTTGAACTGCTTGATGAGCTGACCCGAAGACCCAGTTCAGTTCCCCAATGAGTTCTCCTCTTTCTGGCTACAACTTCCGTGCGGAAAGTGAGAGGTTTCCTCTTCATCCTCTTCCCTGCATACACACGACGACCTCCGTGACGCGAAAGTAGCTACAGCTATATATACACCCTCCAAACCCATCCCAAACACCTTTTTTGGGTCGTTGGAGCCCCAGGAATTGATTGCTTCACTAGAATGAAGGACCATGCTACAACCCTGCGACAGCAACATGAAAGTCCAAAACCTTTCCCATGAACACGTGCACCGTCAAAAGGGAGTCAACGATGATGCACTCAAAAGCGGGTCTAGACATTTAAAAAGAATGTATATATATATAATGTAGGCTCTTGATTCATAAACCCACTCAGTTGAATTGGAAATTCTCTTTATAAGGGGGTCTTATTAATCAAGAGTTTACATTAGTCTTCCACCCTCTGGTATCCGACTTCTTCAGACTCACTGATTGGCTCTTGAACTGGATGGGAGTTACTGCCATGCCTCCTTAGGAGGAATGTCACAGTACTCATCTCATCGAAGTTGGAACCTCACATGGAAAACTTCGCTCGGCCATTCGTGGAATTCGCACACTCAACATCAGCTTCGCTGCGGCCCTCTTCTCGGCCAAACGAAGGATGGAGTGGCGAGCGGCCAATTTTCGTGGAACATGCACAAATGTGTCCGCCAAACTCATTCTTCAAGAGATGGAGCAGCAAAACTCGCGCTTCAGGACAGGGAGCAGTTGCACCTCCTCGCTCGCGTGTCAGAAACATTGAAGGCCCTACACAAGAACGATTGTGCAGATGTTCGACACACGGACTTTTGAAGTGTGTTTACACCAAAACCTGGGTGAGATTGGGTGAGATCTGGCGAGGTTCCACGGAACCTCTGAAACCAGCCCACACCCAAAAACCCAGAACAGTCCCGCACCCAGACGAGCCCTGACCCAAACCCCCAGATCGCGGGCGGCATTCAAACACGGCCTAAAATCCGCAGAAAGGTCTCCACCAAACACTGCTCGGACCTGGAATCCACCATGGATTCCGGGCCTTAATAGTCGCTTAAGATTGCTTTGAACAAAATGGATTGTAAAACTTCTACCTCACACCCGGGTCCAGGTCCCCTGCCAAGGTGGAACAAGATGTTTTTTTCGCAGCTCAGACTCTGCCCAAGCGCTCTCTTCACCTCAGGATGCTCAAGGGAGCTGGCTGCCGTGGGCCTTCCGTCCTTCTCGCGACAAAGCATCTCTTGAACCCAGAGTTGCAGCCAAGGCTTGTGGCGCTGCCATTCCATCCTGGGATGGAAGAAGATCGGTCAAGCGTTTCCATCCATTGAAAACGGGCCAACGGCACGGCATCTTCCTTTCTTCGGTGTGGAATCCAATTCAAAAGTGGGTCTTTACATATTCCGGAATGGACCCAAACTCACTCAAGCTCTGAAAAGTTATCTTTTGAGACACCTCTTCAGGTCATTCGATCGTTCTCTATAGTTGACCAAATTGACCGAACCAAATTGAGTCATGTGTATTTTTGGGTCACCTTCATGAGGTGGAGACTTGACATCATAGTCAACCACCAAATTCAGAAATCCACAAACTCAACTGTTTGAAACCGAGGACGTCCTCCGACATGTCCCCACATGTGTTTTGCTTTATATATAGACGTTTCTTTGGTGTCATTTCTGGCCCAGGCATCTGATCAAGCTTGATTGCAAAGCTGCAAACCAAGTGCTCCACTTTGCTTTCCACCACATCGGAGAAGTACGGTGTTCCGCACACAATCTCGTGGATGGTCAAGCCCAAACTCCAAACGTCACAGAGCTCACTGTAGGATCTTTCAAAGACTTCTGGCGCCATATACCTTGCTGGAAGACCATATACTTCAGGTTTCTCTGGCTGTTGTGGGGACTCGGGATGGGTGTTTGGTCAATTTCGACCACTTCATCCGAGCGAAAAATACCAAAGAGTTTGCACAGTGGCATGGCAAATGATTTAGCCGAAGAGTGAATTGACATGGTGACAGGGTGTAAACCATCAAGGACTTGGTGAAAGCAAATACAGGAACACAGAAAGAAAAGGACCCCGAGGCCCGAGACCTACAACTAAGAAGACTATACTTGATGAGGTGCTGGAGGCAAACTAGTATCAAATAAGTTTCCCAGTGTGTTTCCGCAGGGAAGACTATGCGATGTCCAATTCTTCCGTGAAGGAATGATAGAGCCAGTCGATCGAATCACCGCGGGATGGACCTGATCGAAACGGCACCGTGGCACCTGGACCTGATCTTGGATCCCTGCAAAATAAGTGGCATGTATGCTGTTGTCTGGGTGCAAGGTAAAGGTATGCAGGAGTGCGGCAGGAAAACAGTGAGAGCTGCTTTGGCATATGGAAAAATACAGAGCTTCTAAATTATTGTTTCACGCGTTTGAACCCCGAGAGGCAGTGGGATTGGTTGCTAGTGGTCTCTTCATAAACAGTTTGACGGCCAGTAGGCTGCCCGGGCATCTCTCTGCTTCATCGGCGAGGGGAAGAAGGCACTGCGCCTGTGTGTCTTCTGTAATTAACAGTCTTTTTCTGTGCCTGCAAAAGCAAGTCTAATGTTAGTTAGTGGCCGGTTTCTCCTGATGCTATGTGACCAGGAGCGTGTCCTGCAGATTTGGCCGTCTCAGTTGGCAATAAATCGAACCGAATGTGTAGTTGGCATAGTGGATCCATTTTCAACAACGACTTGACTTAAACGAGCGGTATGGTCTGGACGCAGAAAAGAAACCCAGCAGTTTGAACATCTTCAGCATTGCATTAATATAACTGGACAGCTGTTCCAAGAAGATGCTGGGTCAGGTCGTGACAGTCGTGATCGATCTATATAGTTCATTGGGGGATCTCAATGTTTGATGAAACCCTAGATTAAAACGCATGTTGCTCAGTTCGCCGTGGAGTAGTTGGATTTGTGTCGAGGCTGTACATGAGTTTTTTTCTTACCTGTATGATAGCATTGAACACACATAGTTTCCAAGTACTGTTTATCGACATAGAACTACGTGCACAACATAATTCACTTGAGGAAGAAACATGGGACCACCAGGGCCACAGCTCAGGTCAAAAGACCACCGCGCAAAAGGACCACAGCTACGACTAAAACGATTGCCACCTGAGCTGCACGAAGGACCCACACGTTTGGGTCATGGGTTCGCCCGGCAGAAACTTCAAGGCCAGCCCAAAATCCGAGAGCCTGAGGTCCGATTCGGTCACTTGTAGTAACAACAACGCTATTAGGTGGAAGGCATCGCTACTAGTAACAAGAGTTCAACTACTAGTAACAAGGCAAAAAACAGAACTCTAAGAAAATACTATTTGATTCGGTCACTTGAGCCTGAGTCCTGTCCTGAACCATATGGATTCCAGTAGATGGTCCTTCACCAGTACTGGAAGAGTAGATGTTCACTAGGTCCAAGGTAAGTAAACTGATATAGACCAACTTGCAAAAAGTTTACCCTCCTCACCGCTGATCAACTGCAAGAAAGGACAGATTGTTCAGTACGAGCGCTCGACCTTTCGCAGCCCACACAACAGGAAGTCAGCCCACCGCATGGCACACCGATGAAAAGAAGTCAACCAACAGGAAGTCACCCCACAATGTTGAATCCCAATGGCACACCATCACCCACAAATCTGTCAACAGGCACTTCTTAAGCATGTTTGTGTGGTGTGCCGCTGCCCGCACTTGCCAAGTGCACACTAAATGCCGGCTTCAATGTGTGTTTCCGAAAGGCACACCGAAGATGCAGCACGCCTGTCTTATGCGGGAGCATGTGCCCCAAATTCTACACTTAGCTTGTGCATAGTGGGCGCAACGGTGGGAGTGGGAGCGCCCCATATTTGGATTCACAGTGTGCTTCTGCAAAGCACAGCGAAGATGCAGCACGCATCTCATGTTGATATACCTGCCAAGGAACCTACTGTTATCTTGCGCGCGCTGGGCACACTTGTGGATGTGTGGCCCACCAATATCTGTCAACTACGGTATCTACTGTATTCAAGCGGGTCCCACATCGCACACTGAAACACGCCACTAGAAGATGAGGAGGGAAGTTATGAAAGCCAGTGTGCCCGCAGATTTGGAGAGGTGTGCTTGCTCGCCTCCTCCCATTGTCACTGAATTTGTAGTGCTTGAACAGCTTTGCAATGATACGCCGGCTGTGTGCGCCTCCACAGTTGATCCCAACGTATGGTGCGCCACTGCGATTGCGCTTAGATGCTCTCTGTGCATTGTACTCCTCAACAAGCATGCCACTGCGATTAGCATAAAGACCTTGCAGTAAACCATTGATTCATAACATACATGGTCCTGTCTGTGCCAGTGCGATTAGATTTATGTGCTGAAGATGAACCGCACACGCATTTTACTACATATGTGCCTGGGGCATGCCATTCCGCAAGGCACACTGGCCATGGCACGACTTCACGCGATGCAGCGCGAGAAAGGTCAAGGACCCAGTAGCACAGCGCTTGTGTTCCGTTTCCTTTAGGACGTCAGAGAGAATCATTTTTGATGCTCTTGCCGTGGCTTCCTGACACTTAGACACTTGGAGAATCACCGGGTTGAACTCTACGAGGGTCAGCTCGACATGTCTTCTGATGCAAAGGGGGGAGGGGGGGACAGGTGTTGAAAAGGCATTTTCGAACCAGGGGGGTTGAACATAAAGAAAAAGCATATATCAATATAAATTATGCATGTGTCTTGTTCCCTCGGTGTTTCTGGAAACACCGGCTTTGGGATATGTATGAGAGGGAAAGGAGGGATCAAGACCCGAAAGTACGCACAGAGGGGGGACGCACTCACCTATGCACCTCTACATGTTACAACTTCCAAGAAAAGAAATGCATGAAAGCACTGTCTCATTCCCGGGAATGAAATCTGGAGACCGGGAAATGCACATTGAGAAGGGGGGTACACCCCCTTGAATAAAAACCATATGGGCCGTATGTGCCAACTTCTATGCCCAAGGACCCTCTTTGCGACCTGGGATCATCTTGATCTGGGAGCCCTCTACACCAAGGAGCTTTAAGACAGGAAAGAAGCTCTTGGCTCCAATCAACCAGTTGGAGGGTTTGATGTCCCGATGTGCTATCTGCACCTGTGCGACGGCACGCGGCGCAGGCGGGGGAAAATGTCTCACACAATGGCGGATGTCGCACGCCACTGCCGCCACTGGTAACCTGGTACAATTCAGAAAGGATGTGGTTGTCTCTCACCCAGAAAGGGACAGGGGGAGGTCTGACTCTGTGTTCGACATACACATGACTCAGTGAGAACCAACAATGCATCATCGCCGCATCTGCTACACTCCAGAGTTCTCACCAGCACCACCTGTTCCAGTGACTGTAGGGGAACCCCAAATCGGATGTCCACAAGGATCCGGCCCTCCACCGGAATTGGAAGATTCATTTCAGGTCAGGTTGCCTATGAAGATGTCCTCCTTGTGCGTTCTTTGCTTGGTTTTCGATCGAATTCGATCGAAGCCTCGTGGATGTACTTGACCGCTGACAGCATCTGTCGGGCTAGCCCGGCCGTCTCTCGAGTACCTGGCTGGGGGACGCAGCCGGTTTTCTCCCACTTCCGCCCGGCAAACCGGGACCAAGCGGGGTCAACTCCGTGAGTACCATTGAGCAGATTCCTCCAAAGGAGGGATCTCAACCTTCTATGGTTTGTAGGGTGAGATTTTAACACACACCCATGTGGCGCAAGGGTGTAGTTGTCCTTTTCAAAGCACCCCCCAAACTCTTGCTTGGTGACTCCTCGCTGGACGAAAACAGCGAAAAAAAAGAACACTCGTGAAGGCACTACCATTAAGGCAATCCCGCCACACCACCACTTCGGAATAGAATGTTGAGCCATGTTGAGCCTGTCTTCCGGAGTCCTGTTCAACAAGTGATCCACTCGTAGTATGTATATTATGTTCGCATTGCAGTATCTTTCAGAGTCAAAGTTACTTGGCTAAATCCTGAGTGAACAAAACCCACACAGACTGCGTATTTGCCAAGTTCAATCCCCTCATATCTGCTCTGCGGTCGCTTGTGCGGACTCTTCAATTGGCTTTCATGTTTGTCCACACGCGAAGGGCTCAGGGCTCACATTATTCTCAACCGTCAACCGTTGGCTGTCTGTTTCCTCACGCCTGGCGAGTCGTAGAACTTCTGCTTGGTCACGAACTCTTCTTCCCAGCGATCCTGGATCCTGGGAGTCTTGGTTTCTCTTCTTCGTTCTTCGTGTCTTTTTTGAGGTTGGGGGCCATTCCTATGAGGTGGAGCCCATCGCGAGTAGGTTGGACCCCGCGTTTCGGCCACCAAGGCCCGCATGAAACTCTGGACGATCGGCGTGGTTTGGACCCACGGCATTTTGGATCGCGAACGAAGAGACGAAGAGGAAGATGCTCCAGGTTGAGCTGAAGGAAAGAAAGGTCTCCCAGTACTTTTGAAGTACATGAGTATACAATACAAGTACCCACACCAGACTTGCCAAAACCCAAAAGGGGCAACTGTCACTGTGGCACTGGTACTCAGAACTGTCCGATTTTGCTGCAAGAACCACATCCAACTTCTGGCTAAGGAAGAAACTACGACTACGACTACTGCTACTACTCCTGCTACTGCTACCATGAGTTACCACTTCCGGACAACGACCATCCAGTGACAGTGTTTTGCCAGCGATTGAACAGGTGCATAAACGGCGGGGTTTTCACCCCACCGAGCGCAGGTGGTTGAATCAAGGCATGGCACCCCTGAGCACCTTCTGCATAGCAAGTAACAAGGACGCTACTAGGTGGAGGCCAGTAACAAGAAGCGCCCCCTGAGCACCCCCGTTGTGCAGCAAAGGTTCCAATTTTGCAGATCGCCTCCGCTGCAAAGGCTCAAGAGCAGGTGCATCTCACCTCCATCCATGATCACTTGTTCCAAACGCACGATGTGCTGATGCCCCAGATTGGACATGACCAACCTCTCGTTGTCCGAGGTCACTGGCACCTCAGAGTCTTCACAAGAAGATAAAATGTAAATTTGAAAATAAAACGATTCCAAGATGTTCCAAAGCAATTCCGTCAGAAAATGTAGATTATACATCAGAAAGTATATGGATACCAAGCACATCAGAAACATTCAACAGTCCATGGTATCTTTCAACACCCGTCACCCAGCGTTGCTCGAGCACCGGTCTCGGTCCCACGGTGGGGGACTGGGAGAGAGGGGGGATGGAAAAACACAACTGCAATTGGCTGGTGAGTACAGAAAATCATTATGTCGTTGCCACATGTTGTCATAACTATACCAAGGGCCCAAGGGCCGTGTTTCACCTGGTCGAGGGTGTCAACTGCTGTGTTCCCAACACTCACGCGGAGAATCAACCTTGCCAACGCTCATCTAATTTGGGTGTTCAGAGAAACCATGGAACTAATTCATACTAATTCTAATTTTGGTCAACCCGAGGACACTCATCGATGCCTGGCTTTAAAAATTGGTGTTTTCCCTGTAGTTTCACCCATTCCTCATCCGCATCGCCGTTCCCAGTCACCGTTTTGGCCGCATAGCGGTGCTTGGTTCGCTTGCACTTCACTTCTCGCACCACGCCAAAGCTACCACTGCCCAAGGGTTGCACAAAGTCATAATCCTCCGCGCGTGCTCGGGATCGAAACTCCCTGAAATCGAAGAGATCATGGGAGGGGAAAAAGGACCTGTTTTGTAGAGGAAAATGGTCATCCGAAGGGATATGTCATTTACAAATTTACAACATGTCTTGGTCCACCCGAGGTGTAGCGAGGACTTCTTTCAACTGCCTAGGTGAAGTGAACATCTCAGGGTGGTTTAGGCTGTTCTGGAATTTCTTTTTTGGTTTGCCAGCGTCCCAGGTACTAGGCTTGATGGACCAAAATCCTGAAGCCTCTGATAGCAACAGGATGTCCATGTGTCTCTTACTGTAAGTCTGTCCAGTACTTTCTTCTGCAAAGATCCTTGCAGAAAGAATGAACAAATCCACATAGCCATCATGATCATGGGGATTGTCGGGCTTCATGGGAAAATGAATTAGTCGAAGAGTTTCGGTGACCTGGCCGATGTCCGGCCACGCTGCGCTACGCTGCGCTACGCTCCATTGCGATGATTTGCCGGTCCTCCCAAATGATGCTCATCATGGTGGACGGGGAGGGACATGCAGGCCGCAGATCTTCACTTGGTAGCGATGGATTGGGCATGGCCACGAACGCCCTTTTGCCAGGGTGGCCCCTGGCTCTAAGGAAGTTCTTCCAAAAAATGCAGAGGGTTCAAAATACCTCAATCTTGGTGAATCCCTACAGTGCTAGTCATGTCAACATGTTTGACTTTGGACTCCTGAGACCCAAAGTGAAAGACCAAGTCACAAGAGGACACCGCACCCGTTGGCCGGGCGCGAACAAAAACGGCCGGGGCCAATCGGCGCTCTACTGGGAAATCTTAAAAAGGCCGATCTACGAATCTTCCAAGCTCTCGCTGAGCGGGGTTTGAGCCATTCAGAGGTGGAGGGATGAGGTGATCATCGAACGGGAATCAGAAGGAGAAAATGCTAGGTACCATGTGTGCAAACTTGGTTTCACTTGGGGATAGGCCTCTATATGAATGAACCTAATATTAGTACAAGGCCATCTATGGGCATAGGGTCCGATTCCGAGTGAATGCCACCGTATGGCCGTACAGCAGTTAGTTTCGAGGATCGAAGTAGTAGCTTCTTGTTGCGTTCGTGGCGATGGCCTCCAACCTATATACCAGCCTCCTTGGGAAGGAGGCGCGTAACCGCGTCCCCAAACTTCGACCGAGTTGGTTGCGCCTGTGAAGTAGAAGTGGATGTGATGGTCCCATCCGAGTCCATCCATCGCCTCCAGGGTTGCAGCCTTGGTGAGACCAGAGCAGCATGGCCCCAGGCCACATGACGTGGACCAATACTCGGACCCGCTCCACTCAAGCGGGCCTCAGGCGGAGGCTTCCTGGCGTCCGAAGTGCGGAGGGAGGTGATGTCCAATCGAAAGTTGTTGTTCTCATATTCTCATGGCCTTGACTGAACAACTATTGTCTCTTGACTGAACAACCTGGTTTTCAACGTCCGAACAAATGCTTCTTTTGAGGGAGCCGGTAGGCCACCGTTTCAGCACCCTTTCGGCACCGTTTCGCAAACCCCCGCGGCTCAGGCTCCAGCGGCCGGCGGCAACACAGGCAAATCGGCCTGTGGAGGGGACAGAGGCGGACGAAATAGCCCAATGGATTGCAGTCTCATTATGTTGTTGGGTGGGGAGTAAGAACCCCAGGGGGGTAACATACATACCTCGTTTGCGGAGGTTAGTAAGTATCTAGCAGGCAACCCCTGCC